GGGTAGGATGAGCTTCTTTCATTTCCAGAAGTCAGTCAAATATAGCAGATTCCTGCTCCAGGAGCTGTTCACTCTCATGGGCAGGAAAAGGAGCAGAGTTTTGTTTTGTTTTGCAAATTCCCTCTTCCCTTCCTGCACCCCCCCAATCCTGGTGCCACCCCCCACCCTATTCTGGAGGGTCTCTTTTTGAAGATGAAGTAAGCCCTCAACTTACTTTCATTTAACTTGTGCACATTCATTTTCGCACTCTTGGTAAAAAGAAAATTAAAAAGGGTGGGGCAGGCATCCAGGGGAAAAAAGGCAATCACATCCACCTCTGAATCCAATGTGTTTTGATCATATGTGATTTTGGCTTTAGGCGTGATCTCCAGAAAGTAACTCTGCGTAAGTTGCAGTCTTACCGTATGTCAAAGGAAGTGCTTGAGCGAAATGGAATCTGTCTGGTGTCTACTGAGGGCTGTTTCTTAAAGACACGTTTTATTTCATGTTACATCAGTTGCAACAGTGCGCACACATATAGATAAATCATGGCTATCCGACTCAAAACATGTATATTTTGAAATGGAAAAGCATTTTAAAAAGAAAAAGAAGGTTTGTACCAATAATGAATGCATCAAAAAAACCTTGGCTACTGGATCAAGAGTACAAAGAAATGGGCCTGATACCACAAACGTATCTAGCTGGACCACAGAACAAGAATGGTTTTGAAGGCCCCAAGTGAGCACCAAGGAAGGCAGGCTGTATTGTCAAAAGATCTCTCACCTGTTCAACCTCATGTGAACCTGGCAATAGCTGGACCATAAGCAGGGTCTCCCAACATCCTAAATCTCGGTGGAGAAAACAAACATAGTCCTTACTGTCTACAAATCCTCCATAAACTAGATTGAATTTATGTTCAAGATGGTTAACTAAACAAGGTGAAGAGGTGGGAGTTCCAGGCAGTGGTTAGCAGAACTATTCTGTTTAACAGGTGATCATCATCTCAAAGCCCAGCACACAGGATGCTGTTGTTGTTTAATCGTTCAGTCGTGTCCGACTCTTCGTGACCCCATGGACCAGAGCACGCCAGGCACTCCTGTCTTCCACTGCCTCCCGCAGTTTGGTCAAACTCATGCTGGTAGAGTCAAGAGTCAAGAGTCTCCTCCAGCACCATAATTCAAAAGCATCAATTCTTCGGCGATCAGCCTTCTTTATGGTCCAGCTCTCACTTCCATACATCACTACTGGGAAAACCATAGCTTTAACTATACGGACCTTTGTTGGCAAGGTGATGTCTCTGCTTTTTGGGTGCCCCCAATTAATTTATCAGGGGTAGGTGGGGCCTGCAAATCCCTTTTTAGACTAGTCACTCCTTTACCTGGCACACACCTAGCACGATTAATCATTCTCTGAGTGTGCCTCTCTATGCAGCCAAAATAGCATGACCCATGCATGAAGGGGAGGTATCATCAGTTTCGGAGGAGCCTCAAGGTTTGCAGAGATTTGTAGGCAAGTTTGGAGGAGGTGGTGGAAATCCCTTAAAAAACCCCAATGAGGACTGAGCATGCTTAGGGGCTACTGAATGCTGAGTGCCTTAGGGGGTGGCGGGAGACATAGAAGATGAGGGGAATGGAACTGAGTACAGTCGTACCTTGGTTCTCGAACAGAATGTGTTTCGGAAACCCGTTCGACTCCCGGAACCGTTTGAAAACCAAGGCATGGCCAAGGAGTGTCCTGCAGCCAATTGGAAGCCACGCCGGATGTTCAGCTTCCGAAAATTGTTCGAAAACTGGAAGTGAGTGTTCCGGTTTTTGATCGTTCAGGAGCCAAAACATGCGAGTTCCAGGGCGTTCGGCAACCTTGCTGTATTAAGCGATGGCTGGCTGGCACTCTGAGCAAAAGCATTGCAGATTTTTGTTACAGGTCCCGCTGCAGGCTGCAAAATGCCAGGCTCTGAGGCCTGAACTAAAAGGCAACTGGACTGTGAAGTACATAAGAAGCAACAAAAAGTGGGGGCGGGGGAGCTGTCTTTCTGTTTTGAGAGCTGGAACAAAGACACTTGGATTGGTGCGTGCAATTTGTGGTACGTGTCTGTATACTGAATAAATACCTAATTTCTGTTTCTTGTGGTAAACTACCATGGGAGACATGACGGATAAAAGCCAGCCTCTGACTGCAGTAAATGAAAGATCTGACTGCTCCAGTCTCACAGGACGAGAATGCCTGGCTCAGACGGTGTCTCATCTCTGTGTGTGTGATGTGTAGCTCATTAAATCTGTGGCAGACGCAGCCTTAATGGAAAATTGACTTTTTTAAAGCTATCAAGTGGAGAGAAAAGGAGCAAGGTTACTTTTCTTCATAAGCTGCAGGGGCTTCCCAGCAGAAATATCCTCTCTAATCATTAATTCCCCTTGCATAATTAACTTTGTTTTACATCTTGAGCTGTAGTGAAGATGTTGGCAGTTGCTCTTTATCATGATTCATCTTTAATCTCAAGTGGTGTCAGTGACTCTGAGATATTTTTTTTGCTCTTTAAAGTCCAATTAACCACTTGAACAAATCAGTAGTTTAAGCGCATACAGCACTGCAAATCTACTGGGGCTTTTTCATACATTTGTATTGATTTCAGTACAACTGAAGGACTAGCAGGCTCAGCACTCTGTATTACATGCCTTTAATATTCATTGTTCTCTCTGAGGACACGGCATGACAATGACAGCTATGCAACTTCCCATCCTTTAAAATAAAACAATGCTTTATTGCTACAAATGTAATGCTTTGGGGGGTGGGATACATATTTGACAAACAAGCAAAGGCCTTGATAGTACACAGCCATGGTAATACAGTACTTATAAAATTGAACATTTATCCAAATGTTGACATATAAAAAAGAATTAAAAAGTGGTTAGGAGAGAGGGAGGCTGCAAGTTTAAAGGCAGAAAGCCAAACCATTGGTCCATTTTGGCATCTTGCTATGATTCAAGTGCATAAATTTCTATGGCCTGAAATGCACACTTGTATGTACAGTAACATGTCTCTCACACTCAATTTTACCAAGTCTCTATTTTATCCTAATGGATAAAATGTGCAGCCATTGTCAAAGACCTAAATGAAACAAGAACCTACAGCATTATTTGTGTGGTTACTACCATATTTTTCGTCCCATAGGACGCTCCGTCCCATAGGACGCACCTAGTTTTTTGGGGGGGAAATAAAGGAAAAAAATTTCCCCTTTATTCCCCCCCCCCCAAAAGCAGGTCGGGGAAACCGAACCAGGTCGAGGAACAGCGGGATGGCGGTGCTGCGCCTCCCTGCTGTCCCCTGAGCTTGTGGGGCTGGCCGATCTCTGCCCGGCGTGAGGGGCGCCCTGCTTCAGGGCGCCCTGCTCGCCGGGCGGCAGGCTGCTATCCGCAGCGTGGGGAGCCCTGCGGGGGAACTCCTGCAGGGCTCCCCACGCTGCGGATGTCTGTCCGGCGGGGCGCTCTGCTTTTATTAGAACCAACTAAAATATAACTAGGACTAGGTGATTAGCAAGATGGGTTGTTGTTTTTTTAAAAAAAACCCTCTCTCCCTGGTTCTAGGATAACTCTCCAGATAATACTGCTGTTTTAGGATATCATAGTTTGGGACCTTTCATATAAAACCATTCAAATGTATACATAAAAGTCAAACTCTGAGTTCTATGTTGGCTGTGTAGTGGCCTGTTTTTGTAAGAATGAAGGACAAATGCTTTAGACTAATTGGATGAAATGACGTTCCCATAAAAAGGCTTCTAAATAAGCAAAATCTAGTTTAATTTATTGAAATGATATTGTTCACCAACCTCTCAAGTCTTAAGGAGGATGGTTGCATATGAAATTGATCATTTGTCAGGGCAAAACACCTGGCCGGACCTTCCTGCACTCTTTGGAGTTTGGCAGCATCAATTATTGTCTTCTAAGACCTGAAGGTAGAGTTAGGAATCTCCAGACTGTCTCATTCCTTTTCATTCCTTTTCCTCTTCTTGGATGGGTTTGTTACCTTACCAACTACCCAAGCGACCAATAATGTTGTGTACATCTAGTAGATGTTTCCAGGATTAGTCAGTACTTTATGTTCTGCTACATAAACTGTTAGGGCTGCGGGTGGCACTGTGGTCTAAACCACTGAGCCTTGGGCTTGCCAATCAAAAGGTCCGCGGTTCGAATCCTCACGACAGGGTGAGCTCCCGCTGCTCGGGCCCAGCTCCTGCCAACCTAGCAGTTTGAAAGCACAGCAAAAAGTGCAAGTAGATTAATAGGTACTGCTCCGGTGGGAAGGTAAACAGTGTTTCCATGCACTGCTCTGGTGTCAGTGTTCTGTTGTGCCAGAAGTGGCTTAGTCATGCTGGCCACATGACCCGGAAAAACTGTCTGCGGAGTGGACAAACACCAGCTCCCTTGGCCTGTAAAGCAAGATGAGCACCGCAACCCCAGAGTCGTTCATGACTGGAATTAACTGTCAGGGGTCCCTTTACCTTTACCTAAACTGTTACACCTGTGCACAGAAGTAGTCAACAGAGGGGCCATCAAAGCTTTCAATGTCCATTGGTAGCTAACAGACCTAACTAAACCCCGATGGTATTTCCCTCTAAAAGGAAAAAGGAGCTTTGGTAAGGGATGATTTGCAGCAGAGAAGGAAAGTGTTTTTGTGTGTACTTAACTCTTCTCTGTCCATTGTTTCTCTGCTCCAAATTACCCTGTCCAAGCTCTTCCTCACCCCATGAGGTTCCCCAAACATTTGCAAGGATACACAACCATTTCCCCTGCCACTTCTCTCTCCCTCCCTCCCTCCCTCCCTCCCTGTTTTGTTTTGTTTTAACTTACATTTATACTAAAGGAACTAATCTTTGCAAATAAAAATGCTTGATTATAGGCAATATACCATGTAACCGAAAATCTCTAAACAATCTCCTAAACAGTAGTGGATTGATAAAAACTGGGAGAAAATTAATATGTATGAACCCATTCAGCAAGCAAAGAATTCCAATTTTTAAAATGATGTACTGGTCCCAAGTTTGTCTTTCCTTTATTGAAGCCCTTCTGACCACAACTACTGATGCACATAATTTCTCTGATGTATCAGGCATTACAAGTTGCACATTCAAAACCTCAACAGTGATTCTTTCATCAAGGTTGGGTTTACTATAACTGTCTCACAAGCTCTTCCATGATATGCTAAGGTTGGGATGGGCAACTTGTGGCCCTCCAGATGTTGATGGACTCAAACTCCCATCAGCCCCAGCTGTCAGAATCAGTGAGGGAGTTGGACTCCAACAACATACAAGTTCCCCAACCCTGTATTAAGGACCCTTAGAGAGTTTCATTGTGAGAATATTCTTGTTCATTCTTTTCTCCTAATTATTGATGGTGTGGTGTTTAGCTTTTTATTTCAAAAGAAAATTTCATATAGAAAAGAAAAAAGACATCACAAGCCAAGTCTCCCACTTTGTCTCCAGCTGCACTGAGAGATGGCCTCACACTACTAGAAATTCGGTTAAGCTCTTTGATAAAAGGATTAGGTGTTAAAATGGGTGAGTCACTCTCTTTTCCTTTTGTCCCTACCTTTATATAAGCTTGGCTAAATCAGGCCCAGGCCGGCAATAATGGCTCCCAATTCCAAATTTAGTGCAAACAGCTCTAAGCAGCAGCTTGAGCTGCATTATGGTTTACTTTGGTTTGAATAGCTAGATGGCTTATTGGCAAAAAGGCTGATTTCAAGTTTCTATTTTAAAAAACCCACAAATGTTGCAGCTTATAGCAGTGTGACCAGTATTTAAAAACACAAATTCTGTGAACATAAAAACGCAAATTTGAAAAAGAATTTGCATTCTTTTATTTCAACTGATTGGCTTTTTCAGGATATAGAGAGCTTTTTAATTATTATTATTATTCAGTCACAAACTGAGAAGAAAGTGGTGGAAATGAGATATATTGGGCTGCTTGCATTTGGTGAATTATAGTGCTCTGTAATTTCTGGTGAGGGGAGGCAGTGGTCTTGCTGCTGCAAGTGCAAACAGACTAGAGAGATCAGTGGAGGCAACACAAGAACAGTGATGTTCTTGCTACTTAGCACATGTCCCACAGAGGACTTATCCCTCCCATTTCCTTTTAACTGTTAACATCACTGGCAATGCAATACTAAGCATGTTCACTTGGAAGCATGCCAATCTGTACTCAGCAAGGCTTATTTCCAAGGCAGGGTTCATTGTATTGGAGCCTGGGAGAAAAAGTCCCCAACGTTCCAATAGAGATAGCGGATAACATTTAAGCTGTAGGAATACCTGCCCCATCCTCATAATTAGGAGCTCCACGGGAACACATTTTCCTTTCTTAGGGTATTTCCAGATGAATACCTCCCTCCTTAGATGACTCAGTCATTTGATCTTCCACTGTGAGGTACACATGAAATTGCACTGACTTTCCACGTGGCAAAGGATACCACACTTTTTGTGTATGATCATCCTGTTAGGAGGCATGATATTGCTTCATGTGCAGGGAAGAGGGTACGATTCACCTAACCATCACCAACTTAAGAAACTCTGCCCCCCATAATTCTTTTAAAAATCATGCTTCTGTCTCTAACATCATAATGTGGGTGCTTTAAAAAACTTAAATGCACGGGCAGTACCAATTCCACCACGAACTCCCATCTGCAAGCACTTTTAGTATCTAGCAGAAAGTGTCAAAATGTGTTTGGTACTTTTTTTAATTTTTGCAACTGTTAAGAGCTAGGAACATTTGGATTTTGAAGAATCTACCGGCCATATTTCTATGGTACAATACAAATCCCTGCCATGGTGATTTCTAAAAGCCCAGAATAGTACCAAAGGGAGTATCAGCTTCTTTTGAAAGATCAACTTGAATACAATGCCGACTGTATTCTGATTAAACTGCTTTGGTCTTCATGTTTGTTTGTTTGTTTCAGACCTATTCTCCTCTGAAAAAGGAAGGAGTGTCTGTGTTCTTAACATGCAGGTTCCAGTTGACTCTGAGTTTTCGCAGGCAAGAGAAGCTCCACATCACAGTAGCTAAAACCGTACCCAGCCAGCAGGTCTTTCTGAGAAATGTCAGCTAAATCTGATTCATAAGCTTTGACAGGACTCTGTGTGTTCCTCTTCTCTAGAGATTTATGCAAGAGTTCCTTCATCCTCCTGTTTTCTTTGGTGGTTGATTCCCAAATTATTTCAAGTTCACTTTCCACTTCCCTAGGAAGAAAAACGAAAATGGATTTGCAAGTTTCAGATGCTTTGCCTTTTTTGAGAGTATTTTTAAGGTGAACTACCCAGCCAGTACAGAAAGAACAATTAAATTTATTTTTGTACCTGGAATGTTGTCTAGAGAACACCATGTGCACAGAACAGAAAGAGTAATCAGAGGATCTCTGGCATATAATTCAATCAAATGTACTTGTTTAACCGGTTTTTATGGGTGTCTAGTTCTGAAAGCATCAGAAATGGTAACCCTAATATCCTGGGCCCCTTATTGGTGATGTCATGGTTCAAAACAGGACTACAAATTCTCCTCTAAGGCTGTTGTGGGTAGATCTGGCTGCCCGAGTCACACACAGTGGATTGGGACAGAGGATCTTTTCAGTTTCAGCCATTTTCACACCGCATTGTCCTTTCTACTACTTTAGGCTCATCCAATGTTGTGTTGGGAAAGTCCCCTGTCGAAAATCTTGGACACCTGTGGCCAGTCAGAGTGGACAATGGTCTGGCTCGATATAAGGCTGCTTCAGATGTCTGAACTATTTCATAGCTGCTTTATATTGTTGATGAAAAGCCTCTTTGCTACAAAATACTGAGATGGAGTCATGTTTAGATAAGGTTAAGCTCAGTTTGAGGATGGCAGTGCCCCCTGTAAGAGCGCTGGGGCTATTCAGATGGCCCTCCCTCATGGATGGATAGAACTGAATGTGTTCCTAAATGCGCTGGGGGATTTTCCAATGGAGAAAGTGGTAGATCACCTGTATAATTTGTATGTAAAAGCATTATGACACCAGTGGCTGCATTTTCAATCCCTTTCCTAACAATACCTAGCATGGGATTTGCCCTTTTATTTGTGACACATTTTGTCTGCTGCTGCCTTGAATTTCTCCTCTTACCCTTAATATTTTCTCATCCCACTGCTGGACATTCACAGCTTTATTTTTAACCTGTTAAACTCAAAGGAATTTAGGACTGTTTTCCATTTGAAAATAACTGGTATCTGCAGTGGTACCTCATAGCATATTTCTGCAAATTTCATTGTGTTTCACACTTTGTACTGAATTTTTTCCCCCTGTGAAATACGTAACAGAAGTTGTGAATGTGGCTGAAGGGTGAGATATCAGGTCAAAAGCAACCGGTCAAAACAATCCTGTTTCCTGTGAAGGTTTTCTAGGTCACATTGCATTTCTTTTGACAGGAATCCCATCAGAAGGAGCTCAGCATGTGGCAATTTTTAGGGGTTGGTCTGGTCTCAATAGTATTGCAATAATGTCCTTTACAAGAACAACAAAAATCCTCAACAACAGAAAATCTGAATCACAATAATAACATACGCCTATATGTTGCTCCCATAATTGAATATAGCAGAGATACAGCCCATGAAACCTCGAAGAGGTACTTTTTTGCTGCAGAGCTTAGTGGACACCTCTCTGTTCTGGTGCCATGGTGGCCAGTCAGCTTAGAGGTGGTCATGTCAATAAATGAGGCACGAATGACAGCCTTTATTTGTATCTCAAAAAGCTGCTCTACTTCAAAGTATATTCCTTAATCAATCAGGGCAGGTTCCAGAACCTGTTAAGTGATTTGGTGCCATCTCCCTTCCTACTGGCACCTGCACTTCCTGTGATTCTATCAGATCTAATTTTTAGTGGATCATCTTATGGTAAAGAGAAAACATGTTCAATGCTCTTTTGGTCTTCAAATCTGTCTCTGCTCCATAAATCATTCAAGCAAACTTTCCCGCAAAGCAGTCTGAAATCTGCTTATGTCCTTTCCCAGCTTGTAAATCTTGCATTCGCTTGTCCTGGTTCAACCTCTTGGCCAAGGAATGTCCTAAGAGGGCAAGAGGGACCCATTTCAGCCTGTCTACCTTGTGGTTTTTGACATCATGATAAAGGGAGGAAGATGGCAGAAAAGTAAGTTATGCAAATTAAGTATACAATTTATTCTGGGCACAGATTCTTAAGTTTTCTTGGCAAAAAAAGGTCTACACAAGCTGCACCACTGTTGCATTTGCTCCATGTCCTGCTCAAGCTCTGTATGTCAGAAACCAGATACACCATCAAGAGCTTCACGGGACATTACTCTAATGCTGATCTAAACCACCTTGAGGTTTTTTCTACAATCAAGTGGCATATAGATTTTTTGAAATAAATAACGAATGTTAATTTTGTTGGGCTATAGGTTAGAACACATTTATTTCATTAAGGAAGGTATTTGTATTCCTCAATTTCAGTTCTACCGGGGGAACCTCCAATGCATCTAACAACACTTTTTTTTTAATCAAATACTTTATATAAATATATATACACACACAGAAGCAGTAATAAAAATATTTTACTATGTTTTTATATATGCTGTAAGCCACCCAGAGCAGCCGGGGAAACCCAGCCAAATAGGCGGGGTATAAATAATAAAATTATGATTATAAAGTTATGATTATTATTTTTAAAGTATCTAATGAAATCAGAACAGCATAAAAATAAGAATCTCAAAAGAAAGCAAAAATTAAGTGTCCTGGAGTGCTGACATGCCATCAAAGGAGGAGACATCCACACTTTTTGATATAAGAAATTCCATGGTTGCACACTGGGCAACACCCACCCAGGAGGGGCAAGGTCAAGGAGCGGGGGGAACGCAGTGTAAATGCACTGGCAGGAATACCAGGTTCGCTCCCCCAGTACATTTGCTTCACACCTATCTCCCTGCTGCTTTGCCTGCCCTGCCTAGTAAGTAACAGCGACCCACCTGCCAAGAAGCAAGAGCAGCAGCAGCTCTGCCTCACCTGGCATGCCACCTCTGGGTGGGACACGGAGAAAGGTTTCACCTCAAAGGTCTCAAACTGTATATGGTTTTAAAGATGATAACCAATACTTCCCATCAAGCTTGGAAGTGGATTGGGAGCCAATTCTCCTGGGTGCAGGGCTGAGCACACATGATCAAAAAGGCCAGCTCCAGTTAGGATGCCTTCCCTGCCATATTTTGCACCAGCTGCAGCTTTCAAAAGGCAGCCCCACAAAGGGTGTGCTAAAGCAGGAGACCAATCTGGCTGTGACTAAGGCAGGTGGGCCAGTGGCCAGAGCTTTCTTCTCCAGGAAGCAGTGCAGACCAAACTGAGCAAGAACACTGCTGGCCACAGTAGCCACCTGATGATAATCCAGGAGGGACACTGGATCCAGGAAATCTCTATGAACCTGTTTCTTCAAGGGGAGTGCAACCCCATTCAAAACACACCTGCCTTTGCTTTTCTATTGGCCAAAGCACTTCCATCTTGAACTGAGTTTCAGTTCTCCCACAGCCACCCCTTTCCTGATCTTAGGCACTGGTTCAGTCATTAAGCGGGCATTGGTACTACCATTTAGGAAAGGGAGCAAATAAGGCTTCATTTGAGGGAGCCCTTTATCAAATATGGTGGTGTATGGAGCTGTGAAATTTTACGTAACTTGAAGGATGAGCCTAAAAGTCTAAAAGCTTCCCTTACTAAGGCCCCCAAAATTTGACATGTTTATTTCAAAGCTGCTTAGTACAGCTGGTTTTTCTTTTTGTTTTGGTCTTTCTGCTGCCTTTGCAGTGATGACTGCAAAAGGCTGCTCTTTTCCTCACTCAAAACACAAATGCTGCTCCCGATGGATGCTCCTCATTTTTTTTACAGAATAAATGAGATTGAATGATCATGCTGTAGCATTTCTCAGACTGCTTTATTGCAAGTGGAGACAAAATGAGATTCCCCTAGTAGAAGCTCAAAACAAGAATGCCAGCTTTCAGGTTAAGGAGTGTCTTTCTAGCCTGGTGTCTTCAAACAAAATATCCTCTCCTCCTACCCCATGTGCTCTTTGGAATAGAAAAGACACAGTTGTGTGCCTTGGGGATTCTGGAGTCTGCTTGTATAAGTGATATTCTGGAGAGTTGCTATAAAGCAAAAAATAATATCCTCAACATTCAAAAGTAAACACTGCCTCCTGAGCATTTCAAGGGTTCCTGCTAAAGCTCACTATCTTTCAGCTTTTGGGGAACCCACCTTTCAGTATTAATCTCTGACCTGCAAATGATTAGCTGTCATTCCTGCATTGCTGGAATTTGCGAGTCCCTTCCAACTCTACCATTCAATGATTCTAAGTTCAGCCTCTCTAGGCTTTTGTGCTCCATGACTTCACCTGCCATTGTTTCCCAAAGAAGTCCTGGTATTACGTATAAAAGAAAGGAAATACTGCAAGACTCCCTCTGCAAAGTGGGTGATTCATATTGAAAACTGGATGGCTGGCTTCATCAGTTGTCGTGGCGAAATCTTTCGCACAACACTTTAAGGGTTTTAATAAAATAAACATGCCATTCACACAGCCTATTACTTTCAGTTGGGTATAGCGCTGAGATTAAATGTGTCAGTGAAATTTCTATCTACTGGGAACAATTTTGCAGGCCACAAATTTTCTCCTTGAGCGGCGCTGGTGGAAATGAATCTGCATCAGGACATTATTTGCCCAGCACTGCCGATTCTGGTTGCCAAGCTACAGAAGATTAGTGACAAGAAGCCCACCCCTAAGTCCTTGGTCTGCTTTTCTTCTGACCGGGGTGGGGGGTAGAGTGGGAGGAGAAGGAGAAGGAGGAGAGAGATCCAGAACAACCTTTCAAATGACAGCTTTGTTCAGGGACTGGCTGCACTACAAGACAAAATTATATTTACTCCTTAAAGCGCTTCCGGATTTGGAGAGAACTGAAAGCAGAATGCAACCAGAATGGAAGGAATCTGGCTAAACTAAAGGAGCCCAGCATTCAGGAAGCATGGGGGAAACATATGCAAAGCATTTTAGCTTCCTGAACTGTAACATTGCTTGTCTGCATAGCTAAGCTGACGTCCCATGGTCATTGGCCAGAATGATTAACCCAGCTATACATCTGTCCCATCCAATCCAGATGTTTGTTAAAACTGACCTAGAATAAGAGAGACATCACAGCAGGAAAGCATCTCTTTGAGGGCAAGGCAAAAGCTGCATTTGCCTTTCACCAGCTACAAGCACAGCTCATCTTCCAGAATGTCAGTAAAAACTTTCTGACAGTAAGAGCTGTTCAACAGACTCCCTCGGGGGGTGGACTCTCCTTCCTTGGAGGTTTTTAAGCAGAGGTTGGATGGCCACCTGTCATGTATGATTTAGCTGAGATACCTGCATTGCAGGGGGTTGGACTAGATGGCCCTCGGGGTCTCTTCCAACTCTACAATTATACGATTCAATGATTCTAAGACTTGGCAACCAACTGCAAAACACTCAGCAACTCTGCTGCTGTTGGTGACAACAACAAGGGACAAAGTGCTGCTGTTTAGAGCTACTTCCCACAACTGCATTTTCCTCTGCCGCAGTGGACTGCTAAATCAAAGTGTGGGCAATTATTTTAGCTTTATGGAGTTGTAGCCAACTGACTAAAAGCAGCCCCACTGAAGTAAAGGGACCCAAGTGAGTGATGTCCATTCATTTCAGTGTGTCTCCTCTGAGCAGAACAAATACTGGATACAAATCATTCTGATGGCAGTGCTTCATAAAGCTTGGACTAGTATATTAATAGCCTTTGCTGTTTGAGGTGGGAAGCGTGAGGGTGGGTGGGTGTGCTCTCTGGAGTGGCAGGTAAGAGAAAAGAAATGGTTCTAAGGGGTTGACATGTCTAACACTGCTCTAAGGGGGTGACATGTTGGGGAATGCCAGGACTAGAGATAAAAGTGAGGATTACTTTATTAACGTATTTATTATTTACAATTATACCCCACCTTTAGTCCAAGGAACTCAAGGGGGTATACAAAATTTCTCCTTCCTTCCATTTATCCTCATAACAACAATGGGAGGCTGAGAGGCAAGGACTGGCCCCCAAGGCTTCATGACCAAGTGAGGGATTTGAACCCTCCCAGGTCCAGCACTCTAACTGCTATACCACACTGCCTCTCACATTGGTGGACAGGTGTTCTCCCCTCCCGGATACATGCATGCTGTCAAGCTGTATGAAGCAACACAGGCTATATGCACAATAGAAAGTTTATGTTAGATCAAAAGTATGGTTTGGAACGTGGTGGCGGCAGGACCTCCCCTTCCACACACCTGAACCACAGGGAAACCTGTCTGTATTCTGCACATCTTTAGCTCTCCAGATATGCAAGCAGTCCCAGGTTAGAGTATCTGGTCCCGTAGCATTGTTTGATGCTAAGCTGGTGCTTACAAAACACATTTATTCAATCATTTATATGCTACCTTTCAGCCTTCAAAGGGACTCCTAAAGTGGCTTAGGTCATTATTAAAAGGAAAAGAAGCACGGTCCGCTTGGAAGTTATTCCCAAGAGGAAGTTTTCCTTGCACCCTTTCTAAATAGACAGCTTGTTGGAGGATGCCGTGTGGATTTCCTGCCTACGGAAGCAATCCTGTGCACAAGAAGCTGCTGTAAAGTTACACCAGATCCAAGCCCTGTTCAGCAGCAGGCTTTTGCAGAAAGAACTCAATCTCACAAATTTAGCTGCACAACAAACCCACTTAAAAAAAGAAGACTTTTTACAGCAAGGAAAGTGATAGTTAACAACCAATTGATGGGGAGTCCTATGTCCTCTAAAGAAACAAATCAGGATGAGTGCTCAATAAGAGAGGGCATTGTATAACCTCTGTCCAAGCTTTCTGCAATCTGGGGGTGCCCTAAGACATGTCGCGTGTGAATTGATACACCAGTCACTGCAGCACGGGGACTATGCACAGAGAGCACATACACACTTTGCCGAAAAATTCAGAAGTTATCTGACCACACTACTTATCCTCTACTGGGAGTTGATAACTGACACAGATGGCATACAGCTTGAGTTCCAGGCTGGATTATTTTATCTCACAATGGCTGAGATGATCTGCAAAATAACTGCCTAATTATCTGTCTCCTGTGTTGTTTCAGTGCTGGTACAAGGAAACATCTCTGAAGCCTTCCCATCGCTAACACGAGAACTAAGAAGCAGGACTCTCGACACGGAGAATCATCTTCCAGCCAAGACCTATTCAACTGTTTATTCCCCTTTTTTTGTGATTAGAAACCTCCAGATCCACGAAATATTCATTTTGCCAAGTGCTCTTAACTGACTGCCCTCATTTCCTGTCTGTCAGAAAAATGTCAGCCTGGGACTTCATCAGTCCTCACTGGAAGACGTTATTAAATCAATGAGCATGTGACCAGTGATTCACTTTGGAGAGAATTATTGAAAGCTCAATTCAAGCCAATAGCTTCTGTGTGTTTGCTTTCCTTCAGCAAAAGGCAGTACAGCTGCCAGGAGGATTTTTAAGGTTGGCTGTCGGAGCTAGCAGGCAACGATTTCCTTCAAGGATTTGTAGGTCGGGGGCTTAGAGAGAGAGAAGGAGGGAGAGGGGGATGGGGGAGCTGACAGAGTCAGTGGAGAGGAGGAGATTTTCAACCCAGCAGCTAGGCAGGGAAGTGAATACAGCCAGAGCACGCCAGAGGGGGCTCTTAGGCAGAGCATGTCCTGCTCCTTTACCAGTCGGGGCTAATGGGTTTGTTTAAGGCTTTGGCTGACTTACCTTTTCTGCTGCAGCGCTTCGTCCAGGGTTTCCTGCTTCTCTTGCAGCAGCCGCTGGAGGTGCCTCATCTCACGCTGGTACTGAGCAGCCTTCCCTGCAAATTCCTTCTCTTGCTCCGATGCTTTGAGGCTGATGTCTCCCAGCTTTCCGGCAGCTGTCTTTTTATACACCTGTGAGAGTTGGAGCAGAGACCAGTTAGAATCAGCACCGGGGCTGCAAGCCAGCTGACGGGAACTCAACTGGAGGGAAGATGGTTTTCTCCCACAAGGGCTTCATCCTGAAACCAGGGGTGCTTTGTTCAAAGAACCAATCGGGTAGGTTGGAAATGACCTGGTCCTTCCTTCAAGCATTTCTACTGCATGCACTTTCTACAGCATACAGCAAAAGGTGTCACTGCATAGGTCTACTGTGCTATTTTAATGCCTCCCTTTGGAGAAAGGTCTTTATAAAACAGGTCTTAAATCCAAATATGTTTGACCCATCAGGAAGCAAAGTTGGACTTTAAGCACATGTTGCTTATAGACAAGTTTAATAATGGTTTTAATTGTCAATGTATCACTGTAAGGCTGGGAAGAGATGCTACTGGGTGGCATGTATGTTCATTAATCCTTTCATCTTGGAAAAACAACTCAGCTGCCTTATAATTGCTTTGGGTGCCTTGAAGCTGTGTATCCTTTCACAGAAGCACTGGAATGCAACACGTTTCTCCCTGCTTTTGCTGAGAAAATGCACTGTTTATAAAAGCAAGGCATTATTTAGAAAGCATTAGTTCTTTTTTGAAACAGTGAATTTTACTTCTGAATCGCAAAATGGCTAAGCATGCAAAAAGCAATGCTAAGTGAACCTGAAGGAGGAAAAAATATTTCATCTTAGATAAAAAGTTTCATTCTGATTATTACTTTACACAAAACCTTTTATCTGCCTATATTTAAAAGGTCTCAGCTTTGTGGATACCTTAATCTTTTCTTCTGGATGAGCCTGATGTTAATGCTAGCCAATTTCAGATTTATTAGTGTGAAGATCAAAACTACACCCTTGCCTCAGGTCTTCATGGTCTGAAAATTTATCCAGCAGACTTGGAAAAGCACCGTTTCTAATTCTAGTCTTTGTACTAATAGTCATGTCTAAAAGTAGAGCAGGAATTAAAAGGAAAACAAGTTGCCCGGGGAAAGAATTAAGCTAGGGTGATGTGGGAGTCCATCCTATAAAAATTCAAGCATGTTCAATTGCATCAATATTTAAATGGATGGCAATGGTATATGGAAGCTTGTCTACTTGTGTTAAAGATAATGGTATAGCACAAACAGGGTGCAGTACTGCAAAGGAACCCAACTTGTTGTCTCCAGGTGTTGCTGTACTGCAACTCCCACCATCCCTGACCACCAGCCACGTTGTTGGGGACTGATGGGATTTGGAGTCCAACAGCACCTGAAGGGACATTGGCTGTACTGCAGAGTTGAGCACTCGGTGCTTGCCTGTCGGATGAACTCAGAAAACTGTCACCTGAGATTTTAGGAAGACTGAACTTTATGGGAGGGACCACAGCTCAGGGGTAGAGCACATGCACTGTATCTGCAGAAGGTCTCAGGTTCAAGCTCTGGGGGCCCCAGTTTCAAAACACAGGGAAGCAGGCGGTAGAAAAGGCTTCTGCCTGAGACTCTAGAGAGTTGTTGCCAGTCAGAGTAGGCAGCACTGGACTAGATAGGTGAGTAGCAGGGCCTGGTAACAGACAGCTCCCTGTGTTCTTACTTAATGGCAGTAAACATTTGGAAATCAGATTGTGACTCTGAACCAGTGTGCCACACTTTATATAAAGGACAACGCTTTCCTTTTCACAGGATGTATCTAAAATAGCAAAAAAAAAAAAAAAAAAGTTTGAATTTTTACATATAAATTCTTCCATTTATTTTAAACTCATCCATTCTGAGAGCAACAAACAACAAACTTACCTGCCTGATGGATATGTTTTGGTTATAGTTTACACTGCAGTTGTATTGTTTTATTGGTTTGGGTTTTTTTAGTGTGTTTTCTTTCTTTATTACTTTATCAGCTGCCAATCTTACACTGTGTCAGTTTGCTTCTTTGAAGTGTATAATATGGTTTTGACAGCTGTGAATTTTTTCTTTTCTTTTAATGGTATAAAGGGCGGGGGCAGAAAAGGCACTAATGAAGAAATAAAAAGAGAGAAGAACCCGAAAGGTGCACTAAAATAGAGTTTATCCAGTCCAGCAAATTTCACTTATCCAATCTTTCCTAAGGGAACTGGTAAAACCCTACACATTTTCTATGTGCTCTACTGCAAAATGATTCCCGTCCATATAATTTGTTTATTCCTATTATCATTACATTTATATCTTGCTTTTGCTTCAAGGACCTGAAGTGCTTTCCCCCCTTCCCTATTTTACCATTGCTACAATCCTGTGAGGTAGGTTAAGCTAAGAGGCAGTGGCCAGAACAACCCAATAAAATTCATGGCTGAGTGGGGATATGAACCCTCATCTTCCATGTCCTAGTCCAACACTCTAACCACTACACCACGCGGTAGGTAATCCTATAGGTAACTGATCTCCCCTTCCCAATGTAAAATTCTATGAAACAGAACAAAGCTTTTATCTCTTGGCTTAGGTTTCTCTTGCAGGCGAGAATGGAACTGAAGAAAACAAGGAATGCAGCCATTTTTACTACATCTACATATGGTCTTGACATTTTAAATATTGATGCATTTATCTAAATAGGGATCCCACTTTCTTCAAGGTGCTCCCTAGACTGAGGCTCTTTGGAGTCTTCCATCCCCCTCAGTTATGTTGTCTTTATAAAGCAGCAACAGCTCTAGAACTTTTAAAGGGGGGAAATGGATAAGCATGGGGAGTTTTGTCTAAAACTGTGTGTACAACTGGAGAACTCCAAAGCACAGAATTCTGAACAGGGGAACTGCTTCAATCATACCTCTGGATCAGGTGGTTGCCTGGGTTCCTCCCCCCAGACCCGCTTTCAACTGTCAAGCTTGGCAAATATACCTAGACCTTCACAGAATTGAAAGGTGCATCACAAGTGAAAGCAGGATGGCACTCCCTAATGGAAACCTGTTATATTGGGAGTGGGGTGGGAGGTTGAATCATGCTCCATTTTATCACCTAGACACAAGCAGCTGCCTAAAATCCTCAAAACCAGAAATATAAATGAAATTGTACCTGGCCATTTCCCACATAAGAGCAAAACTTGGAAACAATGAAAAGAAAAAGCTACAAGCAGTGACATGCAAACTTCAAAGAGAGGTTGCCATATTAATCAGTAGTAGCAAAAGCAGGAAAGAGACTAATCCATTTTTAATGGAATAATTTTCCATTGAGCAGAATCTAGCGCCACCACCTTTATTGGTATGCTGCTTTGCTGCAATGATGTTCAAAGTGGCTCACAATATACCAAATGAATAATATATATATATATGAAAAAAACAATCCTATTGGTCTTCAAGGTGCCACAACATCTTTGATGCTTTTACCAGTGAAGTGGATTATTTGCTCTTCTTGAGTGGTACAGAAGAAAGGGAACATCCAGAACTTCCCAAGACAGACGTCTTCTGTTCCTTTTAAAATACTAAATTCACTGAGCAACAACATAACTTGCTAACTATAATTGCAGACAGGTTCATTTTGTTTTCTCTCTGTTAAGCTTGCTCAAGTGTAGGCAATTTGTCCCTGGGGAGGGGGTTATCGGAGGAAGGTATTAGAACTGGAGATGGTCTCTTCTGACAATCTGAACACAAAGGGGACTGGAAGATAAGGGAGAAGGCATTCTTCTTTCAGATAATTAGGAACATGACAGCAGAAGACTTTAAAAGGTCAATACCTGCAGTCTGAATTGTGTCTGGAAACTGACTGGTAATAAATGCAGTTGTTTCAAAACTAGCGTAGTATGAGACCTCAGTCTTGGAAAGAATTCCGGCTGCTGCATTTCGGACCACCTGAAGTTTATGGAAAGTCTTCAAGAAAGTGTCACAGAGCATACTGCAGCAAATTAATCGAGAGGTCACCGTGGAATCTTCTTGACCGTTCAGCAAGGCACACCTCCCACATCCAAATCTAGATCTGAGGGGTATAGCCTTCAGCCAAGGCCCCCAAAGCCTTAAGTGCAAACATGAAGGTGGCACATGGCAGGGGAGGAAAGGCCAGGTTCCTAGCATTTCAGGCAGCATGACTTAGTGCCATTCATTTCAATGGGTCTACTCTGAATAGAACAAGTTGGGATAGACTAGTTCTACCCAATCCAGACCCTTGGTCTTAATACTCCTTGCCAATCTCAGAGGCTGATGCTGCATAGCTCTGTTGCCTTTTGTGCCTGATGAGGACTTTGGGGTCTGAACACACCATGTGGTTCCCAGTTTAAATGCAGGAGATCTCTGATAATAACTTTGCATTTGGTACTCTGTGTGGTGTGTGTGTGTGCTTGTGTGTGCACACACATGTGCATCTGTGGTGGGGGCTATAGTCATAAAGGAAAAGTAGCAGGTAGGTAAAGGGCTCAGCACATTCCTCATGCTTGTTGCTTCTTCCTGTGCATCACACCCTCAGGATGCCACTCTGATTCCTTCCATATGTTTTTAAACTGCTCTTCAGTCGATAAGTCTCCTAGGGAGGCTTACATAAAACCAAGGAAAGCACTAAAAATGTGTGTCAATAAACACAACAGCGCCAAGCAAGTCACTGCTACTGTGAAGAGCACCATGGCTATGAACTAAGTCATTGCTTTTAAGTTCAGCATGAAAATCAGAGTTTCAGAGTTGGAACGGTCCCAAAGGGTCATCTAATTCAACTCCCCCTGCAATGCATTTTGGAAAATGACCGTCCAAGCAGCATACTATACAAGGTAGTATTAAACACAAGACGGTACTTGTAGTGGTTGCTAGACTGGTTTATGCTTGTCCCTGGAAATGGTGCCTTCTCCTGCCCAACACTGTGAGGAGGATGCAATGAACTAGGTATGGGGCTGTTTAAATGCACCACTGGCCTTGCCCCCAGTTCAAAAGGTCCTTTCAGGCAACACATCAGACTTTTTCTAAGTAATGAAGAAAACATTTTCCTAAACTCTCCTGCCATTTCCCACTACTCCTCCATGCCTCTCCAAGGAATGTCTTATGACATCGCTTTAAAAGAACAAAACAAAAAATCCTCTTGTTATAATTAACACAGGCAGGTTTGTCAACCTGAACATTTCGTCTGCTTGCGATGGCTGTCTATTCCTTTCATGTTTCATGTCTGCATCAGGAAAGGGACAAAATGAATTAGAGCATGCACAAGGGTCAGAGAGGGAGTGGGTGAGAGAGAATATTTGTTGGGAGGAATAGGGGAATAATTCCTCAGCATACCTGCTTCAGTGGGCAGAGGTGGCCCAGCTCTAGCATACTACTTATCTAGAAGCATTTCAGTCTGTTTTTTGGCCTGGTCTTGGTTGTTCTAACAGAAGACTCACACCAGAAGGTGGACAGGGAAAGTCCAGCCCTCTTAATCAGCAGTGTTCAACATCACCCATCATAGCATCCTTCTGGAGCTGTCTTGCTGGGATGGGACATGCAGTGGTTTGAATTGTTCCTGAAGGGCCAATCTCAGAAGGCGGTGCTGGGAGACTGCTGCTCCACCCATTGGTCTCTAACTTGTGGGTGACTGCAAGAGTCTCCTATGCTATTTAGCGTCTACATGAATCACTGGGTGAGGTTGTCCAGAGAGGAGGAGGATACCATCAGTATACTAGCGACGCACAATTCTCTTTCCTTTCCATCTAAACCCAGGGTGGCTGAGGTTCTGACCCAGTACCTGAAATCAGCGATGAACTGGATGTAGGTGAGCAAACTGAAATTAATCCAGGTAAGACAGAGGTGGGAGAAGAGCTGGTCTAGGATTAAGTGTAGTGCCTAATTTGGATGGAGTTGCAACCCCACCCCAACCCAGTTAAGGATCAGGTTTGTAGCTTGGAAGAGCTGCCAGATGTGCCTGAAGACTTTTGAGTAATGTAGGCTAGTACCCTAGCTATGCCCTATTATGATGGACAAGACCTGGCAGCTGATCACACAAACCAAGATTGGGGGGGGGGGGCTGGTTTTGAGAGAAGTCAACTTGTCTTCTTCATCGCAGTTCCTACATTGGAGGGAGTCAGCCTAGGTCAAACCTACAATTCTATGATGGCTTATTTTTCAACTTCCAATGTAAAACTTGTTATTTTCAGGGTGCTCTTGAGTTAAGCAATAATGGAATAACATTCTGAGATGTTTGTTGGTTATCTTTCATATGATGAGATTACTTTCCTGTTCTCTGCCTTCTTGAATATTTGGTTTGGGCTTTTAATATCTGTAAAGCTCAGCAGCAGCAACCACCACAACCACCAAACAATGTGTTTTAATATTGTTGAAGGCCTCCTTGGGAAGTCCCTGAGGGAAAGAGAGACTGAATACAAATATTTTACCTAATTAACTGCTTACTTTGTTGACATGGAATTCAATCTACTTAAAAAGCATTCCCACCTGCCATCCAGGTGAATATGTTAAAGTATTTCACAGCAGACAGAGAGAATTTGGTAACTGAGGAACTTAATGCCTGCTATTTACACTCTTATGAATGCTTTCCAAGGAGCAATGCTTAAAGTGAAATTGTGTTTGGACATGCTGCTATCATAACTATTTTTTTGAAGAATCACATGCAAATGCACACTCTCTGTTTCTAGTGTTAGACCCTGCTCTGCTCCACAATGCTTGTGAAAGAGTGCACAGGGTGGACCCACCAGAGAATAAGTCAGAAACCAAGATCATTTAGCAGACGTGATGGTTAAGACAAAGATGCAAATGAAAATGTCTCCTAATAAAAATGTTGTTGTTGTTGTCATCCTTGCCTGTTCCCATTAAAATTCCATCACTGCTGCATGGCAACGTGAGGGTGATGAGCCACGACTGAGCCAGCTCTGCTTATTAGGAAACGTGAACAGAAACAAATCCCCTTTTCAAGCAAAACAGACAAAACTGTGAAATGTGCTGTCGCACTTATTTACCCATCAAATCCTTAAGAGTTTCACAACCACACATTCTTATTAATCAAAGAAATGCCATGGGAAACCTATATTCAATGGTGTTGTTTTCCCCCTAAAGGTTAAGTAATACCTTTGCTGAATAGTTTCAAATGCACAGCACCACCAAATGAGCTACTATTAAGTTTCCCTCCCTCTGTAAGCTCAGAAACAGAGTGCAACATTACAAGAGCATCCGTGCATGATAAGAAGATTCGTCTCCAATGCAAATCAAACTCTAAATGCTTGTCAAGGTTGGATTGTAGCAACTGTTATACAAGTTTCTGATTTACATCCTCAACTGAAAGCCAAACGTTTTCCAGCCAACTTGCTTTTTTCCCATGTTGATAAGCTGCAGTAACTAAATATTCCAGATGAGTAATTGCTCCTTAATGTTAACAGATCAACCGTATGTAAGTTTGCACAGAAGCACTACTGAATTTAATGAGACTTACTCTCAATAGCACACAGGATCTGAGTGTAGTGCAGATACTTTTTCCCACAGGTGCCATCCCAAGGCAGTTCAGAAAAGGAATTAGAGAAGGGGAACAGGGAGAACTAATCTTCGAGAGGGGCAGTAAATTTAGAGCAGAGGAATGGGGGCTGCTGGGTATACTTGCCCCAGGCCTTGGAATCATATCTAGGCCCTGATGGGGAAGATGGCATGATGCAGTGGACACAGTACTTCACTTGGAATGCAGAAACATGGGTTCAAATCCTATAAGACCCCAAAGCTCACTGGGTAATATTGGGCTCCCTCAATTTAACTATGTGAGGTAGTTCTGTTCAGATATTCAAGAAAATGTCTAATACATTCTACAGTCTGTGGGGTGGTGAAGCAATTTCCTCTAGGATGGAAAGTAGGATATAAAACAAAACAGATTCAGTGAATATTTGGGGAAATTATACGAAACTGAAAACCAGAAACTTCTAATCAGAAGAGGTAACTACTGCTACCAGTTTTAACTTGTTACCGTATTTGCTTTTTTCTGTCGGTAAAGAATATACTCTGTGATAGGCTTCCCCAATCTGATGCCCTCAAAATGGTTTGGACTACAGGTCCCAATAACTCCAACCAACATGGTCAAATGTTGGGGATGATGGGAGTTTTTGACCAGGTTGGGAAAGGCTGCTCTAGGAACAACCACCAAAAGGGCATAATTTAAAGGTGAAACTCACTGCTATTATCTTTTACAGCCTGCCTAATTTAAAGATGAATCATTCTCAAACAGAGGGAGAAGAAAAAGTACCGAACGATGAGCTGGAATGCAAAATCTGTTACCAGAAGTTTACCGTCCAGAGCCGCAAACCCAAAATCTTGGACTGCCTTCACAGAGTGTGTGCGAAATGCCTGACAAAAATCCTCCACGTGGGAGATGGCTCCCATTGCATTTGCTGCCCCTTCTGCCGCCACAAGACAGAGCTGCAGGAAGAGGAAGTGGAGGGCCTTCCTGACGACGCAAACATCATGTCCAAACTCATGACAAAAGACAAAACATCATGGAGCTCGGACTGCAAAGAAGTTGTCTTGACGCCAAAGAACTTGGCTTCCTCCAGTCCTTCTCATGGGTCATCAAACTGTTTGGTGATTACCATCATGGAAGTACAGAGAGACTCCACAAGGACGCCAAGCCAGAACACCCTCTCGGATTACTACACAGATCACAGCCTTGACTCGGCATCTGTGAACTCTCACAGCCACCTGGATCAAGATCTTTTCTCTAAGCTCTGTAATCATGTCCCCAGAATACTGGTGTGGCTGCTTGGATTTTTCTATTTTGGTTCTTTGCCACTTGGAATCTATTTATTGGTGATTCAGAAAGTGACCCTTGGAATTGTCTGTGTCAGTCTCGTGCCATCCAGTCTAACTGTTTGTCTTGTGTATGGCTTCTGTCAATGCCTTTGCCAAGGAATGTGTGACTGCTCCTCTAGAAACTAACATTTTTTAATACTGAATTTTGGATATTGGCACTATAGACCTTCAAATGTATAGGCTATTTAAAGCCTGCTGTGGGTTTTTTCTTTTTTAAAAAAATATCAGTAGCCAAAAATGAGACATCTATATTTAGATGTTCCTAACTTTCCATCCCACTATCCCAACAGGTAGCCACACTTTAGTGTGACCCACGAACAAAACCCAGAGGGGTTAATGGCTTTGACAGAGTTATCCAGGGCAAAGTTGTAGGATCCCATAAGGCAGTGTTCCCCAACCTTGGGCCTCCAGCTGTTTTTGGACTACAACTCCCATCATCCCTCGCTAGCAAGATCCCTCAAGGATGATGGGAATTGTAGTCCAAAAACAGCTGGAGGCCCAAGGTTGGGGAACACTGCCATAAGGGATACATCTGATAGAAGGCAATTTTTTTTATCTCACTAGGGGCTATTTAGCTTCCATTGCAATGTCCACAATCCTGACAGGGCCAAGCATCACTGAGAGGCCCCCAGGAGAATAGTGTCCCTCCCTAGAGGTTGTGGAGGCAAAAGAGTATTCCACCCCCAGCACTTTTTCCACCCCAAAAGTCCAGCTTTTGAGGGAAAAGAGAGGAAGGTATTTCTTTTTTGCTTCCTCGGAAGCTGGAGACTAAATTTGGCTTATGAAAGAGGGGGCAGCATTTGGAAGGAGAGATATGGCCTTGCTTCTTGTTCTGCTTCGACAAGGGCTTCAACAATGGACAGGAAGCGGAGGAAGAGGAAAGTGAAGGAGAATAGCAGGACTGGGAAAGGACTGGCACTATCACGCTATCTCCCCTGTCAAACTAGATGATCATGTAGCTAGGATGAAATAAAAATGCAGATCTGAAGAACAGACTAGGTGAAATGGTATTGCCAATCTATTCTTCAACCTGTCTAGAATTTGTGTATTTTGAGACAGGGATGCCAAATCAAAAATGATGGAACTAGGGTATGTATACTTATATAAAAGACTATGAAGCTGGGATGGTCTGAAATGAGATCTGTTTTATTGCATGGATTCTCCTGTTCTGGAATAATGTTCCTTTACTTTAAACAGAGATTTGGCAACTTTTCTGCTAGAACATACTGTTCATTTTTTAAGCCATTGTAATTACCGGTACAGGTCGTAAATTATGCTTTATTTTCTGAGTGAAACTCTTGAGGAAAGCTTTCCTAATTAAGGCAATGTCAAGCTTTTGGTCTTTGGTACCAGCAGCCTGTTACTTATTTTATGTGAAAGTAACCTCCACTAAGATCGGTGGGCATGATTCAGCAGTTGGAGGGCAAGCTTTAGACCCAAGGACCCAATGCTACCAGCAACTTAATCTGGCCCCCAGGAGCTGTGTACATCTGGAACGCCTCCTTCCTAAACCAGCAGCCTGTAAAGGGACCATGGGAGACTCTTAGCTGGGAACTCCAGACTAGGGTCTGCTGAAGCACACAGGTTTCTCCTGATGGAAATGCATGCAAGATCTGGGTGGGTGCAGGCTGCTCCTCAGGGCTGTCAACAGAAGTCAGCATGTTGCTGGCTTTATAGGAGAAAGACACAGCTAGCTGTGGCCTGGGGGCTTTGTAAAGGATGGGATAAGGAAACAGCAAGCACCAGCACTGGGCCTCCTGAAACTGTGCACTTGTTATCTGGGCCAAACAGTTACTGTACTACCAAGTTTCTCCACCACTATCCCAGCCTCCTCAAAACCTCCAGGACAGGACCTGCTGGATCTATGACTTTAATAAGGCTCACAACCTCATTCATATCTACCATCCCAAGATGCTCCTTTCTCCACAGAGCAGAGGTGCAGGTATGCTCCTGGATTGACCAATATCAGGTAATGTAGTATGTACTTGGTAGCAAATAGGCTTTTAACCAACAAATAATCATAGCCAGTCATTAAGTTAGAGATCACTATTTTGTCAAACAAATAACCTGCCCACTTTTAACTCTGGCCCTGCCCAGCACTTGGAAGGTTGGCCACAAAAAATGTGGCCCATAGGCTGGTGTATATGCCAAATAAAATACCCCTAAGGATTTGGGGGCACTAATACAAGAAAAAACAAAAGAGCCAGCCATGATCACAATAAAATAGCTTCCTCTTTCACACCTTGGATAAAGGCTAACTTTTTTAAAGGTTTTCCTGACTTCTCAGCTCAAGGCAGTTTAATATACTCCAAACATTAGAAAACAATAAAAACTCGACAGTTCTGCAGCAACAGATAATTTAATAAAACAGTGAAGCCATAACAACACAGCAGCAAGAGCATAATGTTGTTTTTAGCTGGACTACCTCATGCTGCAAGCTGCCTTGTGCTGGTAGGGAAAGGAGGACCAAAATCCCAATTGAATTTTAAATGTTCAAGAGGCTTCCAGCTGGTGCAGGCTGAACACCTGTAAGTGTAGCTGCCCAAAGGACAGGAGGAAGGAGAATGCTTTTCATCTTCTCTGCAAAAAGAGACACAAAGGGATCAAGTGAGCACTGCATGTGGTGGCACTCCAAAGCCTCAGGGCTCCTCCCAACTGTCTCATTTCCTGGAGCAAAGGCACATGAAGCCCAGCCTGTCTGGCCTTGTGTTGGGAGAGGCAGTCTCTAAGCTGCCCACAAAAGGCTAGATTTAGAGCAGGACTGCCACAGTGAAATATGGGACTGATATGTCACAGGAACTGAACTTCATCCTATTACAAGTTGTACTTACGTGACTCAAATTCCCAGGGACTGGAATATTTGCTAGTGAGCCAACCATTTATTTAGTACACAGCTTTTCCACAGGACTAAATCATTTAGTTCCTTTATCTATACAATATTGATGTGGCATCTGGGAACATGGGAAATTGCCTTACACCTAGCCATAATATTTGCCCCTGTAGCCCACTACTGTCTACTCTGGCAGCAGCTCTCCAGGGTTTCAGGCAGAGCATGCTCTTTCCCACCACCTGCTACTGACACCAGGAACTGAAGTAGAGATTTCCTTGCATGCAAAGCATGTGCAAAACCAATGAACCATCTTATTATACTGCCACTTACCTGAAAGTGAGCCCCCCCCTAACATTTGCTTTTGAGTAAAACGTACAGAGGATTGGGTTGTAAATCACCAAAAATTAAGGTGTGGCCATCTCACAGCTGTGGATCTTCCTCCTCCCCTTCCTGAGCATAAGCCTTTTCTGAAAGCATCACAGGGCCTTTTTATGTGGTCTTGCTTTCAGATGGCCTGAGTCAAGTTCCTAGGTACTGTTTTTCTGCACTGCACATTACAACATCATCTTTGGCCTTGCTCACACATAATGTTAAGCCAGGGGAGGTAAACCTCAAGCTACCAGACCTAACAAGTCCCCCTGCCTGCCCCAGGCCTCCCCTGCAGCATAGGTTGACTCAGACTATACCATCTGTCCCACTCCCGATGTTAGGCACAGGAAGGTAAACCTATGGGGCCAAACTGGGGCCAGAGTGGTAGTGGGGCAACAATGAGGGAGAACACTGGAAAGAGGAGGAGTCGGAAGCCGAAGAGGTAACAGGACTTAGTGAGAGAGTGTGTGGCAGAGAGAAGTCCATAATCAGACGCAGAAGCTGAAGCAGGTGAGGAGGAAGAGGGAGGCCAAGAGGCAGAGATGAGTCAGGTTGGTAAAGAGTCATGAGTATGTCCCCATGCTATTGAGAGAATATCCCCTCCCCCCCCATCTCCCAGAACCAGAAGGGGCCTGAAACAGCTGCAGGAGAGACAGGCTACACACAGGCACCATCTCTGATTGCTTGGGGGAAGCCCTCTTCAGGAAAAGCCCTGGACTTAAGATGGCTGGGGGAAACTGGGGACTTTCAGTCTTGGCAACTGATTCGTGGGGTAAGACCTACTGGGGATGAGCTACTGTGCTCATTAGGCCTGGCACTCAGCCAAATCAAGGGAAGATTGTGGTTTTGCTAATAAAGAGTTAACCAACTTTGAACAGTGTGATTTACTGTTGGCTTGCTCTGTGACATTTATTTAGGGAAACAGTCTCAATAACGTTGAAAGGCAGGGTATTAAACCAATTCTCCTTTTTCTTTAAACGAAACGATTCTGCAAATTATAATGCAGTTCATGCCTTTAATATTGGATGTGGGGCAAGTGTATTTTGTTCAGGATAGGCTGCAGCAGGATCAGCCACATCCTTAGGCATCCAGCAGATGAGTCTGCTGCGATGAACTCCATGAAGTGTGATGGAGAGAAATGTGTCCCAAGCAACTCGAGGGCATCTGCTGTGGCACTGCAAATGCCTGCCACTCCCTTCCACTCACCTACCACACCTCAGTAGATATGGTATCCCCATTATTCCCTTCACAGTTTTCACTGCAGCAAACACTAGATAGGACATCAGCAGCAGCAACTGTCACCTGGTCCCAGGATGTCAGATCTTGTCCACTATAAATGAATGCCCAGAGTAATCGTACACAACACTGCACAAGCGGATTGGGCCTTCACTGTTTTTCTCAAAAATAAATACTTAACTGGAGACACTTAGGAGTTGCAACAGCTCATCCATATTTATGAAGAATTACAGTATTTTGATTAGTGGAAAGCTACCCTCAGCTAGCATTTTTCTTCTAAGACTAAAAAAGAGAGAAACAAAAATTAGGCCAACTGCCAATTTCACTCCAGGGTGCTTGCTTTTAATCAAATATTTATCTTAAGGCTGGCTAGAAGAAAGAGAATGCAAAACAAGCCTGTGAAACCAAAAGGGCAAAAGTGCCTCAGCTTGACGCAGTTTGATGCTAAAAGGTTATGATGTTTATCATTACAGTAATTGTTCCAGAAAAATTAAACTGACATTCTTTTACAACAACATCTACAGTACAAAACAAAACAACTGTTGTAGTTCTAATATGAAAACCTATAATTATTATTCCAATGCCACTTAAAAGCTGGTAACTGAAAAGACATATTTATATCTATATTTTGTGTGTGAAAGGGATTTAAGATACACTCTCTAAAAATACTTCCCAAATGAGCCTCCTACTGGCAAATACACACATGCAAAGTATCCATATAATTGTTGATACGATTAATTCTGAGCAGAACTGGAGCCCTGAAGAGAACTTAAACCAAACAGGTCATTCCCTGGAGGGTTTGGCTAGCAAATTATCACAAAACTGCTAATCATCCCTCAAATTACATGAGTTCAGGCCATTTTTAATGTTTCAGTAAGGAGGTTACTGGGGGAAAGCAACCTGAAAGGGCAAACTGTCTCTTCAACTTGTCTGTGTGATTCCCAGAAGCATCTGGTTGGTCATGGTGGGAAGCCTAATGCAGGGTGAGTCTTTGGCCCAGTCCAGCAGGGCTCCTGACAAGGCAGAAGTGCTGCGGTTCAGTGGGTGGCTCTTAAGTCCAGAAATTATGTGGATGACCTGTTCAGGGAAGGGTTGCACTTTAATCTGAAGGAACAGGTTCAATATGGTAGTGCTCCAGGATTCCAGCCCGTCATTTGAGTCCCAAGGGGCTCATGGCTGGAGTGTGCTTATGCCCAGTTTAGGCCTTCTTGCTAGCTACTGCCATTCTGGGGCCAGGATAGTCTGGCCAGAGTTGTTCGTGCTCTAGTGGCCTCCTGCCTGCAACATACCCTATGCGGAGCTCCTTTTCACATCCCTCTTTACTGCAGAACTTTAGAAAAAAGGCTAAAGAATCAGGGACGAAACACCCAGTAAAAGCAAAAATGAAACAAACCCCATTCTAACAGCATTTTACAGCTTTGTAGGTCAGATACATTTTCCCAGCACATCCTGTTACTGCAGAAATCCATGGCATGCATTAGCTAGAAGCAAAACTGCATGAAATAGCGGCTGTTGCAGCACTTTGAACCAAGCCACATATTTGTGACTGCAGTTCTAAAAAAAAAATGTAATATATAACAGAAGAACTGTAGTGTGCTATAGATATATTGTCTGCAAACTCTACTCACCTTCACTTTCTCTTCTAACATCCCTAGGCGCATGTTTCCTTCTACTATTTTGTTGAGAACACCATCCTGCTGTCTTTCCAAGCAACTGGTCTGGAGGAAAAAGGAGGGGGAAGGTGAGCTGGCAAAATATTTTGCTGTTCTGAAATGTATTCTACTGATATATTTATGTATATATCAATTACATTTCTGGACTGGCCCTTTATCCCATAGGATCCCAGGGAAGTGAACACATGATAAAATAATTAAATAATTAAAAGGATTACATTAAAACAGTTTGGCAACAAGCACCAGAATAACCATGCCCATTCACAGACCCCCACTCAAATGTTTCCCATCACTTGCTACCAGAGACCCTTTCAGCTGAAGATGCTGGGGGTTGAGCCAGTCATCATTGGCAGGCAAAGCAGCTGCTCTACCACAGAACTGTGGCCCTTCCCTACTACTGCCCTAGCTGAAAAATACTGTTCAGGAGGCATGTGAGCCTTAAAAGAAATGTTCAAAATGTGTTGTGCCAGACTAACTAGTAGAAACTACAGAAATCATATGAAACCCACATGCAGGAAAAATTCATTACAGAATGAATACTGATCAGTTCTGGGGGAAACACACACACTGAAATGCTGACTAGTTTTCCAAAATCAGCCACTTTAGCAACAGATTTCAGTCACAGTAATTACCTGAACAACCAAGAATAGCTATTGCCTACAGATCTCTCATTTTTGTTCAGTGAATTAATGGAAACATTCTACCTTCAGTTCACTGGTTTCAAAAGAATCATTTATTTATCATGCTGAGGGAAGTCTAAATGCCAACAAACCACATCTGTGACTGCATTTTGCACAAAGGTCTCCTGTACTATTTTAACCTTAGGTTTTATGAAATGAATAAATAATAAAAATGGAAAACTGAGAAAAACAGGACAGGAGGCACAGAAACATCCTATTTCTTGACTGCTCTTGTCATGAACCCATAGGTGAAGGGGATAATATATAATGGATTGTTTCAAATATAAACAATTTTTTCCAAACCAGGTGGTGGACCATCAGCTGCTACAGTTTGCATTCCTCTCCTTGCTTCTCATCAATTATCTTTTTAAAAGACATTTTTAAATAAACACACATTTCTCAGTCTAAAATTGTGAGTTCATAGGGTCTGTTTGTAAAGCACCTAGTGGTAGGCACTATAGATACAAAAAAATATTATTTAGATTCAAGCAGGCAAACGGAACTACTGCATGCATGCCAGAAGTACCATCTTAATTTCAATTGTGTGTTTGTGTGCCTCCTCTCCCCCACAATGCTCATGAGGCCTCAGTTCACCTATTACATTAAAGTGTGTTTTACACCTTTTCTGACTTCCTTGGCGATGGCTATGGGAAGCAAGGTGGTTTACATATCTTTCTTGGCATATCAATGGAGGTCAAGTGGTTATTCAAGTCTAGACCAGCAACTTTTACGGTAAAGACATTTCAGCTTCCTGATTGGCAGGGCAATCCAAATGTCTTCTGTGCTGGGTCAATCAGGATTGGGCAGATGTGTCCCTCCACCCAGCCCTTATGGCCTCTGCCAGCCTCCCCTATGCAGTGATCCCACTTTCAGCCACTGAACAGGCTGGCAGGCAGAGGTGTCATTGCCGGAATCAGCAGCAGCCAGTGATAAGATCCAAAATGGGGCATTTGAGGCTGGGGGATTGTCTGAGCCAGCCTGAGATCCAATGGATCTGGAGCCAGTCTCTCTGCAGTCATTGGAGGGTACTGCACCAGCTCCAGGCTAGCGCTGCCATCTGCGCTGCCATCTGCCTGCCTCACCCACCCTCCCTGACTGGCATGTTCAGTAGATCTGTGAATGTGGCAGTAGTCCTGCCACTTCCAGCTTCCACCAGGCAGAAGCTGGGATTAGGATTTCATCCTAAACTTAAACACTCTGTGGTCTGCACTCCAGTGACACTCAGTTTGGCACTTGCCAATTTCAGGAAAATACTATGCAAAATTAGTCGGCTGCAATTCTCTGACAACCCCAAAATAAACACTTATACAATGAATAAGTGCCACCAAGTTGAATGGTGCTTACTCCCAGGTTCAACTCTGCATAAGATTATAGCCCTATGTGTATTTCAGCCTTTAGTGCTCCAAACACTGCCCCATTCATGATATAAACAAGGTTTTGAATTCCTTATGGTTATTTCATTTAACCAGAAGGGGCCACATATAGACAGGGTTTTTTAAAAAAAATTACCAAGTTTAAAAGACGATTACGTTCTTGAGTCATATTTTCTGTCAAGTTGACCAGGTCTGCTAGAATCCGGCGTGCTGCCATCTCCTCTTCCACTGCCTCTTCCAGCTGCTGCTTCAGAAGGCCTATTTTCTTCTGTGATCGTCTACAAGTTATTTTGTAAGGTAGAAAGAGTCTTTAGGAAGCAATTTAGGATCACTTAATATTGTGATTAAACTCTGGTGCAATTCCACACCCACAATGACTTCAACTGAAATATACCAGCTTAAGCAATCACTTAAAATGCATCCAATTATATTTTTAGATATTTAACCAACGAGGTTACACCACTTGCAGAAAATCTGAATTATTATTATTATTATTATTATTATTATTATTATTACACATGACTGCTAATTCAGTAACTCTGTGAGCTAGTCTTTGATTGCACACAGAGCATCTAGCACAAAGAGCTACTGAACTAACAGTCATGTATAACAAATTCATGAGTTAGAGCCCAGGACAATTTAGGCTATAACTGTGGGGGTCTGGCTCCTTCAGGCCCATTCTTTGAAATATTAGCTTCAAAGCACACTGCTCACTCTCATGAAACCAGTTAAAAATGAACTATGGTTTAACCTTAAGTTTGAATCAGGTGGGTTTGATGGTGTTTTCAAACCACCTCAATTATAAGGACTAACCCTCTTATTTCTTATTTAAAACAACAGCTGAGATTTATTTTAAGGAACATTGCATTCATCTATACAAAGCTTATTCCTTGTTTTTCACATTTTGAAAAATTTAAATTAAAAACAAACAAAGCAATATTCTGCTGTCCAATGCAGGCCAGCCATTTGTTTTTTGTGCAGTCAGGCTACTGAATGTTCTTGTGCTTAGGAGGAAAAAACTAACCAAAAGGAGCACGGAAGAAAACAGGCAAACCTCTTTGTCTTCTGTGTCTTTTCCAGCTCAACTTCAAGGACTGTCTTTTCAGCTGCTAGGCCATTTTTCTCTAGAAGGAGGACTTTTTTTTCTGCTTGCAGAGATGTCATTTTCGCCATTAGCTGCTCTGACTCAATCTCTCTCTTTTCCTGTTCTTGTTGCAACTGACTACAGAAAACAATAATGAAAACCAGGCATCAAATAAAAGTACTATTTCCTTTTTAGAAATGAAAAATGAGAACTAACCGATCAGTAGAAAACAGCAATTACAACAAAATTATTCAATGAAAAGATTCTGTTCCAGTCTGAACAACATCCCCAAAGAACCATCTTTATGTGGTATGAAGAACTAACTGTACACTGAGCTTTGGCCACAACCCAGACAGGATGCAGTCAGATCAAGGACCAAAGCAGTTAAATGCACCTTTGCATTTAAATGCACCTTTGCATTTAGAGCAAGTTTTTATCAATGTACCGTATTTTTCGCTCTATAACACGCAGATTTTTTCTCCTGAAAAGGAAGGGGAAATGTCTGTGCGTGTTATGGAGCGAATGTGTGGTCCCTGGAGCCGAAAAATCAGACAAAAATCAAATCGGGCTTCACAATTGCTGAACGGAACAAAGAGCAGGGAAAGCCCCTCCCCTCCAGGCAAGAAGAGGAAGTGGTTGCTTTCCTGCATTCTGCCTCAGGGTCTTACTGCCCTCCCGCTCTGTTTCGTTGCTGTGTTTGCTGAAACGGAACAAAGAGCAGGGAAAGCCCCTCCCCTCCAGGCAAGAAGAGAGGAAAGCAGAGCGTCCCTCTAATTCCTCTCCATGCTCCGGAGGGAACAATGTTTGTGAAGGGAGAGAGATTACAGGTTCAGTTTAAAATTCTGATTTGACTTCCTGCTTTTTGTTTTTGGGGACACACAGCATTCAAATATGCTTTCTTCCATTTAAAAGGATGAAATCCTTAAACAGTGTTTTGCCTGTAAATTCATGCGATCTGGAAGATTACAGTGTCTGTACCTCTTAAGGGATGGCAAAGCTTAGGTTTCGCTGCTAAATAGTTCTTAATGCAGTTAAAATGCTTTCTTCTGTCAAGGCAATTAAAAAAATAAATATCAGGCAGCCGGAAAACATGCAGATGGGAGGGAGGGAGAGAGAGAGAGAGCGCTGGCTGGCTTGTGTGGGTGTGGGGGGGAACTTTTGCCTTCCTTTCCTCACGTTATAGCCCTCTCCTGCATTCTTAGCCTTCTGTGTTTTTCCTTCCCTCCCCACTTAAAATGTGGTTACAAAGCATGGATCCACATGGATCCTCAGGATCTTTGCATTGGGTCACCCCAAATTCACCATCAGAGCACACAGCATGTCCATGGCTACAGCCTGCCCCCCCCAAATCACGCACCCACTGTTGCCTGGGGCTGCAATGGTGCAAAAACGTGGTTACAAAGCATGGATCCACATGGATCCTCAGGATCTTTGCATTGGGTCAGCCAAAATTCACCATCAGAGCACATAGCATGTCCATGGCTACAGCCTGAAATATGCATCAAAAGGGGGAGCGAAGGCTGATAAATTATCAAATTGCAGCAGGTGTCAAGGCGGGAATTTAACCCTTTTCTTTCCTGCACCTATGGGAGATAACCTCCCAATACAAACAACGTCTTCCAAGAAGGATTTCCTCAGGACCCTAACAAGGAAAGAAAGAGTAAGGTCTCCCTACCACACTTTATATGATCCTGAAAACTATCAACTCCCATGCTCTGATGCTATTCACATATTTTAAAACTTGTACAGTAAAGGCAAAGGAACATTTAACTTCATATCCAGTTTGGTATTGAGGCTGCAATCCTATACCTACTTACCTGGGAGCAAACCCCATTTAACTCAGTGGGACTTACTTCTAAGCATAGATGCCTAGGCTTGTGCTGTAATTTGAGACATACACCCAGCAATTTCTGCTGCTTGACCACAATACCAACATGGCCACTTGTTCATGCTTAAGGGGGGCATCGCATTTGCAGTTGCAGTGTGCTCATTTTAAAAAGTACTGTGAATGCATACAGGGCAAAGGAGTCACAGTACAGATGAAATGGTGGCTACAGTGGGCCACACACTAGGATTGGGACCAAAGGCAAAGTATATGGAAACATAACACCAGCATGTGAATTCCTCCCCTCTCCTTGCAACTGGACAGCATTTCCACCAATGCCTTGTTCTAAAGCAAAGGGAAGATGAACTACATATTGATCTAAAAAACTTAGTGGCATTCTGTGTTTGCACCACTATTTTCAAATGTAGATGTGACACGGCAACTCTCCTAATGCCTTTTTTAAAAAGCAGGAGGGACTACAATGCTCCACCCTTCCCATGGTGAGCTCACCCTTCCTGACAAGGGGAAGGACCACAGTTCAGTGGCAGGTGGGCAGGTGAATTACAGTGTATGGCACAGTGGCAGCTATGCCATATGGCATCACACCAGTGCAGTGGTAGAGCACGTGCTTTAGATACAAAAGGTTCCAGAATCAGCCCCAGACCTCGGCAGGTGGGGCTGGGAAAGAAACCTTGGAAATTTGCTGCTAGCCAAAGTACAGCAAACAATACTGGGCAAGACGGACCAGCTTACCCAGTATAAAGGCAGCTCTCTATGTTCCTGACTTGAGGCTGAAGGACGTTCACCGTAGCTAAGGCTAACCCAGTTCTTCCAGGTTTGATCAGAGTGCGAAGCTAGTAAAAAGTGTCTTTAACTTCAACCTTCTTTACATTGTGCCTCAAGTTGTATCAACTGACTACAAATAAACTTAAAACTGGCACAAATAAATTGGAAAAGCAAAAGCAAGTAAATATAAATAGCTACAACCATGCATGGAATCCTCCAAGAGGTGTTTCCTCTGATATTTGCACTTATCTGACTCCTACCTTTTGAATTTATTGACCAAAGCCACATGCTCCTCCATTGTGATGTGATCTCCCACACTGGCTTTCAGCTGTTTGTATGCGGAGCGCAGTTCTTCCAGCTGCTTCTGACACTCGCTCAACTCCTCTTCTTGGCTCTGTTTCTTGGCTTCCAAAGTCATCAGCTGTTTTGTTAATTTAGAAACTTCAAAAGAGAAAACAAAACATTTGAGGTAAAGTCAGAAGCTGCCTTAGGAAATGAGAACAGAATATACACAGTTATTCACTTCTGACATTTTTAGTTCATCATGAAGCCTTCTCAGCTTGGTTCAGTGAGTTAATCTGAAGTATTATAATTAGTTATAAATGGTACATTTCACAAGTTCTGAATGTCAATGGAGATTAGTTAAGCATATGAAAGATGTGTCAAATGGAAAGCTCACTGAAGCACTAAAGTCTCCAAGAGCTCTCCAACAGACTACATAACTCTCTGAAGGGCTAGTTCCTGTGACCAAATTCCTTTTATATTGTTAATGACAATCCTCTGTAAATTAATACAAATCTAAGTTTGATGCCATGTAATGTACTCTGATGCTGTGACCAGTGACCAGCTATCATTTTACCGCATCTGAGACTTAAAAACAATAAAAAGTTAAGTAATTAATAGTTAAGTACTGTAATATTACCGACTGTAACAAATGCTCCAGCTCAGGTTCTATGATAGTTACTGATTAGCAACATTATCATTCTAAAAAGGCTTATGAAGTGCTTTATTTGGTGCTAATGCTAGCTTACACTTCTGCCCATTCTCAATAACAAACATCTCGGATCAACATAGTAGTCAAAAACAGTTCTCAAGGTATTTTACCTTCTTGGACATGTTGGCTGAGGTTGTCTTTTGCTTTTGCTTGTTGTATTTTAAGCTGTTCCATCAATACTGTATTTTCTTCTAATACTAGCTTGGCCTGGCTTTGCAGACACTGCCTGTAAATAATGATCAACTTGAAAGTGAAATGCCATTCAAACTTTTGCAAAAATCGTATTAACTAGAAAAATAAACACACATGGTCTGTCCTACATGGACATCCAAAAATGAGCCTACATCACTCTCACTTTGTGTTTGTTGTGGGAAAGATCAGTGTAACACCAGCACCAGCAACTGTGTTTGCTGAGTAAAGTGTGGAGCTTCCTGTTTCATATTCATGAAGTTTGTCTTCTGCTATATAGTACACACATATACATGCCATGCATTGGATTGATGAGAGATAACTACTCAGAGATAATAGTGTTCTTCTGAAGGAAAAAGTTTATGCTTGTAAAAACTATTTGAAAATACACATAGAAAGTTGTCTTTTTAAAAATGTGTATTTTGCTTACAATTTATAATTATATTGCTATTATATTATTATACTTAGTAGCCAAAACTGTTATACATCAAACAAGCTGCCTTGTCAAGAAAAACAAGCAAAAGGTGAAGCAGAAAGAGAGAATAAGAATAAAAATAACACATAAAATGATGTATGAAAGAGGAAAGGACCAACATAGCAAAAAAACCTATAAAGTACGGAGAACAGGTTAAAATGAACACAAAATACAAAATAAAAATAAGAACAAAAACAAACCAATAATCTCCTCTTTCACAACAAGTTTATCATAAGTATTTTTTTACTATAATTCAAGCCTATCATAAGTAATTTTTTTACAAAAGAATAACACAATAGTTTCAGAGACAACACACTTGCCATTCTTTGGTGGTCACAGTACTATTTTTACTTAGTTGCTGGTGTAACTGTTCATTTTCCTTCACTACCTCTTCAACTCGTTCTTTAAAGATCTTCATGTCCTCCTGAAAGAGGAGCAGTAAAGAACATACAAAATATTCACGACCTGTTTTACCTTCATGTTATTTCATGTTTTCCCTCTCAATAATATTTGCACGTGCTAATTATCTATTATTTGTTCATGCAAATTATCAAACAGCTGATCAAAATACCTACACTCATGATAGGGATTTGTAGAGATATGAATTCACACCAGTTGCTCTGACTTAAGAAACATCTACATTTTACAGTCACAAATGTGTGATTCCCAGTCAGTGTTGCCTGCCAGTTACCTACAAACAATCCCAACTTTCACACGGGCATAAACTTGACTGGCACATTGACACCTAAAATGTAACAAGTGAAGAGGCCTTTAGCAGAGGTTATGGAACAGGCCCCATATATCAAAGGCTCAACTTACTAAGGTCCAGTGCTCCCAAACAGCAAGTGATGTGTAAACCTGTGGAAGCTCATACGATATAATGCTCCACCAGAGAAAACAAACTTCCTTCCACATAAATAGCAGATTGTCTAGGAGAAGTGTTCTCGCCTAGTCTTTTTTGTGACATTATAGCTTTGTATTGCTTCAGCAGAAAGCATTCCATCATGGAATGTGAGCTCCCATCTGCAGGGCAACCCATGGAGTCTAAGGAGATAGAGGACAGGGAGTCTTACTAGAAGGGAGATTCCATTATGTACCCTGAGGATGTACATTCCAAAGTATCGCTGAGTACTCTTTACAGTTAAATGACATGCACAGCATTATAGAAGCCTATTTTTCTTGATATTCTATACAGCTTAAACAATCTGTAAAGAAATTAATTTGCCAGCTTGCCTCATGCGCAAGAATCAGGTCTTCCTTTTCCTTCATTCTGTCTTCATATGCCAATAGAAGGGGAGATAAATATTTCATATCCAGCTAAAGGGAAAGAAAAGTCATTTCAATTCACTGAAATGCATCTCAAAACTATATAATTCAAAAATATCCGTGTAATGACTCTTTGATCAGCTACTGCCTGGGTAAATCCAGTGGGTGAATCAAGATAGACAGAAGAAAAGGTTAACAATCTCTCTCTCTCCCCTGCGCCCAATACTACATTAACTAAATGCTAAATAATAAACAGATAATAACAGGAGGAAATAGAGAGGGGGTGGAAAATAATTTTGCGTCAGCTGGAAAAGGCTAGCTGCAAATAAACAGAGGTGAAATGGTCACCCGTTGCCAGTTACGCAAAGTACTGAAGCATCCATCTGTTTGCTTGTTAAAGACCTTGCTAAGAAATTCATTTAGCATCCTATTTTAAAACAAGCCTCCACAAAGCAAAGCAAGTTATGGCCACAAACTTTTAAAATTCAATTATCTGTAGTATTTACATAAATATCCCTGCAGAACATAATTCCTGTCTGAAATAGTGAATCTTTTAAGTTCAATAATTCTGTCACATTTTTGCACACAGATTGTATCTCCCTGCCTCCTTTTTAATGTACTTTTTTCAGCCATTTGCACACAGTGGTTAAACAATTTCCCCATAATGGATTGCATAAATTCTCATTATTTTTCCACAGTATTCCCCTAAACCAGGCATGTCCAACTGGTCAATCGCATGCTCCTGATCGATTCTCCCCCCCCCTCCAATAAAGAAGCTCAACAACTTTGGGTCTCCCTCCCCCCACAAAGCTCAACAACTTTAGGTCTCCCTCCCCCCAAAAAGCTCAACAACTTTGATCAATCCAATGGGTAGATCACTGCCAGTTTTTTTATAGTGGGAGTAGATCGCAGTCTCTTGGGATTTGGACATGCCTGCCCTGAACAACTGCCAAGTTACAGCTTATACTGATATCTATAGAGTGCACACTAAAAGCCACAGCAGATGCAGAAATATTCTGCCACCAAGGCACAAAACCCTGGTTCTTCATGATTTTTACACAGGATGACACCAAAACAACCATACAGTCATTAAATACACCTGAGGACTTGGAGGTCGCCTATAATTTGCTGGTGCTTTGAGGGAAAATGAGAGTGGCAGATGGCTGCAGTCTTGGATTGCACTTTGCAGTGCTCAGAAGGACAAGGAACAGAGAGCTTTTTCAGTGATAGCCTGTGGTTGCTGAGAGACAACATGTTGGCTTAGGGCCATGTTACACATGGAAACCCTCCTACACATATGATCACGTCTGCATAGAAAAAAATCAGGGACCCTCTACTCCAGCCCATGTAAACAGTTTCACAGGAAAACACATTTCTTTTTACCGTATCTCTGGAATGCCCTCTCCAAAGAAATTTGTATGGCCCCCTTATGCTTGGCCTTCAGAAAAACTCTTCTTAAATCTGACCTGCATCTAAATTATTTTATTGTTATGTATATTGAAGACCCACACTTCTGTTAACTTCTTTTACTGTTAATTTAAATCTTGAATTTTAGCATTTTATTTTACTGGGAGGGTATGCACCCTGAGAAGCAGGCTAGAAATCCATTTAACATTGGTAATGCCTGCAACAGTGTGTGTCAAAGCCACATAAATGTAACAGCTGAATAATAGTAATAGTAATAGTAATAATAATAATAATAATAATATGGAGAGAAGTTGGGGGAAAGCTTTCAGCTGTTAAATGTATGTGTGTAGGGCTGCTACTAAGGCACAGGGCCAGAACTAGTTAAAAAGTATGGAGTGGGGCAATCCGAACACAGCTTCTTCTTTGCAATAAAAAACAAATATCTTTCAGCTCCCTTTCGACTCTACCTAATCCAGGGATGGTGGGGAAGCCAGCCTCCTCCAAAGCTTCACCACAGCCTGGATCCTTGGAGCAAAGCATAAACAGAAGTGGGAGGGCCTCCTGGCCTCATAGCAGGAAGCACACAAGGCTGTTTTGCAAAGCCTGCCTAATGGAGGGGGTGGGAGGAGCAACTCCTAGGAGGACACTCCCCTCTACTGTGGGTAAAAGGAGAGGGGAGATCAGATCATTTAATTTTATATTGCTTCCAGGGAAGGCTGTCAGCTGTTATAGTCTATGATAGCGGATCAATCCGAGGCCCCTGTGCAGATACTTTCACGGGATTACAACATGATCCTGGCACATAGCAACTGAGCTAGGATTCTTGCAAGCAGAAGCAGGATGAATATAATTAAGCAACCAGGCCAACTACTTCAATCCAGCTCCCTGCACTCCAGTCTCAACTGGAAAAAGAAATGAAGACTGTCTTATTCCAGGAGGCCTTTGGGAACAGACTGGGGTTGCTGTTTTTTTAAGGAAAAGTGCTGTGCTGTTTTTATCATCTCTATTTTAAAAGAATAAAAACAATATTAAAAAAAACCAAACCTATTCGCGTTAAATTACTTTTTTATATTTTTAAAATATTTTTTAGCTTTTTGTATTTTATCTCTGTGTTTTTTAATATGTGTAAATATAAATAAATATAATATTGATGGTGATGATCCGCACTCTTCCAAGGGCTTGCACTCCTTTGGAAAAGGGGGAGGAGATGACAAAAATGTAATAAATAAGTAAGTAACATCACCTTCAAACAGCCAACAAAAATTCCTTTAATAAACACTGATGACCTGATGCTTAATGCTGACTATTAGAATAAAATAAGGTGCCATCCTAATCCCACTTACCTGGAAGTAAGTCCTGATGAATTCAACAGGCTTCCTTCTAAGTAGACATGACTAGACTTATTCTAACTCACTGAGTACCATCAGTTTTTATTCAATGGAACATAAAAGTGAAATAAGGTGTCTGGGAACTGCAGTCATATTACAACTATAGATTGTTCTCATGTCACCAAGGAAACAAGAAATAAAATTGTTCTACACACTTTAGAAGTATCTAGCACTAAACTACTGAAACTATGAAATAGCGGTTTGCTACATACCAGCCATGGGGGTATTGGTTTTTTCATTGGTAGGCTTCCAATTTTTAGACTCTAAAATAAGAAAAACGTAAGTTATACATTAATATTCGGATCTGTAACATTTTGTACCAGAGGTTTTTTTAAAAGAAAAATATTTATTTTTGTTCATCCTGCAAACTGGATGCAAAAATTGAACACGGTGCTTCCAAAACAGTTTGACATTTACTTGTTAAAAAAACCACCAATATTTGCAACAAGCCACTTTGTCAGGTTGCATTGACATGGCAAATTATGGTTAATCAAATATGGAAGTGAAAAGTTCTGAACTTCACCTCACGTTGTGCTCAGAAGCAGGAAGTGCACAAGTGCAAGTCCCACCTAGGCTAATTCTCCTCATGCTATACTATGGTTTAGCACAACTGGGACACTCCCTGGTAAAGATGCTTATTTTGCAACTGTAACAAATGAGGAAAAGCTCTCAGTCACCAATGTTGGAACAGTGCTATTCTTTTCTTCCTAAGAAGCTTAATAGAAAACATTACCTCATTTGGTGAAATTGGCCTGTATTTAGCCTGGTAGCGACTCAATTCTGCATTTAGACGATGAACAGTCATTTTCAGACTGTCATTTTCATCCACCAGTTCCTGGGCCTGTTGTCTTAATAAAATCAATTCTGCAAGTTCCTCTGCATAACAGAAAATTGTAAAACATTAAAGTGCATTGCAATTATAGAAAATCTTGCTGATTATCCAAACATCCAGTCCTTTTTTTCAGAGGGTACACAGTACTGACACTTCTTTTTGTTGTTGTTAAAAAGTGTGGCACTTACTGTAACAACTTCCTGGTGAGTACCTGCACCTATTTTTCTAGAAAAAAAGCACTGCAAACATCTCCTAAATGAAATAGGAATTCTGGATGCTATAGTTTCTAAAGGTGTTATAATTGCACAAGATTATGTAATTATAAAGCATACTTTGACTGCAGAAGTTCCCCAGATTAATTGTGGATTTGATGTGGAAGCCAAGACCTCTATTCGAGACCTTGGAGACCCTCTGCCAGTGAGAGTGGACAATGTTTGGTGAGGTGGCCAAGGAGCCTTTGTTAGCATAATGCAGTTTGCTATGTTTGATGTAGACTCCTACAAGCCTAATAAATTTAATAGAAACACGCCCACACACCTTTAAAAGACTATGTTCTTATTGTTTTTTTAAAAAACAACCTTTCAGATTAACATTTCTGCAATATAAATACATACTTACATGCTTTTAACTTGTGCACATTCAGCTTTAAATGTGTCAATAAAAATAAAATAAAAGGGGGGTGAAAAGGGAGCAAGTTTCTAGGGGAAATGACTTTGTTAATCCCACCCACCACTGAACCCAATGGGTTTTGACAATACACAATTCTGTCTTTAGGTGCAATCTCCAGAACCTAAGTTGTGGGCTTACTGTACTAAACCTCAGAAGCAAATGGAACACAGTACAAAGTCATATCCATTATAAATACCACTTGATGGCTATGTTTCTATTTTTACAAGGATGTTTCCTTCATATCTTTCTTTAGCATAGAATAGGATCAATGCCAACCCAAATAAACTTCCTTGATCTTTCATCATATGCTTCCAAGGGTCCTGTCCTACAAAGGCTGCGGGATGAAAATAAAATCCACCCCGCCCACCCACAGCAGGCACATGAGAAGTTCAGCATGCACTGTGAAGCCAGAAAGAACAGAGGAGCTGCCTGGTGGTTAAATTCCACAAGGCAAGAACAAGGCCCTTCCAGCCTATGCTCGAAATTTTGCATGTATATATAATATACATGTGTACAGCTGAATATACATGTGCGGGACTAGACACTTTAGGACAAATTTTATAGCTTTCCCGTTAATCAAGTTATGGATCCCTAGGTAAAAAAAAGCCTGCTAGCTTAAACTTTTGTAACTTGTGCATTCAAGTTACAAAACTAGACATTTTTATATGACTGAGGATTAAATGCTTTCTCAAATACAGTTGTACCTTGGTTCTCGAACGCCTTGGTAGTTGTATGTTTTGGCTCCTGAACATCAAAAACCCAGAAGTAAGTGTTCCTGTTTTCGAACGTTCTTTGGAAGCCAAACATCCGGTGCAGCTTCCGCAGCTTCCGATTGAGTGCAAGAAGCTCCTGCAGCCAATCGGAAGCCACGCCTTGGTTTTTGAACAGTTCCAGGAGTCGAACAGACTCCTGGAATGAATTAAGTTCGACAACCAAGATACCACTGTACTTTGATACTGTTATATCATATACTTCATTTTAAACTTCAATAATTACTTAACTAATATACTATCTGAAAATCAAGTAAATTATATGTTGTCAGCCTTCAAAAGTTATTTCAATTTTGTGTTGGGATACATTAAATAACAACAAATGCCGAGGGAATAGTTCAAGACTCTTCCAGGAGATGAAAAATGAGAAGTACAGTATTATTCTCCCAAACACATACAAACAACAGAGTCACTCCTACCTTCACTGCGTGAATTTTGTGCAGTTTCTTTAAATCTTCTATTTTCTTTTTCTAGTTTCTTAATTTCTAACTGGAGCTTCTTCATTTGCTGCTTTGTTGCCTCAAGTTCGGAAAGCAGGGCCTGATTTGCCTTGTTCAAATGCCAATTTTCTTCTTTCAGTTTCTGGAACTTTTCTCTAGGGAGGGCCATCGGTCCCTGCATTCTGCAGACTTAAATGGAAAAGAATACTCATTAGTCACACAAAAAACCTAAGCCACTCAAGCACAGGCTGCAGTCCTAAACTCATCCATGGAGGCACCATGGAAATAACAGCCATTCATTTCAAAGTGAATGCTGATTTACAAATTAAAGATCTCCCCAGATCATTATTATCCTAAACATTTCAGCTTCCATTCTGCTTACGACTGCAGGAGAAAAAAAATCCCAAATATGTAGCTGTGTTTACTCTGAACAGTGTAATTTAAAAATAAAACACTCTAATAAACTATACAACTTGAACATAAAACCAGACACCAGTGAAAACAACATCGGAACAAACTAGTAGAGACCAAGGTCTAAGAAGCACTCAAGCATGTTTTTGAAACTGGAAAGCCTAAAAGACCACAACAAAGGTGACAGTTGAGGGCATTCTACAACTGAAGCATCAGCTCTGAAAAAACCCTCCTCTTAGTAGGTCACTTGCCTTACCCTCATTGGCGGAGATACCAAAAAAAAAGGAAGTCTGAAGGTTGAGTTTGGGACAGGTATATGTTTCAAGAGTACAGCACAAATGTAAGAAAGTACATTAATATTTTTGAAACCTTTAGTCCAGTGAACTGAAGGCTAACAAAACATTAATTGTTGTAGAATTGTTTTTCCCGGGAAAAGCCATGTTTATTAAATTAACTTTTTTAAAAAAACTTAAGTCAGCCACAATCCTGCACCTCCTCTGATATTTTAAAGTCACAAAGAGGCTGGCCCTTCTGCAGAACTACTACTTCCCCCCATCCCACCAAAGCATACCCTGAAATTTGATGGGATATTACACAATGGGCTAGCATGAAGAATCAGGGGTTTTTGTCAGCAGGAAAAGCCCAAGGTGGAGATTTGCTTTCTATAAAATCAAGCTCTTCAGTTATCAGAAAACATGCCATGAAAGAAAAAATATTTTTTCCCCCTAAATTTAGAACTATCATGATTCCTGCTGGAAAACAAGACATGAGAATTTCACATGAAGCAAGGTGTTATCCTTTGCCATAAAAATATATAGTAGAATTTTGAACATAATATTAATGGTTTAGTGTTAAAAGGATAAGCCAAAAATTGCCTTTGGTACATAATCTCCCTCACTTTCATGGCACAGCCATGAGGAGCTCGGAAGCTTCCTCTTCAGATTAACCACAGTTTTAGCATTATGTCCTAACCCAGACAAACAATGGTTAATCTTAACCAGTTAGTGAAAACAAGCGAGCTTCATAAACTATGCTTTATCTGGGATCAAGTGATAGGAAAGCTGCAGTTAATCTAAAACAGCAGCAAAAGCTCCAAACTCCTCCTCACAGCTTATAGAGAATCCAACACAACCCATTTATACCAACCTAAAACAACAACAACCCAGAGTTAAATACCTGGAGTCAGTGGAGGCTTTTCATTCAGGGTATTTTCAGATATGCTTTTTTCTACCTAGCAGGGAAACAAAATAATTTGATTCTCATTTCCCTTCCATTCTTTTTTTTAATAAAAACCGCAAGGACTGCAGAAAGAATAGAAAATAGACTAAACATTTAAAAACCAATTTTCTGCAGTTACAATTACAATTTTATTAAACAGCAGAAGAAGAAAATTACAAGTAATAGACAGCATTTGGAAAGAAGAAAGATAACCTTGACTTGTAAATTGTTATGCAAGAGTTATTCTTTAAACCTTCTTTAAACTTATCATTCTTTGTCGCTTTCTGGATATTTCCTGCCAAAGTTAGTTGCATCCATATTGTCAGGGTAAGACTGCAAATGCCCAGATTCAAATATCCACTTGCCAGTGACCAACCCCCAGGCTGACCTAAACTGCAGTGTGGTTGTGAGGGAGGAAGAGCCAGGTATGCTGCCCCAAGTTTCCTGGAAGAAGGTAGGAGGAAAATAAATAGACAAGGCAGCAAGATCCTTAAATGCACTTAAGCATCTTGATATGAATCCTACCTGAAAACTCACTCCAGAGGGTTCAATTTCTGTAATACAAGACAGAAGGTAATAAATATGAAGAAGTTCAAAACAGAAAAGGAGAACTACGGTTGATCAGATTTTTTAAAATTCTCATCACTGAATCACAAGATTCTACCATTTCCCTCTTTTCTAAATTGTTTTTTATTAAAGATTTTCTGGGGTTACAGACGTACAACCATCCTTTTTCATCATATTACCGTTTGGCTGAGAGATGCGAGACCTTTTGTATGCCTCATCCATCATTCTACTTGTCAAGTTAGAAACCAAACAAGGGCTCCACTTCTATTTTCAGAAGGGCTGGAGAAGAGGCAATTCATGGTGTAATACGGTTATGCCCCTTGGATACTGAGGTATCATGAGTTGAAAGCAGCCAGAATATGGAATGAGAGAGAATCTATTACAGGGGGAGGAAAACGGAGTGCAGAGGAAGAGAGGGAATTGGCCTTATGGCTTACAGTAAGGATCCTGGAGGTGAGATGGTCTTAGGGTTCAGGAGATGACCCCTGGGATTTAAAAAGTCCCCTCATATACTATATGCAGGAATGTTTCAGAAGAAGCTGAAAGGAAACAGCACTGGATTTCCCTGTTTTTGTCCTGCGGTGGGTGTGTTGCCATTACAGAGCTACAAAATGTGCAGGTCTGGGGTTAGTAGCCCATTAGTTATAAAGCACAGTAAGAGAAACCTGGGAGCAAGGCAGAGGGGGAATATTTAAGGTGCCCTTTATCCCTTTCTGGCTCCTGAAACTCTCTTCACTCCATCCAACCAGAGTCCTGAACAGTACAAGGCTCCTCTTCTGAGTTGGATGGTGCCCTGAACAGGCCCACTCCTCATACATGTGGGGAAATGCTACAGCATTTTGATGCAAGTCGCACTTGTTCAGTAGTGCTTTTGGAACATGAACTACCATGATAATATTTTTTTGAAGTGACGTTTCCTATCATTTCATCTCAAAGCAGAAAAGTGACATTACCTTCCACTTGAACATTTGGACGAATGAGGCAAGTAGGTTCACAGAGAAAAGAATCATCTTCACCATCAACACTAGAAGATACTGGGGGATTTTCCTAAGTAAAAATATTGCAATACAATTTATAAATCCACAGTCCATCTTATGCACAACCTGCATGTTTCCTACATGAACATATTCTACTCACTGAAATTACTATCAAACCTCACCAGCTACTTTTCTTTTTCACTCACATGGGGACAGTCTAGCATTGCCTGAAACTACCACCATCTGGAAGGACCAGGATGCTTTCCCTAGTGAAGTGGGGACCCCTGATCCATTGACTAGAAGCAGCCTGCAGCCAGATTTTATCCAGTCCTCTGGGAGTGGCTGAGAGGTAATAAGGCTTTGATGTTGCAAAGTCTACAGTTGAATATCCTTTCTCTACAAGAAAATTGCCTATAAGAAGATCGAAGAGGGAAATGCCTCAGTAAAAGGGGAGATTGTTACTTGCAAGTATGCAAAAAGTTGTGTATGCATTTTACAACTGCACACAATACATTTTCAAGGTTACCACTGCTTTCCGAAGTTTGAGGCTTCAAGCAGCTGGGAGGGAGGGCTTGCAGTTTAGGTCTGCAAAGAAGTTAACTCATGTTTTTTCAGCTAGTGTTATGGGGTTATTTTTGCCTTTGACACAGTCAGAGCATATAAAAGTCATGGGAGGGCTCTTTTTAATAAGTAATGCCACCGGCAAAGTTGCACACAGGCTGCATTGCCTAGCATGGCTTCTGTCTCTTGCTCATGATAGGACAAAACAGACACCAAGACCATATTAAGTATGTCATGTGGTTAAAGCAATCGGAGTTCTTTATTTTTACTAATTGATGTAATCTATGTAAACTTGCAGATACGCTAATCATTTTGAAGAAATGGTACTTTGTCTAAATCTATCTGCCTAAAAACAATCTTTCTCACAGCATGTTTTCTGATAAATGGGAAGCTGTACCTAGTATCAATGAAACCTAATCTCCACTCTGGCTAATCTCCACTAATCTGGCTTCTGCCCATGGTGCAGAAACACATGTGCCTCACTAATGAAGGAGAACCTGTTTGTCACCTGAAATGCAATCCAGGGAGATGCAGGGCAACTGCTGTTTAAATCATGTTCCACAGCGGGCCTCATTTGACAAGTCCCACTGCCTTCCCCATGAAAAAGGAGGAAAGCCTCTCCTAAGATGCCACCTGCAGTTCTTAACAAGTACTTGTCATACAAATATGTGTCAGTATGCTGCTCATTTTAACTAGGTGACCCTTTTTGGTTAATCTGATTAATCCACTGACCCAGGCCAAAGGAAGCACTTATCCATTTCATATAAATAAAGCATGGGAAATTGTAGCAGGAAACAGTATGAGACCCAGCCTTGCTGAGCCGAATTATATCACTTCAGAATGCAGGGCGGGGGACACTACTTCATATCAAAATCTCTATGTGCATAGGGAGCATAGGATAAGGCCATCCTAGAACCTTCTGCTCTGCCCTGTTAGCTTTCTGCATTCAGGGAAGCATCTAGTTGCCACCTGCACTTTGAAGTGGGAGAGAGTCAGAAAGGTTGAGTCACAATCTTTTTCTGAACATGTCACTCATCCTTTAGTGTGCACTCCTGAACTTTATCTCAAAGTCTTCTTATTTATTGCTGTGGGACTAATGTGCTGTGAAAGATTTCAAAACTGTTGGCCTTTCTGCTTTTCTCTGCCTCACCTAAGGACATTTTCTGCCTCCTTACACAAACACTGTTTTCTTGAAAGTTCCCCCTCCCCACCCCTTTTTCTTTCCACTCCAATGCTTTTCCATCCATTAAATTTTTAATTTCATTTGGTACAACACTCTAACCTGCTGTAACGATAGACTGTTAAGCGGTTTGCTCCCTCAGATGCAACCAATACAAACTGACATCACAAAGGAGGGGAAAATCAATGGGAATCTGAGGCAGAGACTTTTATTGATATTGTTTTATGAACCATAGCGCCTGTCTCCTTACTGTGGCATCACAGCATTCATTATTTTGTAGAAATGGTCTTGCCAGACTAGTTTCAAAAATAGCTTTTACAACCAAGTAAAACAATGAGTGCTGAGCAGATATTTCAGCCGGTCTGGCTGCAAAAGTGAACAGCTTCCTGGAGTTTGAATACCAAGTATGATGCACAGTCTGCTCATATATTCTGCTGCTAAAAACTCAATTACACTTATCCTCCCAAGATCATTTGGGAACTGTTTGATGAAGGAATAACTCCAGGCATCCATACAAAGGGCTGCTTCAGCCACAATACCATTTTTAATTACCAACAAGTTGGTACCAACAATTGGAAACTGTCTAGCTTTAAGTGAAAGATAAACAGCTGGGCTCAGGAAACACATATAGTGCAAAGGAAAATGGCATCTCTGTCAATTATACATATAACAATAAAGGAACTGATAACAACATAACATTTGCAAATGTGATTAAAAGAATTTATTATTTTTACAACTGTATTCAGAAAGCTGGCAGAAGCAGACACTCCAGTGCTTACCTGTTTAATTTTGTGTGGAATAGCATAGCCAGCATCGCTGCTAATGTTTATTTTTTTATCAATAACCTGATAGTTTGGATCTGGTTCCTTTTCTGTGTCTGAAGGGTATGTATCCATGTCCTCATCCTCACAACAACTGCCTGATACTTCCAAAGACTGCCCAATGCTCCTGTCATCACCATTGCTCTTCCAGTTGTGACTGCAGGCAGAAAATGCATTAAGGGATATGAGTCACATACCCTCTCAAGTCTCCAAACCCTCGGGGTCCCTTCCTACTCCACAATTCTATGATTTCATGAGTCTTGGGTATGTGTGATTTCCATACCCTTCTTCTCATGTCCTGAAGATCAAAAGCATCTGATCTGGATTTTAAATTACCCACAATTCCATAAGATGTCCCAACTGTAAACAAACTCATTTGTTTAAACTATGGTTTCAGATCCTAGCTTGTTCTCAAACCATAGCTTAAACAAATCACAAATGGAAAACAGATGCTTTCTATTTTCTTCTTTGGAAAGCAAGAGAGATAGAGGAGAGGGTGAGAATCCAACACTCACACAGGAACATTCATGTTTCTTATTATGTCTGAAGTGGGCTATAAAATCTTGGACTCTTTAACCAGAGGAAATAAAAGTTCTATTACAACTTTTCCAACAGTTCTCATCAATACATGCATTATATCCTACCGCATTCGCAGCTCAGTGACTGTGGCATATGGCTCAATATAATTTTCTTGATCTTGCAAGTAACTGGCATCACTCTCAGAAAGAGATCGTTGACGTGGCTGAGGGATGGCAATGGTCCGTCCAGTTAGGGTTGTCACAAGAATAGCTGCGGCCAGAGCGGATCTGGAAAATAAAAATAAATACATATTTAAGCGTTTACAATGGCTTAGAACATTTTATCTCATTTCTGACAGGAATAACCTAAATGTTATTGTGTATAAGCAACAGAAGCTGCAAAATAAATATAGTGGAGTGGGCAAACTGCCACCTTTCCTTTCCATTTTTGGTAACATACCTTGAATCATTAGGAGCTTAAAATGTAAAGCCCTATTTTGCAATCAGATGTGGACCGAATTAAGTCTTCAAGGTAATATCACGTGCCTCCCTCTTATCAACTATGGGAAGAAAGGAGCCTTGCACATACTGGCTAGTTTTTTCAGCAAACTATGCTCATGCATCTGTGGGGCACTAAATCACAGGATCAGGCCATCTCCTCACCCTTCTTTCTTTCTTTCCTTACCTTGAAGAACAAAATGTGAACAAAATGAACCTCTGAAGCCTTTTCTGGACTGTACCACTTCACCCAGCAGGCAGGATGCTGTGTATCTGAATACTGGCTCACAATTTTCTTTGTGAAGGAAAGGATTGCTTTTTTATGTTGAAGAACATTCAAGCATGAAACCTGTGTCTGAAGGATTACAGTCCAAGAAAAGCTCCACCACCACTTGATTCTCCTACATGCCTACTCAGAAATAAGTCTTACTGAACTCAACAGGACTTACTTTCAGCCCTGATTGTATAAATTTGCTAGAAGATGCTGCTGTTTGTGAGCGTGATTTTGAAAAGGTAAAAAAGGGAGGAAGAAAGGTGAGATTAAAAAATAATCAGAAAGCAAAATGAAGAAACAGTGATTCTTTTAAAAGTCAAAACAAAAGGTTAATAATGTTTTTAAAGGATTGTATTTTACATTAGTACATTTTTCTGGGTTAAAATAATTTAAAAACAAAAGCATTTCATTACTCTTATTTGTCAGATAAACAATAATAATCTTTGTAAGTGATCTCTTGAAAACACTGATGTTAAATTTAATTTTATATAGGGCTGCAACGTGATTAAGAAATTTTAACTTAGTCCCACAATTTATCAATTAAATTTGCATGTAAAACAATATTTCTGAAGCAAGAAGCAAACTTTCTATGTTTTTAGCAAATGCACACATGTATTTCTCATGTGTGAGAGAGAATATATATCTCCATTGATGGCCTGATTGATCAGCAGCACTTTTAGTCAATTATTTTTAATCACTTAATCCAACTGTAATCTGCACAGTCCCCTCACACATTCTTTGAATGTGTGAGGAATGTTGTTTGACCCCTTCTAACGTAATAGAAAACAAAGCTGCAGTCTTTATTATAGTATTAGGGAATCATCTTCAACCATTTCCACTGTGATCAATACAAGCACACCAGTGTAATGTATACATCAACTAGTTCTTGCAAAGGACGGAGAGTTAAAAAAAAAAAGCCATATATTTGTGCTGCTAATTGGACTGTTCTGATCATTGCTTTTTTGTCACTCATCAGTTTTTTTTTAGCCATCCTCATTACCAATTTAAAATTAATTTATAATTAACATGTTCAAATGGTTAATGACTTCAAAGCTGCAACCCTACATATTATTGGAATGTATTAGGTTTATGTTACAGCTGCAAGCAAGAGAGAGGCATGCATTTTAAATATATATCTATATATATTCTATGCAATGAATGGTAATCAAGAGATGAAAAACATTAAGACCTACCTGGGCCTTTCTGGAGAAGGGTTTGGACTACGAGGGGGAGGGGTGCGGGGGACGGCAGCTTTAGGTGCTATGGTAGCTGCAGGGATCAGGCCATGAGCTATATGTTTCTAGACAATTTAAAATAAAGTTAGTTGGCAATGACTGACCAAACACAATGGAGAAACACAAAACTAAGTATGCACAATGACTCGAAACAACACAAAAGGGGAGAGAAATTACATGCAAATTAATGTACGTATTGGATCCAGGGCCATAGCACTAAAGAACAGGAGCACTCAATATTGCAGCATGGCAACTGAACAATGAAAGTGCAAAACACATGTATTTGGAACAAATGTTGCAGTCCTGTCTGTATTTACTTAGAAGAAAGTTCCTTTGAAAACAGTGGTACTTAACTGCTAAGTAAATATGCAAAGAATTGTATTATTAGGTCTCATTAATTTCATACTTTTAAGTATGTGAATAGAATCCAAAGAGGACTCAGTGCACTTAGTTATATATATAATTTTACTTCATTTTAAAAGAGAATACTACTATGCTATATTACAAACTGGTTTGAAACTCCTCTTGGGAAACTGCTGTGAAAGGAAAACAAGCCTGAAATCTTCTGGGGTGAGCAAAACTGGCTTGAGAGTTCCTTAGATCCTTAGAGACAGAGACTTGACATGTTTCATATGAAATATTTAACCACTTGAAAGCCATATTGCTGAGTACAGCTGTTGGCTTTAACTGGCTTTTTTTCAGGATAACAACCAAAGCTTTCATTTATTGAAAGTAGGCAGTCACTTCTAACTATCAGGGTAGTGAGCTATACACATTTCTATTTTTAAAGGCCATTTACAGAAGCATATTCTGTTCCCTGCCCCCACTCCCATAAAACTGCAATATTGTACAGCCTTACACATCCATCAAATACTTCTGAGTAAGTATGCACAAGAATAGGGCTCACTTGCATGTTAAGATAAACCATAGTTATTGCTACTGTATTATATTTATTACCCACCCTTCACCAGAAGCAATATAAAATACAGTATTAAAAGCAACTTAAAACAAATTGCAGTCACTACTAGGTTGTGTCTTAGAATGCTATATCTCAAAAGTCAAATATCTGGGTAAAGTGTTGTGTCTTTAGTATACCATGAAAGTTGTGCCATGAACGTGCCAGACATACCTCTGTGGGGAGAAAATTTGACAGCTTATGAGCTGCCACTGATAATGTGCTCTCCTCAGTTACACACAACCTTGAACCTCTGAGTGTGATGGAACTACCAAGATCAGCCCCTCTTAACACCTGAGAGGGTCTGCACCTTAGTGGTCTTTTAGATATTTGGGGGCTATGTTGTTTAGGGCTTTTAAACACTCGCATGAGAACCTTAAACTGGGCTGGAAACAAGCTAGCAACCAGTGCAGCTGTTTTAAAACAGAAGTTATACGAGTTCTAAACAGGACTCCATCCAGTAATTTGGCCACTCCATTTTGGAACAGTTTAAGTTTCTGAGTTGTTTTCAAGGGCAGCCCCATGTAGAGCACATTGTATTAAGGCAGTCTGGAAGATATCAGAACATGGACTACAGTGGTGACACAACAGGACAATTACCATACTGGTCTTGCCCATTCTGCTTCCTGCAGCTAACATGCAACAGAAATAAACCCACAATTCCTGGCAACAGATGCAATACTGGTCAAATATTCAAAAAGTTGCAATTATTGCCACAAAGCAATTATCAGTGGTGTGTACTTTGAAACCTGTGTTGCTAGTTTCTTATGTTGGATTGCTTATTGTTATAGATCTGGGGGAATCCCCCTGGCCTAAACCCTAGGAATGAATAAATATTATGATCTTGTAACAACATTTTTTAAATAAAAACATTATTTTTTTCTGGTCACTGTTCATAGGAAGCATATTTATATTAAATGCATGGCTCTTCAGGCATGGTAAAGTTAACACCCAAAATGTTCAGTTGTATTTTGATCTTGGATGAAGAAGATTAAACAGGATGACTGTCCTGGAAATGCTGCAACAACAGTAATAGCTTAATACGGATGTCCACCCAGTGTGGGAAAGGAGCCATCCAACTTGCAGTATCGCTCTGCATACAGGAAGTCCCCCGGGGCCTCTCCAGTTAAAGCAGATCCTGAAGCAGCAAAGACTGGGAAATAACTTTGCCCTAGTCCCTGAAGCACCACCACAAGTCACAGTAGGCAAAGGCGGACGAGGTGCATGACTCTACGTATAGAAACTTCATGCCTTAAAAAAATTACACTATTCGCATGAGAACTTCCCTTTCTAGAGCAAAATGTCTTGTTTCTAGACTTATTCTTAGGTTACTGGCGTGTCCTGAAGACACAGAACAGGGACATTGCTAAGTATGCAAGGCTTTCCTCATCTCTCCCCCTTCGGACAAGTTTTCCAGTGGGACGAGAGTGGCAGAGGAAGAGCTTCTCGGTCGCCATGGCAACCGGCGCCCCTGACCAGACACGGCGGGGGGGGAGGCGCGGGGGGGGGACTACCCTTCACCGAACCAGCACCAGACCCCGGCCCTGATACTCACGAATTGGCCCCTCCGGCCGCTCCTGAAGCGAAGCGCCATGTATGCGGAAGAGGGTTGAGCAGCGTACGCAGAAAAGGACGGCGAGGGAGAGTCTTCGCCGCCGCTGCCGCCGCCGCCTGGAAGCGGGGAGAAAGAAGCGATTCCGCCCGGGCAGCAGAGACGCTTCCCCTCTCGCAACCACGCCGGAACAAGCCGCGCGGCGATTGGCCAAGGCCTCCCGCTTCCACCAATCGCCGCTCGCTTTACTACTTCCGCCTTCCCCTTAGCAACCGGGCAGCCGTTGAAGGAGAAGCCCCGCCCACTCCTTCTCTCGTCGCTCGCTCGCTCGCGCGCATCTTTTCGTTTTGTGTTTTGACGGGGAGGGGGGAGCTTTGAGTTGCGATTGGCTGGTTGGCCCGGTGTCCGTCATGCGCAGAGCGCGCGCGCTGCTCAAAGTTGGGGCGCGTCTGTCTCTCTTTCTCTCTATCTCTCTCTCTCTGGAAGCGGAGCTGGCGAGGATTGGGTGGGTTTTGTCGGGAAGGGGAGGGGGGTTCTTTAACCTCCACCCACCCTCTTTTATTGCAGGATACAGTGGTACCTCAGGTTACATACGCTTCAGGTTACAGACTCCGCTAACCCAAAAATAGTACCTCGGGTTAAGAACTTTGCTTCAGGATGAGAACAGAAATCGTGCTCCGGCGGCGCGGCGGCAGCAGGAGGCCCCATTAGCTAAAGTGGTCTTCAGATTAAGAACAGTTTCAGGTTAAGAATGGACCTCCGGAACGAATTAAGTTCTTAACCCGAGGTACCACTGTGGCTGTTGCTGGGTGGGCGCCTGTATTTTCAGCCCTGCGTGTGGCGTGATCTCTCTCCTGCCTTAAAGCAAGGGTCTCCCAACCAGGGTTGGATTTAGGTTTGATGAGGCCCTAAGCTACTGAAGGTAATGTCGCTGTTTTTTTGTGTTGAATATATAGGTAAAGGTAAAGGGATCCCTGACCATTAGGTCTAGTCGTGACCGACTCTGGGGTTGCGGCGCTCATCTCGCTTTATTGGCCGAGGGAGCCGGCGTACAGCTTCCGGGTCATGTGGCCAGCATGACCAAGCCGCTTCTGGCGAACCAGAGCAGCGCACGGAAACACCGTTTACCTTCCCACCGGAGCGGTACCTATTTATCTACTTGCACTTTGATGTGCTTTTTTGAACTGCTAGGTTGGCAGGAGCAGGGACCGAGCATCGGGAGCTCACCCCGTCAAGGGGATTCAAACCGCTGACCTTCTGATCAGCAAGTCCTAGGCTCTGTGGTTTAACCCACAGCGCCACCCGCGTCCCTGTTGAATATATACTATAGGGTAATTTATGGACCTAATAGGTATCTAAAGCCATTTGCACATAACAAAAAGCTAGCAGCCGGGCCCATTATTTACATCATAGGAGCCTACACAACACAAAACACTGTTGCTGTATGTAGGTTTTATTTTATTTGTTTTATATCTTATATTTTGGAAATGTACCTTTTTTTTCCTTTAGATTTTTTTGGGACCCCCATTGATTAGCTTATACATAAATTCGGCACCGCTGCCAAACTTTACTGGACAACCCGGGTGCACATTTTGAAAGATGGCAGCATGGTACAGAGGGTGTGGGAGAGGAGAATAGTCACAGGACAGCTGCCATGATGTATGTGGCCTAACAACACAGCCACTATGTAGGGGGGAGGCATGGCACCATACAAAATTGGAGAAAGTGCAATCATGGTGAAGCTTTTCATATAGCTGTACTGCATTTCCATATTTTAAAAACTGCTCGACCTGACGAATTTCTGGCTAGAAAATAAGAAAGTGTGTTGAAGGGAGGTGAAAAGCAGCAGCTCTTGAGAAATAACACACCTACCAATTGCAGCTCAGACTTCTCTCATAAGCAGGCAGGAACAGTTAGGTTTCCTACTCTCACAAAAATCAATTAGAAGGGTACCTGCATGTTTTGCTTTGTAACTTTCTGTGGGGAGGGGGCTAGATTTTAAAAAAAGAAAACAACATCTGGAACCTCTGCTTGGTGGTGCCAATAAATGCCATTGTAGGCACTTGGGTTGGTGACCCCTGGTTTACACATTCCTAATTTTTGTGTCCAAAATTGTGCTATGCAGGGCTTTACAGATGGAGTATATACCAGAAAGAAATAAAAACCTCTGACAGATGATTTGTTTATTAACCCAACAGCCCAGTGCCCATATGCAATGCTTCTGCATCTCATGAATAATACCTTGTTGCCTTATTTTTCCTGTGTGTTTTATGACAGGTGTTTACAAAACGAAGGAGGTCAGTGATGGCAAATGAAGGCACTCCTGTCCGACTAGGAGCCGTTAGTGTCCCTTATGGGCATGTGATTGGCCATGAAAAATGGAAAGGCTCTCTGGTTGCTCAGGGGATACAAGGTAACCGTGTCAATAGAAAACAGAACATTTGTGAAAATGTAATTAAAATACAAGATCTGGATAGGGAGTTAGACTAGAATACTTTAAGCCAGATTTTTAAAGTCAGTTTTGATCTTTTGTAAGGTGCACTTGCCATGAGAGGCTGTAGCCCTAAATATAAGTGGGAGTAAATTTTATTGAAATTAATGGAACTTTTTATAAATAAATATTAATATTGGATAGGTAGACAAGGTTTCACCCGAATTCATATTTGATGCTCTGTTATAGTTATCTTGTTACTAAAATCTTGTGTCTCTTATTTCAAGGGAAAGTTAAACTAATTCTAGAAGATGGCCTGGGAGTCGTAGACTTCCATCTTTCAAACAGATCCTGTGTCCTTTATATTTCTGAAGCAGACCTGGTTGCAGGAAATGGCTTCAAAAGGAGACTTGTTCGCTTTAGAAACGTAAGTGTTGCCTGAAATAGCTGGTGTTCGCCTGACTCCCCATTTATAGAACTTCCATCAGCAAGAATGTCAGGGCAATTTTAACACAGTTCAAGGATAGAGACCTCTCTTCTACTCAGCGCACACTGATGGTACTATATCTGATGCTAAATATAGCTAGAAAACAACCCTTTCATGTAGTTTTATCTTTATCTGTCTTGTTTCAGAAAACTTGCAGTTCTTCCTGCCCCCTGGATTTGCTATCTTCATTTTCTGTTTTAATTTTATTCTCACCTTTTTAAAACTGGATGATTCACATATTATTAGTAGGTGAAGCTTTTCATATTATCTCCATACCAGGAAATGCTTTATCTGTTTGATTTCTTCATAACCCGAGATAACTGGTTAGCCACTGTTAGAAACAAGATACTGAGTGTGACACAGTGGTCATTGACGATGTTGGGTGTATCAGGCTGCTGTTAAAGGTGCAGGAGCAGAACTAGAACAGAAGTGGCAGCCATCATCTTTTAAATAAGTTCAACCTTTAGGCTGATAAATAAAAGCATGTCAGCAGCCAGGTGTTGGTATTAAAGGGTTAAGAAGCTCTAGTCAAGACGCTCTAATCACTGAGCAGCTGGAGGTCGTTAGGCTCCCAGAATGTGAGTTTGTATAAATAGTCAACTCACTTGTGTGTTTGCCCTTTCCTCCTTTCTTTTGGGGCGTGTTTGCTGAAATGTGTGGTTCTTCACCAGGGTTTTTTGTTTTGTGTAAATAAACCTTTTATTTGAGTTCCAAACCGCTTGCTCCAAGATTCCTTTATTGAAAAGATGCTGACTCTCGAGCCCTTCTTGAGCCGCTGTGCGAAAAGCTCTGCTGTAATGGGACATTGTGGCATTGGAAGCGCACTGGACATATGCTAAGCATTAAACTAATTAAAGTTTAATGGGACAGGTTATGGTTGTTTGTACGTCAAGAAGGAGATAAGGAGTGCAGTTCAGGGTGATTTATGAAAGGACTGGAGCGAAGACAGAAGCGGTTGCCGACAACGAAAGCCTTCAAAGCAGCTTGAGTCCTGCAACGTGCCTAGGAAAAGTTTTAAAGAGGCACTGCGCAGCTTGTACTCGCTGGAAGACGCCTTATTCCTCGAGGAGCCACCTCAGCAGCTGGGAGACGATCTACAGGTGTGTGAGTATCGTTCCTAAGCCCCAGGGAGGATGGCAGAGTCCCAGGAAAGTTTTACTGTCCCCTTTACGCGACTCAATGGGAAAAATTGGCAAGATTGGAAGGCTAGAGTAAGGGTTTGGTTGCAAGCAAAAGAGTTGTGGAGTTGTACTGAAGCACCGCCTTTACAGGCAGCTGCAGACGCGTCTGCAGAAGACAAAGCAGCAGCGGCAGCTTCACAGAAACGTGACAGGAAAGCCCAAGGTCTACTAGTTTTGGCAGTGGGACCAGAGCAAATGCCTTATGTTTCTGAGTTAAAGAACACGCATGAGGTCTGGACGGTTCTGCAGCGGCTAAATTCCAGAAACACTGCGGGGGCCAAGATCCATGCTACAAGATGTTTGTTTGATTTACGTCTCCAACCGGGAGCGTGTGTGAAAGAACATATTGCCAAAATGGTGTCTGCCTTTAATCAACTAAGACAGCTGGGGATTCCTTTCTCTATGGAGCAGCAGTCATACATTTTGTTGTCTTCTCTTGATAAAAGCTATGAGACTCTAGCTTTAACTTTGGAAGCTATGCCTTCAACTGAATTAACCCTTGAATACATTTCTTCTCGACTTGCAGATGAACAGGATAAAAGGCAAAGAGAAAGAGGTTTGTTTTCAAAGGGGAGTTGTGCTGTGCCTAAGAGTGGGGATGCTGAGTTTGAGAGCACAGTAAATGCTTTTGCAGCTAGACACTGTTTTCGCTGTGGTTCCTCTTCCCATTTAATCAGGAATTGTACACGTGAACCTGGTCAAGACAGCACCAAGGCCGTTACCCCTAGTTACCAGACAAGGAGTTCCAGGGGACGTCGAAGAAGAGGAGGAGGTCGTGGCTACTCCCACAGCACACAGCACATGGCTTCAGCAATGGCGTTGATGCAAGGGCGTGGCCAAGGCAGCAAACTACGCTGGTTGATCGACAGTGGTGCATCTCACCACCTGGTGGCGCCATCTAGTGTCCGTTTGCAGAATTGCAGACATTTGCAAACCCTTAAAGTTGTGACAATGGCAGATTCAACTAAACGTTCCTTAGAGACCGTAGGCACAGTGTTTTTGAAGTGTTTGCAAACAGAAATTGATGCCTACGTGCTAAAGGGAATGAAGGGGTGTATTTTGTCTGTGTCAGAACTTGATAGAAATGGGTTTAAAACTGTGTTTGAAAATGGGGTTTGCACTATTTCAAAGAATAACGTATCTCTTTTGCAGGTGGAATGCAGAGATGGATTATATTATTTTGAGACAAGTCCAGATGAAGTTGAACAGGTTCATGCTGGTTGTGTGAACTCGCCTACCCATAATTCTTGTGTTCATTTATGGCACCGCCGTTTGGGACATATTAATTTTCAGTATGTTAAAAGGCAACCTGAATTATCAGAAGGGTGCAAATTGAACAAGTGTACTAAGTATTTGGATTGTACCGCATGCAAAAGGGCGAAGGTTCATAGATGCAGCTATCCCAGTTCAAATAGGAAATCTGACAAAGTATTCCAACTTGTGCATATGGACCTATGTGGCCCAATGCCTGTTGCTAGCATGGGAGGTTCGAGGTATGCACTGTGTCTCTCAGATGACAAAACAAAGGTTACATGGTTTTTTCCTCTCAAAACAAAAGCAGATACTGCAGAAACAGTTAAAAATTGGGTTCATGCAGTAGAGCTTGAATTCGGTACTAGAGTACTTGCTTTTCAGACAGACAGAGGGTCAGAATTTACCGGGTCTGTGTTGCAGAATTTCTTTAAGAAAAAGGGAATTAAGCATCGTCTGTCTACACCTTATTCCCCCCAAGAAGGAGGTGTGGCCGAACGTAAAAACAGGGTTCTGCAAGAGTTGGCAAACTCTATGTTGTTTGATGCTAAACTTCCTCAAAGTTACTGGGCGGAAGCCTGGAAGACGGCTACTCATGTTCTGAACCGAGTATATAATTCAGTAATTGATACTACGCCATATTTTGCTTTATATGGGAAGAAGCCCAAAGTTAATTACTTTCGGGTGTTTGGATCTCAAGCCTATGTACTTATCCCAAAAGCGTTACGGAAAAAAGGAGGTCCAAGGGCTAGGAAACTCATCTTTTGTGGGTACGAACCACACGCCAAATCTTGGAGGTTCGTGAACCCAGATGGGGATACTACAAGAGTGGTCCTCAGTAGGAGCGCTGAATTTTGTGAGCAATCCGGATGGACTCACTTACATGCTAACCCTGACATTTTGAGAGATGATTTAGGCATTTATGCTGAGAATGAAAGTCCAGAGGGTGATGAGCCAGAAGGGGATGGTGCACATGGTTCAGATGCAGATTCTGACCAGGCACAAGGTTCTTCTCCTAAGGTAGAAAAGCCAGAATCTAAGAGTGTTCCAACATCGCCAGTCAGTAGGCCTAGCAGACAGCAAAAGCGAAGCAGGTCGCCTGCAACACCAAGTCCAAGGGAGGTATCTAAACGGAGGTCTTTATCCCTAGAGGCACGTCCAGACATAAAGTCTGAGACAGATTCTGACAGCCAACGGTCAGAGGGGGCACAAGAGGAGCAATTGCGCAGGTCAAAACGTGCCACGAAGGGCAAGCCGCCAGAGCGTTTTAAGGTGACAAGTGTATACGTAAATATGGCACAGTGTGAGCCAGATAGCTATATGGAAGTACAACAGCTTCCAAGCTCAGAAGCCGTAAAGTGGCAGGAAGCAATGGAAAAAGAGATGGCTTCAATGAAGTCTCTCGGTGTGTTTACAAGTACAGAGCTTCCAAAAGGGCAACAAGCTGTAGGTTGTCGATGGGTATATCGTTTAAAGCCCACAACTACTGAGGAGTTGCAATATAAAGCCCGACTAGTTGCAAAAGGGTTTTCGCAGCGCAAAGGAGTTCACTATTCTCAAATCTATGCCCCTACTTCAAGATCGGAGTCATTAAGAATGCTTTTAGCCTCTTCAGCTAAGAAGGGAAATAAGCTGTTTCATTTTGATGTCAATGTGGCTTATTTAAATGCAGACTTACAGGAGGAAGTCTATATGACGCCACCACCAGGCTTTGAAGGAGACAAGCCAAACCAGGTCTGGCGCCTACACAAATCCATTTATGGGTTGAAACAGTCTGCCCGTAATTGGAATTCCTGCTTAAACGATGCTCTAGAGAGCATGGGGTTCAGAAAGAGCACAGCAGATGCGTGTCTTTATCTAAAAGGCTCGGGATGTGAACAAGAAGCAGTCTTGATATTTGTTGACGATTTATTATACAGTGGAAAGGACGATAAACTTGCACAACAATTTGCCACAAAGCTTGGAGAAAGGTTTCAGATAAAATCACTAGGCAATGTATCTGTTTATCTAGGAGTTAAAATTCAGCAAGATGAAGATGGGAACTATTGGCTCAGCCAAGAAGCTAAGATCCAGCAGTTGCTGGAAAGGTTTAAAATGGACAACTGTGCTGGTGTTAAAACCCCAATGGAGTTAAGTTACACAAAGGATGCTCAAACTGAGCAACAGGCAGAGTTCTGTAATCCCGGGGTTTATCAGTCAGCGATAGGCAGTCTACTCCACATTGCACAGTGGACTCGGCCCGATATAACATATGCTGTCAACATGCTGTGTAGACAAGCTGAAAAACCATCAATGCATGCTTGGCAAGGAGTAAAAAGAGTTTTAAGGTATCTCCAAACTACCAAAAGGTTTCGCTTAAAACTATCAGCAGAGGGCAGCACACAACTTGAATGTTGGGCTGACAGCAGTTGGGCAGATGCTGGACCAGATAGAAAATCAGTGTCAGGAATGGCGATAAAATTTGGAAATGCACTAATTGGTTGGAGATCAAGAAAACAATCACTTATAGCTTTAAGTTCAACTGAATCTGAGTTCAATGCATTATCAGATGTATGTAGAGAACTGGAATTTTATAAGCAACTGGTACAAGAATTGTTTGGAGAATGTTCCCTACCTATCAGAGTGTGGGAAGACAATCAACCTTGTATTAAACTAGCTAAATCAGGTCAATTCAAGGCACACACAAAACACTTGGATATCCGTTATCAAAATGTATGCCAAAGTGTAAAACAAGGTTTAATTGAACTAAAGTAATGTCCAAGCCAAGAAAATCTCGCAGACGGTTTTACAAAAGCTTTGAGTCCGCAATCTCATAAATGTTTCTGTTCAGGTTTAAATTTGAATTGAGGTTGGTACAGCTCAGTGTTATGAGCGAGAGGGGGTGTTGGTATTAAAGGGTTAAGAAGCTCTAGTCAAGACGCTCTAATCACTGAGCAGCTGGAGGTCGTTAGGCTCCCAGAATGTGAGTTTGTATAAATAGTCAACTCACTTGTGTGTTTGCCCTTTCCTCCTTTCTTTTGGGGCGTGTTTGCTGAAATGTGTGGTTCTTCACCAGGGTTTTTTGTTTTGTGTAAATAAACCTTTTATTTGAGTTCCAAACCGCTTGCTCCAAGATTCCTTTATTGAAAAGATGCTGACTCTCGAGCCCTTCTTGAGCCGCTGTGCGAAAAGCTCTGCTGTAATGGGACATTGTGGCATTGGAAGCGCACTGGACATATGCTAAGCATTAAACTAATTAATTTAATGAGCAAAGATGAACATGAACAGAAGCAGAGGCTTGATTGGAAACTGAACATACAGATCAAAGCACATTTCCATTGTCACTTTTGATACCACTAATAGCTTTGTTCCATCCAATTCTTTTTTACTGTTTAAGGCTTGCAATCTCCAAGGAATTGTTATAGTTGAAAAAACCCAGATAAGCGGACAGTATTTTCCAGCAGTGCAAAAATTTGTTGTGCTGGAACTTGGGATGACGTTACTTCCGGTGGCAAGCCAAGAAGAAGCAGCACAGCTTATTATCCAGCTGGTAAGTCCCTTCAGGAGCTGTTTATACTGCCAAATGAGTGGAATTGCGCACATGTCAGGCATATTACATTGGACATGGGTAGCAAATGGGGAATGAAATGAAGAGGGAGCAGATAATTAAACAATTGGACTGTGAGAACTTAGAAAAGGGTGCTGTGATTACTAAGACCAACATGGGTTCCTCAAAAACAAGTCATGCCAGATGAATCTCATTTCTTATTTCAATAGAGTTTGGTGAATTGGGGGAATGCTGTGGACATAGTGTATCTTAATTTCAATCAGACTTTTGACAAAGTCCTTGGAGAGAAGCTGGTAATGAATTTCAATAGGGACAAATGTAAGTTTCTGCACTTAGACAAGAAGAACCAGCTGTACAAACATAAGGCAGGGGAACCATGACTTGCCAGTAGTACATGTGAAAAGGATCTTGAGGTCTTAGTAGACCACAAGCTTAACATGAGTCAACAATGTGATGCAGCAGCAAAAAAGGCTGCATCAAGAGAGGTATAGTGTTCCGATCAAGGAAGTAATAGTACCACTCTATTCTGCCTTGGTCAGGCCCCACCTGGAGTACTGTGTCCAGTTCTGGGCACCACAACTGGAGAAGGATATTGACAGGCTGGAATGTGTGCAGAGGAAGGCAACTAAAATGATAAAGGGTCTGGAAACCAAGTCCTATGAGGAACAGCTGAGGGAGTTGGATATGTTTAGCCTGGTAAATACTTAAAGGGCTTTCACATGGAGAATGGAGCAAGCTTGTTTTCTCCAGCTCTAGAGGTTAGGACCCGAACCAATGAATTTAAGTTACAATAAAGGAGGTTCTGATTAAACATCAGGAATACCTTTCCAACATTAAGAGCTATTCAACAGTGGAACAGACTCACACGAGAGGTTGTGGAACAGGTTCTTAAGCAGAAGTTCAATGGTCATTTGTTATGTATGATCTAGTTAAGATTCCTTCACTGCAAGGAGTTGGAATCGATGACCCTTGGAGTCCCTTCCAATTCTATGATTTTATGCCACCTGTTTCTATTGAGGCTCTGCTGTGTGTTTACAATGCTGGTGATCTTTGCTTTTTAATTTTATTCATTTTCTCAGTCAGCAGAGGAGCAGAGCATACAGAAAAGGGTTAACTCCTTTTCTAGAAGGCAGGATCAACACTGCTCCTAGGGAGAGGGGGGAAACATGTAACAGAATGAAATGATTAACACTAAAAGCCACTAGAGGGTGCTCAGACTCTCCTTGTTGTCTGTTCCAGGTGCAGGAGCAAACTAAAGATCAAGCCAGCAACCCCTTTTTGGCTAAGAAATGTCCCCAGCTCTTAGAGGCTTCTGTATTCCAAACGGTTCAGCAGATTCCGGGAGTTGGGAAAACAAAAGCTTTGCTTCTCCTGGAACGGTTTCAAAACCTCCACCAGCTTTGCAACGCATCCGTCCAGGAGCTTGAGCAAGTAGTTGGACACGCCCTAGCCCAACAAATCCATGCGTTTTTTGCACAGGCAAAGTAATCTCACCTGGTTGGGAAGGTGGAAGTGAACCATGTACACCATCTCAAGCTCCTTGCTCAAAGGACAAAGGTGGGTTATAAACATAGTAAAAACCTCCATGTAGCCTGCATGCTTGAACAGCGTCACAAACACATTTTGGATCTGGGTAGTGGCCTTGCTTGTTACCGCCATGGCAGATGGTTGTCGACTTTTGTCTGAAGTTACCTGATGTAAGCCTTGTATCTGTGACACATAAGTAGCACGGCCAGGATCCTAAGAACTGCAGCTGGTCCCATGTGCCTAAGAAGGCTTTATATCATTTTTCAAACATCAACTTCCATTTCCCATAATGAGCGTCCCCTGAAATTGTGGGGGGTTTGCAAAAGCAGTTTGCAGGTCAAAAGAGCAAATGAGATTACAAAAATTCCACTGAGTGCCCACCTGGAGCAGCTATTTGGATCTTAGCTACTTTTCCTTGGACAAGTCAAACCCTTCTAGTATAGGATGAAATGCCCTGAACGTTGGGGTTAGGGTTAGACGGAGAAGCACTCTGCTCACAAATGCTTAAGCAGTGAGTTCTCAATTGTTTTTGGCTGCCTTTCACACCCCCTTTTTGCAAGAAGCTTCGGTTTTGTCTATTTATTATTATTGTAGGGAAAAACCACTGGGGGTCCAAGCCTCTGGAGGGTGAAGTGGTGCCTGGCCTAACTTTTGCAAACATGAAGCCAGCAGTTGAGCTGCCATTTTCTCCAACAGGGACAAGCAACTTAAGAAGAACCATTGCTGTGGTTGCCTCAGACGACTCATCAGATCAAGGCTTCTGCTGTCAAAATTGCCTGGGGAAATATATTCTCGCAAGTGGTGCTATGAAACCAACCCTTCCCGCCCCTGAGTTGATCGCAAATCTGTGAAGCCTTATTTATTGCTGTTGCGTCAACTTTCATCCGCACCTGACCTGACCAGCTGCCAGGTTGCTTTTGCGTAAATCATCTTGTTTCAGGTGACATGCTTGGAAACCGGCTGTCTTGGTGCAACCTGAAGATCACTTTTCTGCCAGGCACCTGGGATGCTGCCAACCTGAAACACGTAGGAGTGTCAGAGTTAAAAAGGGTGCCTGACTCAGACTTCCTCACCTGCCAGTGGCGTTCTGTATGCTTTTCAGTGGAGTCATGCTTTCATGAAACTCAAAGGTTATAACCAGGCCCTTCTGGGCAAGGCTCCCAGCCTGCTGTTCAGTTCTCTTCAGAGGAGGTGGACACCTGGGAGGACAAATGGAAAGTGATGCATCTCTCTTGACTTTTTTACTGCCTGCAGTCCCATTTTAAAGACATCCCCTGTGGATATTCCTGCATTTTGGATATGGATGAATCCACTAATTTGGTTCCTGTCCCTTGCACAGTATTTGCCATTACAAGCACTCAATTCTAGACAAGCAAAAAAAAAAGTTGTTTTGCTAATTAATTGTGTTTTCCAATTAGTGGTCCTTTGTCGGTGGAAGGCATCTGGTAGCTAAATGGGGGAGGGATGAAGTTTTCAGTTATTCTTCCTGTGTGGCCTCCAGATCTCCTTCAGAAGGTCCCCTAACCCTCTGGAGTGGATACTTTGGGGTTGGGGGCTCCCATGTCTTCATCACAGGCACACAAATTGGAGAAACTCTTAGTCTGTAGGCTGCCGACACATTCTGTCTCCTCTGACAAGTTACCTGATTCAGTATTGCTTTTCATCACTTTTGAGGGTCTTTTGGTTCATTTGAAAATTTCACTAAAATTGCTTACTTTTTTTGCTATTTTACTAACACCTTTAGTTTCACCTCAATACATGTGACTATACTTGTTCATGGTCTCCCCTCCTATTACACTCTCCCGTCCCCTCTGAATGCCCTCCCAAGTTGAGATTTGGACGAAGACCCTTATGTAATTCTGTAAAATATGGTGTATGGCTTTTATAAATGAAAAATAAAATAATCACTAAATGTTTTGCAAGTTCTAGGCACAAGAACCACAGGTGAACAGTTCTAAATTTCACTGATTTAATCTGAAGGGAATAATTTCTATGAACTATAGGGATTTTTGTGGTCCTTGATCTGTGATTCTACTGCTGTATTGAAAGAAATGTGGGAAGTGGACTTGGGGAAAACAATCCTTGAAGGGTCCTTGAAGGGCATGTGGGACAAAGACCCATAGAGGTCCATCTCGGCCAGGGTCTGGGAATCTGCGGAAAGTGGCCCTGAGGTGGCCCTTGACTCTTAAACTGGGGCACATGGGGACTCTTCCAAATCCAGAGCGTTTTAGTGGGATTGCTGTTTGTTTGGGAGCTTCTACCACACATGGTGCCTATTTCCAGATGTCAAGCCATTCAGACCAGAATTTTCCAAGAGATTTCTGGCATTGTCTCTCACATCATTCCACCCTCCCCTCAAATTTGCTCTGTTACCTATTCTCTCAGAGCAGCTGCAACTATTGGAAATACAGCCTGCATTTCATGTTTGATGTTTAAAAGTATGATCTTTTAGAGAAATGGATGCAACAGAATAAACTTGGTTGAGGAAGCTTCAAAGCGGAGACCTTTATTGAATCTTGGTGGCTTTTCTTACAAGGACAATAGCACCAGTCGCCATTCCCAGGGGTAAGTAGACGGAACAATGGCTATGACTTGCCTTTGTACATTAGGCTACACTTCATGGAACCATAGAAGTCAGAGGGTTCTGTGTACACAGACCTCTCCTGCCATCCTCTATACATGCAAGCAAGCGGCATTATTGCAGTTGAAGTCCATGTTCTAGCCAGGCAAAAGCAATCCAGGTAGATGAGCAGGGTTGGGGAGAGGTGTGGATGTGGGGGCAGAATGCTGAGAGCCAGAGAGGCCTGACATTCCCTACGCCTGCTTTCCATGGTGAAGCAGCTGCTCCAACTCCGCTGAATTGATGCTTTTGAATTATGGTGCTGGAGGAGACTCTTGAGAGTCCCATGGACTGCAAGAAGATCAAACCTATCTGTTCTTAAGGAAATCAGCCCTGAGTGCTCACTGGAAGGACAGATCGTGAAGCTGAGGCTCCAATACTTTGGCCACCTCATGAGAAGAGAAGATTCCCTGGAAAAGACCCTGATGTTGGGAAAGATGGAGGGCACAAGGAGAAGGGGATGACAGAGGACGAGATGGTTGGACAGTGTTCTCGAAGCTACGAACATGAGTTTGACCAAACTGCGGGAGGCAGTGGAAGACAGGAGTGCCTGGCGTGCTCTGGTCTCTGGGGGTCACGAAGAGTTGGACACGACTAAACAACAACAACACCTTCTAAACCAAGCCTTCTGTTAGGTGTAGCAGAGCACGACAGGTGGGCTCTTGGGGTTATCATTCAAACATCAGTGCTAGGAAGTTCTCTGGGCGTTCAAAAGCAACCTTTTGCAATCCAGAGTGCTGAGGCATGCAGAAGCAGGAAGGACATTCAAGTTTCTTGCCATCAGGTCTTTTCATGAGTCATCAGAAGGGCAAAAGCATTTAGGCAGCCTTGTCTTGCACTGAAAGATAACAAAAGGTGCCCTCAGGCGCACAGACTTCTCCAGGAAGTTCAGCTATGGTCATTAAAGAGAAAAAAGTTTTGTCTATGACTAAAGCCTTAGGGATTTAGGTCATAGATCAATGATCAGATACTTTGCGAACAAACTTGATTGATACAGTATGTGTTACATGTTGAATCATGGATGAACTAGGCCTTACCCTACAAATACTCGATGACAAATACGTCAGTTTTCTAGGTGCCACAGGACTTTGAGTGCTTTCGATGTTGGCAGAATAACATTTGGAATGCAAGTCTCTATTTTGTAAACCCTGGAGATTTTTTAAAAAGTATTTCTGAATGCCTGCCTTCTAGGATGTTTATTTTAAAAAAAAACAACACAACAACCCACACATACATCTAGCTTTGTAATTAATCATTAGGCTGTTGTGCCTTTGTTTAGTTTAATCTGAGCTGCAAAGCACTAGCTGTTGCAAGGGGTTCTCTTTGCTGCCTCCATTTAAGCAACTGACCGGCAGCAGCTCAGCCCATGGCTTCAGTCTGCGACTCCTTTCAAGTCCTATTAGGACATGGATTGGGCCTTCCACTGTGGCCAGTAGTTAAGAGAGGAGCTGAGTTGTGGGCCAGCAACATCTTGAATGCTGCATGCTCCCCATTGCTTGCGAAGAGAAACCAGGATCAAGCCTGATAACTTCTGAATGCAGATCTCATGTGTGTTATCACTGAGCTGCAGCTTTTTGCTATGGTGCTTCTGGGGCAATTTAGGAGGTCTCCTGGGACCTCCCTGTGAACTCCTCACTGAAGTGTGGGTGCGCATACTAATCTCTCAAACAGTGGAGGTTGTAGGAAGAAAGTAATTTAATCACAGTTGTTGCAAAACATTAAAGGTAAAGGTACCCCTGCCCGTACGGGCCAGTCTTGCCAGACTCTAGGGTTGTGCGCTCATCTCTATAGGCCGGGAGCCAGCGCTGTCCACAGACACTTCCGGGTCACGTGGCCAGCGTGACAAAGCTGCATCTGGCGAGCCAGAGCTGCACACGGAATGCCGTTTACCTTCCCGCTGGTAAGCGGTCCCTATTTATCTACTTGCACCCGGAGGTGCTTTCGAACTGCTAGGTTGGCAGGCGCTGGGACCGAACGACGGGAGCGCACCCCGCCGCGGGGATTCGAACCGCCGACCATGCGATCGGCAAGTCCTAGGCGCTGAGGTTTTACCCACAACATTACTACAGTTCAAATACAAAGAGGCTGCATTTCCATAGCAATACAATTTTATGGGGATGCAGATTCCCATATTCCATAGATATGAGTTACTGGAGCCTCAAATATAATGATTAGATTGCCATTGGTAGTTAGGATTTCTTGCAAAAGCAGGGAAAGTGGTGGCTGTGTTGGTGTTATTTGATTGAAGTACAGTGGTACCTCGGGTTAAGTACTTAATTCGTTCCGGAGGTCTGTTCTTAAACTGAAACTGTTCTTAACCTGAAGCACCACTTTAGCTAATGGGGCCTCCCTGCTACTGCCGCGTCGCCAGAGCACGATTTCTGTTCTCATCCTGAAGCAAAGTTCTTAACCCGAGGCAATATTTCTGGGTTAGCGGAGTCTGTAACCTGAAGCGTCTGTAACCTGAAGCGTATGTAACCCAAGATACCACTGTATATGCCGCCTTTCTGGTGTTTCTTTTCCCACTTGTATATTTTTCTACTTTGTGTATACTGAGTTGCCTTCATTTATTGTTTTCCAGTCTATATGTCTAGTTAATTATTTTAAATGGTTGGCCTGTTCCATTAGATTAAGGAAACCAAGAACATGAGTAATTAAGTGCAAGGGCTGTTCCTGCTAATGAAGTTAAAGTCTTACTTCATAATCTATCAAAATCTTTATCACAATTTGCGAAACAGCCATGCTGCTCCTTTTTCACACAGTGGGCTTATGAAGATTTTAAACCCAAAGTATTATTTTTTTAAGTAAGGGTCTGGGCACGTAAGGCTAACCTGTAACTCTTAACACATCCTAGTGATCTTGGAAAGGCTTTGGAGAAGAAGGAGATCTGAGAATGAATTATAGCACTAGGCAATAAAATAAAATAAATCGCCAGGAGGGCTCTGTGACATTCATTCTTTTGCTTCTGTACCCCTGTCTTGATCTGGAGTGAAAATATGCAATGGGTAAGTGGAGCCAGAATGTTTGAACAAAGCTATTTCCCTATTATGCAAGAGGGGACACAGGAGAGTGGGTGAAAAAAGGGACTTTGACTTGGAGGAAGCATGTCCCCCTGTTTTCATACATTTCCACCACCACCTCAAACTGATCCTTTATTGGCTCTTGCAGCTTAAAGAGGAGGGAGTTTTAGCTCCATGGCTGTGCACCTGTTCCTTATGCTTAAGGTCCCAGGTTAGGAACTGGGAAAACTGCTTTAAACTGAGTCAGAGGAGCAGTCAATCTAGCTTGGTTTTATCTACACTGACTGGCAGCAGCTCTCCAGGGTTTCAGACAGGGGTCTCACCCAACCATACCTGGGGTTGCAAAGCAAATGCGTTGCCAAATCTGTGGCATCTCCATTTAAAAGGATCAGGCAACAGGCGATGGGAAATACCTCTGCCAGAGACCCTGGAAAGGTGCTACTAATCATGGAAGATGATATTGAGCTAGATCAGGGGTCTGCAACCTTTAAGACAAAAAGAGCCACTAGGACCCGTTTCCGAAGAAAAAAAAACTGGGAGCCGCAAAACTCGTCATTATAAAAATATCGTTTTTGTCACTTGTTTTTATTATTTCTTTGTTTGACCCCTCAGAATTACTCCTCCTCATAGAAATAAACGTTAAATTAACAAGTTACCTTTTTGTGTGTGTGTGTTCTTCACTCCCCTTCAAAACAGTGACCAGCGTACATGCTCCCTTTCAATGCAGTGACCAGCGTACATGCCCCTTACAATGTAGCGGGCGGGCGGGAAGGTGACGTCGGGACGGTGCGTGACTAACGCACGCACTGCCCCCATGCGACGTCACAGCCAGTACAGCGCCCGCCACAGTGGGGAGTGTCAGGGCGCACAATGCGCCTCCTCCCCTCGCTAGTATCCGCCCCGGAGCCGCGGCAAAGGTGTAAAAGAGCCACATGCGGCTCCGGAGCCGCGGGTTGCTGACCCCTGAGCTAGATGGAAGAACAGCAACTGTGCAACATTCTAAAATTACCACAATATATCCAAATATACCATACAGTTTTTCAACAATTTAGATATCAAAATGATATATTAAAAAGTAGAAATGCAAGTATTATACTGCCTGTGTTGCTATATGTAATATAATGACATAATCAGAAGATTTGCTGCATGACTTGCTACACATATTTTATTAATGGACAGGATTGATTCCACAGTGTTAATTCAGATATTGCACAACAACAAAAAACAATAGCAGCAGCTGCTATTTATGATTTTTCCTTTCACAGAAGGATCATTATGAAGCAAGTTGTTTTAAATCTGCATTCTAAACAAATGTCAACAGTCAATCAGAATTGAAACTGTATCATACTGTTCACATTCAAATGGAAAATAAGTTGTTCCTCAGCAGAATTCACCTGCAGGACTCATTCTTAAATAAAATCTTTTAAAATTTATATATTTACACCCTACCATGTATAAACACAAAAGCCTAAGAAGAATCATGAGTTAATACAAAGTTAGTGGTTCAGATTTTCCAAAAACTTTCCACTTGAAACATTTTCTAAAATTTCAAATCAGCAGAAGCAATCTCAACTCCAGCGCAACCCAAAGCAGGAGCTCAGATGGAGTTAGGATTTCATCCGCTTAATCTGTATTGACCAAACATCGTAAGATCTACCCTGTAGACAATATTCAGTCTAACACAACTGTGTTAGCAACCTGCAACTTTACAGTGAACAGAAGTTATAGCAGCAATAAAACACAAAATTACGGGGTGGGAGAGAGATCACATTTACCACCTGGCTGAGTTCCTAAATCACTGGTGAATCCCTAAATTTCTCTTTAAGGCACTGTTAATTACATTGGAAGCACTTTGGAATATTACTCCAAATACAGTGGCACTATGGAAGCTGCAGCTTGGGGTGGGGGCTGTGACCCTCCAGATGTTGCTGGACTACCAGTCACAAAATCCCCAACCAGCAGGCCTGCTAACTGGTTCTGATGCTGGATTCCAACACAATCTGGAAGGTCACCAGTTCCCCAGCTCTGCTGTAACTGAACTATACGTTTTTACAATGGTGTGAGCTTGATCCAGGCCAAAAGCGATTTTTTTATTGCCCCTTCCTATCTTTAACACCTGTAGCAATATATAACCCGGATAGTTTTAAATTGCCCCCACAAATTGCCATATTTACAGTTATTATTATTATTCGGCTTCACAGAGGTAAAGAACCTACAGCACATCATGCAATTCTGAAATATTAGGACTGCTAAACCTTTTTTGTGAAAGATATACTCAATGCCCTCTGCATATTACATAGCAGCACCATGGAAGATGCATTGCTGTGGGTCTATCCTGTGGTGGCGTTGTAATGTTGGACTCCAACCACATCTGGAGGGCCAGAGGTAACCCACCACTGATTTAAATTCATGTAACTTCATGGAAGAGAAGGCTATCAATGGTTTCTAGCCACAACAGATATGCTCTGCCCTCCACAGTTGGAGGCAGCAATGCTTCTGAATACCAGTTGCTGGAAACCATAGGAGGGGAGAAGCCACTTGTGTTCGAATCCTGCTTGCTGGTTTCCCACAAGCAACTGTGAGAACAGGATGCTGGACTAGACGGGCCATTGGCCTGATCCAGCAGGCTTTTTTTCTGTCCATAACTGGGACCATCTCCCAAGTTTGAGGGGACCTTTGACAAAGTGCTCTCGGATGAGCCCACCTCCTAAATTGACAAGCCCTAGCAGTGGGTGGTGCACTCTGATAGGCACTGGACTGCTGCCATTTTAATTTCCCACAATGCTCTGAACCTTTGGGCAGACGGCGCGCGAGCACCCGCTTATTAACTTAATCAAGGGATGGGGGAACCTGCTGCACCCCTGGTATTTGGGGGCCCCCCCAGCTGTTTCCACTAGCTTGGCCAGTGATTAGGGATTATGATCAGAGATTATCTAGAGGGCCATAGGCTCCCACCACATCAGTCTCCCCTGTAATCTTTGCTGGACTTCAGTGGCTCCACATCAATGTACAGTGACAGGAGAACTGCCCCTAACTCTATGGCATTTTTGCAAGCAATTGTTTTCCTTTGTCTGCCAGTCTAAAGCGGACATTCAATCAGCCTTCGTTTAAAATTGCTGTTCATCACCGGTATCGTGTCATGAACTTGCCCCTGCTATATACAACAACATTTTTAAAAATCCTTCATAAGTCTTTGCAGCTTATACTGCATGCTATAAACAACTTTGTCTATAGTTTTGCAGGACAAATAATAACTAGGACAGAAACCCAGACAGGAATCTCACATGTAGTCTGGTAGCAACATACGTCATTTTCTTTTCAAGCGAAAGGACTCCCAAATCTCTCCTGATGACAATGCTGTGCTTCTCCAACAGTGGCAGCGCAGGATCCTTAAAAACCATGTTGGGTGGGCCAGATGTGAGCTGGCAGTGCCGTAACTCTGGGCTTACTCCAGATTCACAAAAGGGCTACATTTCAGATTTATGGCACATGCATTCAGGGAACCTTTCCATCAAGAATAAGCCTCTCTTTTCAAGTCCTAGTACAAGGAGCTGTCCGTACTCAAGAGTGTGAAAGGCGAGACAAGTTTCTTCTTGGTTGGGGTGCTTCCAGGCACAGCGGAAGGCAGGCAAAGTGTGCTGGCTGCTTTTTTTCTGTTCTTTGTTCCCCAACTCAAAAAGGAAAGTTTAGGAGTCACCTTCTTGGTCTTATCTATTTTATCTTCTTCCATAGCCAAACAAATCAGAGAGTATGTTTTCTGCATTCCTGCAGAATAAGTTGCACTTTTGTTATGCTAGGAGGGAAAGAGCATAAAAAATATTAATAATCAGTCATCCATGATGGGTCAACATTTGGAAGACAACAAAAGGGCATGCAGTGTGTGAACCATTTGCTGAGACAGATTTTGCCATTCTTCAGCATTAATTATATTCCATGATGGACACAGGCCAATCTAGACCACTGAACTTTGCTTGTTAGGTCTGGAAAGGCTCATAGGGGGAAGCATGTTTTGTAAGAAGGCAATTTGTCCAGGGCTGCCTGCTTTTGAAAAGGGCTATATGCTCAGCATTAAATTCCTGAAACATATACTTGGACAGATCACTAGCAGCAACTTTGGAAAAATAAGAATTTAATACAAGTCTAGTTAGCATGGAGACTGCAGAGAAAAAGTGAAATCCTTTCCCTAGTTGCTAGATTTAGAAAACATCCAAAACCAACATGAAGTCTACAGAATAGAAAAACAACTTTAGAGGGAAACAATCATAGCTCCTCGCCCAACCAGAGTATATTGAGTGGCCATGGAATGCTGGCAGGCCTTTTTTTGTGGGGGAGGGAGAAGGAGAATGGAATGGAGTATCCTTAGAAAGGGAATGGCTGCCTAGTGCCTTCAACAAGAGCACTCCATGTGGCAACGCTTTGTTGTAGGTTCCCAGCTCATATTTGAGAGTTACCTCTTTACTTACCATGGACACTGTGTTATCTTGGCAGCTGATGACCTGGATCTCAGTCTCCTGCCTGCTGACATTTCTCAATTTTTCCAAGACCTCACTCACTCCCAGCCATTTGCAATCCACGCCTTCAATGGAAACGACACAGTCTCCTTCTTTCAGACCTGCCAACTTAGGATCAATGGGTGCATCTTAGTATCAGCTGAGGTTGGGCAGAAAGCAACATGGGCCCCTCTGGACATCCTTTTTATTGCATATATCTTTGATGCTTCATGCTCATGATGTTATCAGGACAGTCATACACAATCCTATTTTCAATTCTGTTTGCATATGCAAATCTTTTGGGGCTTCATTTCATTACAGATTCTGTAACTTCCTGCTAAAATTCCATGTCACATATAACAAATTTTCTGGGGTTTGGGGGTTTTTTGTTTCGTCCTCCAGACAGCAATAATGTGGTAGCTTTGGAGAAGTATTGCAGATCTGCTGAAGCAGGTTAAGTCCACTACTAGTGTATCATTACTGCGTCAAAAAGATGTTGCAGAAGATACCAGCAGAAAAGCCCCTGTCCAGAGGGGCCCCAGGTCACATTCTCTGGAAATATTTCCTCCTCTTCCCATATATGGCAAACAGTATGTGAGTGGTCAGGTGCCGTCTAACCCAGAGAAGGCTGCCTCTCACAGTGAAGGACAAGCATAATTAAAGTCACAGGTATGCAATCCTATGTACATGTAAACTGGGAAGGAAGCCCCATTGAAGAACACCTAGCCTTTTCTCTCCACCTGCTGCTCTTTCTCTCTTATCCCCTTCCAAGGCTGTGCCCCAACTTCACCTTGTCCATACCTGACACAGAATCTGCCCCCATTGACCCACCCACTTCACAGGCCTGCTTTGTGAGCAAGACCTCAAGGTACAGGAGAACAGGTTTTTAATTTTCTGCCTCAGGCCTTCCTACCCCTGCTGTAAGGGGAAACCGAACAGCTGTGCAAGAGAGGGAAGGTTCAGCTTTTGCTAATTTTTAACTCTGAAAATTTCGCTGAAATTAACGCTATACCCTCTACACCAAACGTGGAAGGTCCCAGGGTGCAGTGAAGCTTTCCCACAGAGCCCTGTAAAGCCAGTGGAAGGTAGCATAGGGAGAGTCCTACTTACTGATGCAGGGCAACCTGGATCCAGGCAGTAAACATGCACTGGGGGTCCTCCTTTCAGGGTAAACCCCAGACCCTCAGCTTCACACTGGAAACGGACAGTGCGAGGAGCAGTCCACCTCTGCTTTGCTGAAAAGACCGTCAGCGGACCCTGAAAGAGGAAGAGCAGTACGGACCATTATCCTCGGTGATCTGCAAATGTTAAGGTGAGCCATAGAAACTCTCCACCGCATGTGGGAGGCAATGGTGGCTGGTGCCCATTGAGACTGGTGGGGCAGAAGGCAGGGAGCCCAACACTAGGTGGCGCCAGAGCAAACCCATTCTAGTCTTGCCCCCAGCTTCCTCCTTCCTGCTGAGTTCTATGAGGGCAACACTGAGACAAAGGAGGAGAAAAGCTGGCAGGCAGGACCACCCCCTGGCCTTGTTAAGTCAAGTCAGAAGGCAGGCAGGTGCAGGCTGGCTGAGGGTACACTGAAGCTGGTGGGGCAGTGCTTCACTAGCCCCAGTGGAACAGCCTCCACTACACATGGTCATCCTCCCTCTTTTTCTCTCCTCTTTCATATTACCTAGAAATGTCCTTGCAATTTTTATGACATTTATGCCGCTCTGAGCTCTTTTGGGAGGATGGTCAGGATATAAATTTAATAAATAAAACCTAAATAATATTTTCTTAGGCCTGGTACAGATGTATGGCCATTTGATCAATTAGGTCCAATGTTACACATTCTCCCGACTAGTTTGCTAAACCATAGTTAACATTAACAATATGAATAAGCCATAGTTAAAGCTGTGAATGTACCAGTTCCCGGAAACTGCAAGCGGGGAGAGTGCTGTTGCACTCAGGTCCTTATTTCAGGATTTCCAAAGTTGGCCACTGTGAGAACCAAATGCTGGACCGGATGAGCCTTTGGCCAGATCCAGCAGGTTCTTTTATGTTCTTAAGAGGAAGGTGTACACAAGGCCAAGGGCGGCAGGAGAGGAGCGCTCAAGCCTGAGGGGTGTTCCTAATGTCTTAACAATAGGTACCAGGAAATGCTCTGTCTGCATCAGACTGTCAGTGAGGATCCAAGAGAAAAAGCAAATTTTACTTTTTACCCCTCTTAATCCAAGTGGTTCATGGTGGTGTGCGTGCACATGTAAACACAAATAGCTTAATCCACATTAATAACACACACACAAATCTATAATCCAGACTAAATAGACATGTACCTTAACCCACCTGACAGTCAACAGATCCTGACTAGGTCTGGCTAAACTGGCATAACCCTGACTTGGGACGAGGATCTGAACAGAAAGCTAATTCTGTATTCAGATCACAGAAGTACAGTCTCCACTGCTAGTTGCAAGGGTTTAATGTATGCAATTTGAAAAGCTTCCCTTAATGAGCTCTATTAACTGCAGACTCATAGAGAATTTCACTTTAACAAGAAAATGAATTTGCATTCATTAGAAGCAAAATTACAGAGGGGCACCCGAGCAAACAGGAACAGGCAAGGTTGCTTCATACATACCAGCCTCTCAAAGAAGTCTTTGACTTTGACCTTGGAGAACAGAGGAGCAACCGCTTCTATTTTATGGTCTGTCTTAGCTATAACAAAATCAAACAAAACTTAGTATTATTATTTTCCCCCCACACACACACACTTTTAGCAAGGAGTGCAGAGCAGCACACATCACTTTCCCACCCAGCCCCCATTTTATCTTCACAACAACCCTCTGAGGTTCCTAAGGCCCCGATTAAGCCTCCACCTTGTCAGGAAGACAGAGCAGCTTCTACAAGAAGCAAGGCTATCTGGGAGCTTGGGAGCTCCCTTCCACAGAAGGCTTGTTTTGCCCCCTTCCTCACAACGTTGAGGCATTTATTATTTACAGTATTAGAGGTCACCCAATAATAAAGCCATTTATAACGAAGCTGAAAAAAATGGGTTTTCCTATCATATTGTTGGGAATTATCCTTTTCTTTAAGTATTTTTTTTTTTTTTTTTGGCTCCTGGTTGTTTTCAAAACAAGCTTGGCTTTCTTTTGATCAGTTTTTTTTGAAGTTTTTCTAAACCACCCTGGTGCCATTTATTTGAAGAGCGGTATAATAAGTAAACTAACAAAATTTGTATGCCAAGAACTTCCCCCTCCCCCTGCCTAGTGGGTCCTGGGCCGACACAAGATTTGGACAAGGCCCTTCTCAGCCAGCAGTTCAAGAACTAAAGCTCCCACTTGCTGATGCTGCTGATGCTTATTTAAATCCTGCCTTTTTCCCTGACAGGGATTCAAGGCGGCTTTCAGATAAAATAGAAACAGTATATGGAAGGGATTCGATTCTGGGGCACCCCAAAGGACTTACGGAGGATATCTGGAGCCTGCAGCAAACTCGAAAAGTCATCTTCCTGCTCCTGCTGTGAATATTTGAGAAGGGACCGCTTGTGGGCAACTGACAGGATTTCCTGGAGCACCTCAATATTCCGGAGCTTTTTGCACAAGCCACAAACCCTCAAGGCTTCTTCATGATGAACAATGGCTCTCCGCAGGTGGGCTTTTGCTGGGAAAAGCAAATATATAGGACCATAACACAAGAGTTAGCTCCTAAAATATTCTCCCCGCTCCCTGCCACTTCATGTTCTGTAAATGTCAATGTAGATTGGCCCCATCACAACCAGAAGCCTAGCTGTTGTGGTCGAACACCCAACTCCCACAATCCTTAGCAAAACTGAACAAGCTTTGCAGAAGACCTTTCAAAGACCGGCATGCAATCGTAAGGATTGTTTCAGTGAGGATAGGAACATGGGATCTTCTGAAATTTAAAGGCCTGACTTGCTGGCCACAGCAAAGAAGTTACACACACACATGCCTGGATTCACTCTTGCCAGCTGTATGGAAGAGCAAAACGATCCCCCGCCTTTGAGGCACTGTGCAAGAGCCAGATATGGGAGCCTTGTGTGCATATGGGGCTTGAGAGCTTAGCCATCTCAGATGGGGCATCTCAGTGCTTGGGGAAATGGGGGACACAGGTAACAATCCCTTTTGTGACTCACAAGTGGACATGAGGATCTGGCTAGCTGTGAGTGGCATAATCAGGTTCCTCCTCTGTCCCTCTACATCTTCAGTCATCAACCTCCCCACCAAAGGCAGCAGAGCCATGTGGACAAGTCTTACTGAGAACAGGTGGGGTGGCTGTATCAAATTGCACCAGTTTGGGGAGGCATGGGAAGGTGGCTGTAGAAAAGACCAGAATATGCCTGCTGTTCAATCCGTGATTTTTTGTTCTAAACCAGGGTTAGTGAAAGCCCTGGTTTGAGGCAATGTCTGGACTGAGCCAAGATAAGGGAGCTTGCCCTCACCAAGTTGTTTCCGCTGAACTCGGTCCCGCAAAACAGCCAAGGGGGTCAGTCCTTCCGGCATGTGGTCATACAGCTGGGAAAAAGCCTTTTCCTGTTGGTCTTCGTCATCATTCTGGCGCACTAGAATGGTGTAAACAAATGCACATGAAAGAGAGGATAAATACAGGTTTACTTTCATTTCCGTCTGGTGGAGATGCCTCAAGGTCTGCTAAGTGAAGGTGTGGCCTGAAAACATGAACAACAATCTCTAAAACCTGTTTAAGTGGACTACTCTTTACATTATTTTGGATTCCTCATAGGCTCGTTTTGCTGACAGATGCCTGAACGTCATGGCATGCTCACCAAGGCTACTTTACTCAGAATGTTTTAAAAAAAGCACACCTTCCGTCTTCAAACCTGTTTGCAAACATTAGCTAATTGCAGAATAACAAGGGAATAGAGGGCAGGGGAACTTGAGCTCTGCCAAAGTGCAATTTTATTGTTTAGTTTAAGATTTACTGCCATATGTAGCAGATTTTTAGATCAAGTATGGAGAATGTTCCCAGACAGAGGGCCACATTTCCCCTTGTCAAAAGGTCCGGGGGCCACATACCAGGTGGGGTATGGCGAGGATCAAGCACACAAAGTTTACAGAGCACCATTTTTGAAATTAGATAGAGGAGAAGAAATGGCAGAGCACAAAAGGATAATTTCTCTGGCATAAGGTGCATATTAAGATACACAAATAATATACTCTTCTTAAGCTGGACCATTAGGGTATCTTTTTACCCACCCTAAATAAATTGGTAGGTGGTACCACTGAATCATCACCAGTCAACCTTAGCAACTGGCAGGTTTTTTAGCGATTTAATTTGCATACATGATATAATAATAGTTGTCTCCTTCTCAAGTCTGCATGTGCTGGCTAAGTAATTCCTCCCATTTCTTTCATCAGGCTGTCCAAGACTGCATTAAGCAAGCATCTGGTTGGCCACCATGAGAATAAGATGCTGGACTTGATGGACCATTGGCCTGATCCAACAGGCTAGTGTTATGCTCTTAAGTTTTTAAACAGACAAGGAAACCAATTTTCCAGATGGGAAATGCCAAAGTTATTAAAAGGCTGTGTCCATGGGTGTGTGGTTTTTTTTGGGGGGGGGTTGTTTTTTCTGGACAAGGGTGAGATGATCCTCAGACAACAACCTGACTCCATCCCTACCACACACACACACATACATGCATGCGGTTTGGATGAATTAAAAAGAGGCTTTTATTTTGCATATCAAAATATCCTACATTTCACCCATGGAAAAAAGGGACATTATTGCATTCAAATGCCTTCTGTAACAAAGTATAAGCACCTGTAACTAATTTTATTTTATTTATTTATTTATTTATTCATACATAAATGCATGAATTTATTTCCCATCCAAATGCATAAGCATCATTCAGGTTAGCTTCCAGCAGTTAAAAACGCAATCATAATAGCAAGCGGATTCTTACTACAAAATGCAAGAGAAAGAGGCCCAGCATGCTATGCTTCAAAGCTACTGATTCCCTGGCGAGGCAAAAGCCTAATGGAACAAGGACTTTTACTAGCCAGCAGAAGATCATCAAATAAGCCTTGCAGGACAAGGTGTACCACAATATTGGCGCAGTCACTGAGAAGCCCCCGCCCTCTCTGTCTCTCCCCACTTCCCAACAACCATGTCTCTGCCTTTGGTGGGAGACAAAGCAGAGCTTCCTCCTTGATCAGAGAAACCATATTTTGTGCAGTGTGTCATAAAAAGACTAGTCTTCCCCACCCTGGTGACCTCCTGGTGTTTTTGACTACAACTCCCATCAGTCCCAGCCAGCATGGCCAGGGGTGATGTCAACTGTAGTCCAAAAGATCTGGAAGGCATCAGGCATGGGAATGCTGGCTTAAGAGTGTCCAAGATGTCTGCTGGGCTACGTCATGAGAACATAAGAGCCTGCTAGATCAAGACAATGGCCCATCTAGTGCAACATCCTGTTCCCACAGTGGCTGAACAGCTGTCTGTGGGAAACCAGCAAGCAGGATTCGAGCACAAGAGCAACAATCTCTTCTCCTGTGGTTTTCAACAACTGGTATTCAGAAGCATTGCTACCTCCAACTGTGGAGGCCGAGAACAGTCATCATGGCTAGCAGCCATCAATAGCCCTCTCCTCCTCCATTAATCTGTCTAATCCTCTTTTAAAGCCATCCAAGTTGGTGGCCATCATTGCCTCCTATGGGAGCAAGTTCCATATTTTAACACACCAAAGTCTAACACCAGTTCCTCTCCTGTTTTTTTGGCTTGCGCCATTTGCTGAAACAAAGCACTCTGGGTAGGTAAAGAAGCGAATGAATACAAAACTGACTTACGTTGGTGGTCACTCAAAATTGTTGCAACAAAATAATGTGCCAACGCTCTGAAATGGTCTGATTTGACTTGAGCCAGTTTTGACCAGGAATAAGGGATGTTCTCCTTGACTGGTGCTTGACTCATTGCTGTGTTAACAAGCATGTATGTTTCTCCAACCTGAAAACAAAAGCACAAAGTCCAACTCTGAGACATTTTCCTTGTCATTAAAAGCTCAGTCATCTGTGGGTAATGCCAACCATTTGCGGATAGTCAATAGGGTGTGCACACCTAGGAGGATTTGTAGGCTGGAAAGGTAGAAATTAGGAAGGATTCAAAACAAAAACAGTGAACCATTGGTGTTTTCTCCACATGCACTCACCCATGTGAGTGTGGAAGCTGAATGGCTGAAGCAAGAATGACTTTAAATGAAACAGGAAAAGCAACAGTCTAAGGCCTCCTCACTGGATGAAATCTGCTGTGGACCCTGAGAAGCGCAAGCAGAGTTCCACTCAACCTTTCTTGCCTTTTCCTTCCTGATGAGGTTTGGGGGACCCTCAAGAACAATGTGTGATGTTGTGTGCATGTACAGCAGCAGAAAGGAAATCCATGGGAATTGGTTAGTGCACCCCACCCCCTGGCCTAAGCAGAAATCCCTTCAGCTACTTTCAGCAATGCCTTAAGATCCAGGATGGCTTGGGAGTAACAGCCACTGTGGTACTATACAATCCATTATTCTTTCTCTGAGTCAAAACTTTGCCTCTTGTCCTGCCTCCTTAAAACACCAGGTTTTGCACAGGAAACTGCTTCATTGGTTCATCTGCCATGACTAATAACACCTCTTCAGGGTCTCTGGCAGAGGTCTTGCCCATTGCCTGATCTTTTAACTTGTGAGGGTGGGAAGGAGAGAACCCCAGGCCTAAGTGGAGTTGAAATGTGGCCCTCTGGGGCACTTTATCCAGCCTCTGGGGTTCTCCTTTGGTCACGCCCCCTTCACCAGCCCTGCTCTGCACCTTCCTCAAGTGCTTTTTCTTGGCTGGAATGTATCCTGCAACCAGTGGCGTAGCGTGGGTTGTCAGCACCCGGGGCAAGGCAAGTAATTTGCGCCCCCTAACCCGTGGATTTTAGTAGAGGCAGAGAGCTGTGAGTGCGAGCGTGCCCCCCCCCCAGATGTTGCGCCCGGTGCGGTCGGCCCCCCCTGCACCCCCCACGCTACGCCACTGCCTGCAACTACAACAACACCTTTTGTTTGCCTTAGATGAAGGATGGACGTGTGTGTCTCTCTGTGTGTAGAAACCTCTGACTTTTGCAAAGCCTGTAATGTAGACAATCATACAAAGGGAAAAGTCACACCCCTTGTTCCACCCACTTTGGCCTCTGGCCCCGACCACCACTGACATATGGCCCCCAGAGGGTTCCCCATGAGAGAATAAGGCACTGAACTAGAGGACAGAGCCAGATACTTCTCCATGCAAAGCATGTGCTCTGTTACTGAACCTTGAACCCACACTATCCACATTCTCTCATTACCAGCCAATGAGTTTTTTTAAAAAAAGGAAACAGTAGAAACTTATTTGTTTTCTAATGAATGTAAAATTTCACATTCTTAGTGTAATCTGGATTTTCTTGAGTATGAAAAGCACTGTCTGAGTCCTTTATACTTTATGTAGAAACTATACATTTAAAGCACATAAGCACCTTCCATCCCTTCAAACAATTCTGGGCACTGTAGTTTCCCTCTCACAGAGTTACAATTCTCCCAGCAACCCTTCACAAACTACAGTGCCCAGAATTCTTTGTAGGAAAGAAAGTGCTTTGAATGTGCTGCAATAATCTACCTGCTATAATGGGGGTAGCATAATTGGTAGGCAAATCTTTCAGTTGCCTTAATGAGAAGAACTGTTGGCAGATGGCTAATTTAATCAACATGCACTTGTTTCTGAAGAGCTAGATTAAAATCTGGATTTAGGTCCTGCTTGCAACCATGCCACTGGAACTTAGCATTTGCAAGCCAAAGTCTGCAGAGGCAGCTTTAAGTCATGTGCTCCATGACCTTCGTTGGCCGCTGCAAACTGAGGCACTTTATTTGCTCACCAGGTTATGCAGTTTGGTCATCAAATCCAATTTCTCTCAGGCGCAATTCATGCACTCCCTGGCAACCTTCCTCTGCCTGTTTCGAATTCTGAGGAGGAGCCTTCTTTTTCTGAGAATCCCAAGGTAGGCAGGGCGAGATTCCCAGCTGGAATGTGCATGCCCAACTCCCCCCACCCCCCGCTCTTTTAAAAGTTTGGCTGGCAGTAGAACAATTGTTTGCAAGTCAATTCCAGCAGTGGGAGAGCTGGGAGGCAGGACCCAGACTCCTCCTGTCCTTGAACTGTCCCCATTCCAATTCCATTTCATTATAAGAAATACTATAAAACTTTTAAAAACTGTGCCTGAGCTTGCCTTTTCCTCTTCCCTCCCCATTTCATCACATCTTTTTTACATTGCAAGCCTGTGGGGAAGAACTGCCTTGTTTTTAATTGACTGTTTGAGAGTGGCTGTCTGCTTTGCGTGCAGGAGGCTCCGGTTTGGTTCCAGGGAGATCCAGATAGGGGACATTCCCAGCCCTATCTGCAACCCTGGAGAGCTGCTGCCAGCCAGTGTGGACAATACTGAGTTAGATGGGCCAATGTTATGACTCTGTGTAAGGTTCTATGTGTGTTCCTATGTTTCCATTAAAAAAAAAAGTATCCCATTCATATTGACATAAATTATATGAAAGTTCTACAGTTACAATTCTAAGATGGCTAGTTCAGACATGCCATAATCAAATAATAAAAACATGCCTGTGTGAACAGGACCTTCACCTTGTCACCTACCTTTGCCACTTCCTGGGCCATTTTCACAAGCGTGAAAAATTCATTTTGTATTCCGGGAAGGCAAATCTGCTCAAAGTCACATTCCTGAGCCTGAGCCAACATCATCTTGACCAGCACACTCAGCATGGCAGGGCTCATGTCGTAACTTGGAGTGTGAGTAAAAGTCTCTTTTAGGTAATTTAAAACTCCTGAAATGGGGAGGGGAGGGAACAAAAAAAGGTTAGTAGTGATATGATGTTTATAAGATATCATGATTACTGGCTGACAAAATACTGTATTGAGTTTAAATTAAAGCTGTAACAGTGTGGCTTCAGCTGTGTGTGTGACGGACACACTAAAGTATTCAGGTGTGGGGAACCTTTGACCCTCCAGCTGTTGCTGAACTACAACTCCCAGAAGCCCCAGCAAGTATGGCCAATGGCCAGGGGTGATGGGAGTTGTAGTTCAGCAACAACTGAACTACAAAGTTTCCCATACCTGCATTAGATAGCCAAGCATTCAGTATGCATTATCTGAAGCAGGCCAGACTTTTATCTCCAACACAGGTATCTGGCAAGTGGGTGGGGCTGCTTTTGCCCTTGCAGTTTTGAAATTAAACTGCATGGGCACAAGGCCCAGAGCAGCACGTGGATGCCCTGTGGCTCACTGGCACTGACCTGGAGACCTGAGTGGCTCTTGGAAGCCCTGGCAATCTACTGATTACTCAAAGGTTCAGGAAAGGGCAACAAAATGATCAAAAGGGTGGAGTGACTCCCTTATGAGGAAAGGTTACAGCATTTGGGGATTTTTAGTTAAGAGGCGACATGATAGGAGTTTATAAAATTATGCATGGAGTGAAGAAAGTGGATAGAGAAAAAGTTTTCTCCCGCTCTCATGACACTAGAACTTGTGGACATCCCATGAAGCTAACAGGACAGATAAAAGAAAGGATTACTTCACGCAGCGCACAGTTCAACTAAGGAACTTGCTCCCACAGGAGCTGGTGATGGCCACTGAAGTGTAGGTGGGCTTCCACAAGGCAAGACACAGTGACAACAGCAAGAACCTTTATTGAACTAACAGAATTGGACAACAGAGGCAAAGCAACTACTTGTATACATTTCTGAAGCCCTGGGCCACTCCCAATGTTGATTGGCTGTCTAAACTTCCAATCTGCGAATCATGACTAAGAGTTTAAGGGCCAATGGCAGAGGTCCAAATCCTGAAATGTTCTGTGATTGGATATCATGTATCGAATCAGAACACAGGAGCTCAGAATCCTAAGTCCAGACTCAAGCTCAGGCAAACACAGACCACCAATGAATACATAACGACCACCAACTTAGATGGCTTTAAATTGTTGTTGTTGTTGTTGTTAATTTATTTATTGAATTTATATACCACCCTATACCTGGGGGTCTCAGGGCAGTTTAAAAATGATTAGCCAAATTCAATGGCTACTAGCCATGATGGCTATGCTCCAACTCTAGAGCCGGAGGCAGCAATGCTTTGGAATCCCAGTTGCTGGAAGCCACAGGAGGGGAAGCGGTGCTTGTGCTCAGGTCCTGCTTGCAAGCTTCCCATTGGGGCCAATGTGAGAACAGGATATTGGATTAGAAGGGCCATTGGCTTGATCCAGCAGGCGATTCTTATGTTCTTAGAGCACCACACATAGTTCTATGCACACCTCTTTTTGGCCCAACTCACTCTTTACTTGCTCCACCCCAGCATCATATATGACATCAGTCGGGCAGGTGGGTGAGTCTTGGCCAAAACTGCCTCAAAGGACAAATGTGGAGGCCTGGTGGACCTAATTAGGCTCATGGGCTGGAGGTTCCCCACCACAGAGTTAGACTGTGTGCACACTATGTGTTTAAAACACCTTCTTTCCCTCAAATAATTATGGGCACTGTAGTTTGGTACAGGTTTCTGTAACTCTGTGAGTGCCCAGAATTATTTAAGGAGAAAATATGCTTTGAATATGCCCAAAGCCCCAAGAGTGCAGGACTACTACCAAGGAGACCCAGGTTCCAATCTTATTCTGTCATGCAGCTTGCTATGTGATTTTGGGCCAATCTCCCACTCTCACTCTGGCCTACCTCACAGGGTTGTTGTGAGGATAAAAGAGTGGCAGTGAAGAGGAACACCGCAAGTGCTACCTGAGTTCCTTGGAGGAAATGTGGGATAAAAACAATTGACAGCAACACTGAAATGGCGTGGCAGTTAGGAGAGGAATGAAAAAGAGCAGAGACATTTGAGGGTCTGAGGAGGAAGAGAAATCCCTTAGCAACTGAGCCAGGGCACTCCCTCGAGCAGAGTCTGGAGTCGAGCCAGAGCTCTGCCATAGCAGCAAGCAAGCCAAAATGGAGTTAGATGACAAACTATCCTTTTGGAAAATTAAAACAAACATTTACTGTAGTATAAGCACTAAAGTAATACTTGCATGCTGGTGCTGAAATCTAATCTCAAAAATGCACCTTACCCAACCAGTTTGTCAAGTTTCAGAAGCAAGTTTTTAATTGCCCAATATGACAGAGAATGGAGCATTGCATTATTTGGTTCTGTGAGTTCCCCCATCCCCCACTCAAGGGGGTTACTGACATTATGGTGGAGCTTTTGCTAGTTTTAAATTTCCTGCTTCCATTGTCATATGAAAAGCAGCCTTGGGTGGGGCAATCTTTTATTAAATGCTCCTTTTCTAATACGTTTTGCCTTAAAAGCGGCTGTAAAATTCTGGGAGCAAAGGCTCTTCTCAACTTCTCACAGAAAAAGATGTCAGCTTTAGATAAAAAATTGCCAGACCCTCAATTTCTTAACAGATCCACAGACAAAAGTCCACAGCAGCTTGTCTTGGTTTAGTTCATCCTTACATCATAAGTACTTCAGCCGTGACCTTTTCTTTTTTCCCCCTTTTTTTTGTGTCTCTTAAGTACATATATGTATGCACAGGGCTGTGTTTATAGACCAAAGCCATAGCAACAATCTTCCCTCTGTCCACAAAGAACTATGTGTACAGTTATGAATGATAACGCATTGTGCACAATGCTATGTGGTCACGCCCCACAGGTACAATGAAAAGCATTTTGCTGGAAAGGCAAACTGAAGCACATCTTTGAAGCAGACAGATTTAGGCTGGGTGCCCATCTCAGAATAATCTCAGCTGGGCCTGTGTGTAGTTTTGATTGTGTTCAAGGGTAGGGGAGGCAGAATCCTGCGCCAGTGGAGAAAAACAGATTCTGTGCCAAGTACAAATTATGCAAATTAGACAAACACAAGTGGGACCTGCAACAAAATGTTGCAGTGTGTAGCTTGCGGCTGCTGTTCAGAGATTAAGCCATTCCAATTCATTCCATTCCTCCCCCTGCCAAACAGCCAGCATTCCATGACCACAGATAACACTTAGTCCTTGTTGGGCTGTACTTAGAGGTGTTGGTCACCCCCCTCCCCAAAAAACCCCACAACTTTTTTGGACTTCTGAAAATCTTGGCTTTCTCCCAAGTCTTCTGATATTTCCCTCTTGTGCACAGATGGTACAATTTTGGAAAATTGTCCTGCCAGGCTTAGCTAGGTCACAGCCCCTCGCCTAGGGAGGAAGGGCTACCAACCCCTTTGGGTCTTTTTTATTCCACCATGTGAACCCAAACAGTACAGATGTCTAAGCTGGATGCTGGAAGCTTAGACCGTGTGGCTTTAGCAAGCCATATTTGTATTTCTATGCAAGTAATATAGAAAGTCTTATCATTTTGCAAGATAAACTGCCTGTCTTTTCTTGCTGCTGTATATAAAAGCACATGAATCTGACCTTTGAATAATTTGTAAGTAAACCATTTTTAACTTACCAAATGTATGGTCTCTTTCTATGCTAAGAGAAGTGGATAACTTTGGAAGCAACTTGGAAGGGAATATTTTAAAGGTCTAACAGCCTATATTTCCACACTTATTTTGTTGCATGTTTTGTGATTTTAAAATCTCTGCTGGGACTCTCTCACCAAAGAGTACTTATCCCAAAAGTGGATCTGGGCATCCAGGGAATACTCCTTGTATTTCTCCATATTCTATTTTTCCTTTTAGCTAAACCAAATTTAAACCAGCAAAAATAAACCTTAGGGCACAGAAAATGCCCTCAGTCTCCTGTGACCACCACTGCAAGGAAATACAAACCAAGGTATGTGCTGGGACCCCTGAAACGACTCACCCATCAGAGATTGGTGTGCACAATACAAGAAGCCATTGCACTTAGGGTGGGGAGAATTTAAAGCGTGGATCATTGGAGACACAGGAAGCTGCCTTACACCAAATCAGACCCTTGGTCTCTCCAACTTAGTACTACAGTGACTGGCAGCAGCTCCCTATGGTTTTAGCCAGGAGACTTTCCTAGCCCTACCTGAAGTTGCTGCCAGGGACTGAACCTAGGACCTTCTGCATGCAAAACAAGGGCTCTGCCACCAAGCTACAGACAGCCCTTACTTTGGAGTATAAGCTGCAATAAATTATATACCAGTCAGTGCAATGCCTACGTTAGGGAAGGAATGGAGAAAGACTTATGAGACTTAAAAAGCTGTTAATAATGGACCACAGTCTAAGGCCTTGAAACTACAGCTCATTAATTGTTAACCATAATATTCACTTTGGGTTGCATCCAAAGTTAGAAAGCAAACCCACGAAAATAGCTGAGTATAACTAACACTGTCACTTGATTTCAATGGGTCTACTCCTGAATAAAACTTAGGCTGCATGCACACCACGCGTTTAAAGCGCACGCACACGCACACACACACAGACAAAATACTGGGAATTGTAGTTTACCCCTCACAGAGCTACGATTCCTAGGATTTGAGGTGGGCAGGGGTTATCAATATATGCTGTATATGTAGCTTAAATCGGATACAACCCTTAGTCTTAACTAAATGAGTTACTTGGGCAGTTTCATATTTAATGGGACTAAACTTGAAAAGTGAATCTTTTAATAATTATTGTTTTAAGAGTGTGCCCCTCTCATGCTAAAAACCCGTTTAATCCTGGGTCTCTTTTGAGGGCAAATACGTTGAAATTAAATGAAGGCTGTGTACACACTATATCTTTTAAGGTACATTTGAAGCACATTCTTCCCCTCAAAGAATTCTGGGCACTGTCATTGGTTAAGGACTGCTGAGAATTGTAGCTCTGGGAGGATGAACTACAGTGCCCAGAAATCTCTATGGGAAAGAACACGCTTTGGATGTGCCTGAAAGGTACAGGGTGTACACACAGGCTCGTGTGGAACGTGTAAGGCTCTATGCATGCAAAAGAGAAGCAACTGGATCAAGCAACTATCCAAAGGTGTTTGGAGAAGCAACATACAACTCTTCCCTACCTGCTGCTTTCTGAAAGGCTTCAATGGCCTTTTGAAGCCCAGCCTGCGTCTGCTGATGGCACCTTGTGCCAATCTGGGTGTAGAGGGCTCCGATGTTGAACAGAATACTAGCTTTTTCCAGCAACAGGTTCTTCTGGCAGACGGGAACACCAGTGAAAGAGTCGTACCTTCAGCAAAAACAGAAACGAAACCTAATATGTATGTAATTAAGAAGGGTGGTGTGGTGGTGGTGGTGAGGGGATTGGGACAAAGAATAGACAATTTTAAGACCCACTCCCAACCCTCTTAGCTGCAATTAAGCATCTGACAAGCATTACATTTGCACCAGCTCATTGATGGGCTCTTTTTTACTTTGACTAAAAGTCAACAATGCTCAAAATCCAGGGCACGTAACACACATTAATTGCTGAGCTTTGTCAACTAGAAAGCACATTTCTTCTTGCTCTCTTAAAAGCAGCACACCCCTCCCTTGCAACGCTTGACTGGATCGCTAAGAGCTTTTTTGGCCAAATGGGAGGCTTTGCATTTTGCCTCCAGAAACACAGGGCTGCAATCCGCCAGGTCAAATTTCAAACCCACTATGCAAAGCTGTGCTCCCAACGCATTAGAACCAACACTAACAACATTCTAAATGGAACTTACCAGGTAAATAAAATCCCCAGGTGTCTGCTTGGCGGAAAAAATCTATTCTCTACAAAGCCAAGCTGAACAAAATAGCTCATCAACATCTCAACTCCCGATTCATCTCTGCTGGGGGTACGGCAGGCCTTAGAATACAAAACATACATTCACCATGGTATGTCATCAACATGTGCCATGTAAATGGATTTTACATCATCACATTAGTACAGAGTTCTGAACACATTTTCATAGGCCGCAGCTCACTTGGTCATGCCCAAAGTGGCTTCTTAAATGATTGGGAGTACGCTACAAAAGTGAGGTCAAAGTGAAGCCAAATGAAAACAAAGCATGGCTACACTGTTAGGCAGTGCACAAATGAACACAAGATCCAGGCAGTGGGGGTATCCAAATTCCAATTATTCACTAGTAATAAACTAATGGATAGCAAGTAAAGGTAAAGGGATCCCTGACCATTAGGTCCAGTCGTGACCGACTCTGGGGTTGCAGCTCTCATCTCGCTCTATAGGCCAAGGGAGCCGGCGTTTGTCCGCAGACAGCTTCCAGGTCATGTGACCAGCATGACTAAGCCACTTCTGTCAAACCAGAGCAGCACACTCAAACGCCATTTACCTTCCTGCCGGGGTGGTACCTATTTATCTACTTGCACTTTGACGTGCTTTCAAACTGCTAGGTTGGCAGGAGCAGGGACCGAGAAACGGGAGCTCACCCCGTCGCGGGGATTTGAACCACCAACCTTCTGATCAGCAAGTCCTAGGCTCTGTGGTTTAACCCACAGCGCCACCCGCGTCCCAATGGATAGCAAGCAAACACCTAAAATATGGCAATTACTTTTTTGGAGTGAGCTCATTTTTTCTGGCATCTAGAGAATCAAAGAGGTGGAAGGGACCCCAAGGATCATCTACTCCAACCCCTGCAATGCAGGAATTACAGCTACTATGTCCATAGTTTATACAGGTACAGGGTTTTTGGGGGGAGGGTCTAGTTCAAGTTCCTATGTAGCCAATGTTTCCATGGGGAGATGCCTAGGGCCAGTCTTGCATCTAAATCATTTTTTTAAAGTTCTCATCTACAGTTTTGTTTTGTTTTTTAAAAAACCACACCTGAAATCTAAGTCCATTTTCTAAATAGACTTAACTTACTTGTCTTAAGTCCATAAGATCAGCAATTTCATTTTCATATTCAGAACCTTCTTCACTGTAGTGTTCCAGAATAAAGTCCTGGAAATGATAAAGGAGACATGGTACAGTTCAAATCCTGAATATCTTCACTATGGCTGTTCAAGTATTTTTAAAAACTTTGACAATGCTATCAATAAGTAATGAAGAGCTCACCTGATCATGTAGCCCTGAACTGACATGTGCATTTGCCAAAAAGGAACTAACCTTAAGCAAGTAGAGTCCTTGACTCTGTATGAAGCCTAAATCCTCACCTAATTTTTAGAAAAGCTCCAAGCCTTGATGGCTGGTTTATAACACTGAAGCTTGGCCACTGAATGAGATTTGTTTAGCATTTCTTAGTAAAGACAACCTTCATCCCCACAGCACATTCTAAGAGACAAAACACCCAGAGAAGCTCATGTCACACACACACACTCTGAAAATTGAAATTGCTGCTTAAAGGCTATGACCACCACTATGCAAAAGATGACCCAGTTTCCAATTTTGTATTTGTCAACAACAATTAGAAGTATGTGAAGTATGCGACGAGACAGTATGCACACCTGGGGTGGAGGGAGCGGACCGAGAATTTTTCTCTCTCTTCTGTCACACTAGAATTTTGAGTCATCCAGCAAAATCAACACCACAAAATTAATTAGCAGAACTGACTGCCACAAGGCATGGTGATGTCTGCTAGCTTTGCCTGAACACAGGAATGATCAAATTGAATGGAACAAGGGGGCACATACAAATCCGGTCCCCCTCTCCAGTATAGAACCTTCACATTTAAAAGCAGTCTACCCTTGAATAGCAGTTGCTGAGGAGCAACATCAGGACTGTGTTTTGAACTTGATGACCTGCTTGTTGGCTTTCCAGATGCATTCCTCACTATGAGGAAAACGATGGGTGGCCATTTTTCTGACCTAGCAAGACTCTTCTTACACTCTTGGGTATTCTAGAATTTGCTTCACGTCCACTTTGCTCCTCTGAGATTAAAAGGCTGACTATTCATAACCAGCCAGGTTAAAAGGGAGCAAACTCAACTTCAAACCTTAGCAATGTTTGCTGGGAAGATCGGTCTGTTGCCTAATTCCGACATTTCTTTGCCCTCTGGCAAAGACAGGGTTTCCTGCACACACATCTGTTTCATAATCCCATTCAGGGCACAAGAATACTATTGAGAATGGACTCTGCATTTTAAAATGAAAGGGGGCAGGGTGTAAATTAGCAGAATAAACCTAGATATGCACAGCATTGTGGGAGGGTGGGTTCATTTGGAGGGATAGAGAATGGCCATGGAGAGGGGCGGAGAACCTGATTTCATTCATGGTGTAAATATTTGCCCAGCTCCCTAGTGCCCCAGACAGAATCTTGATAAATCTTTCTCTGTCCTTCTCTGTCTCTCTTTCCTGTTTCAAAAGGGGGGGGGGTTGTTTATGTGATTCATTTACTGCACAGAAGCAGCAACAGCACTTGAAACAAAGTCTATTAAAAGTCACAACTGCCTGCCTGAGCCAAAGCCTGCTCTCCATTCAGATTTCTGTGGAGATTTCTTTGGTGTTTCACTCGTACCAAGAAAATTTAAAACCAGAGCTCTTCAGTCTTGTGTGTGATTGGCTCATAAGAAGGCATGTAGGAATTACTTTGGGCAGACAGGGAATTTTTATACCACCAATTCAGTGGAGCAAGGCAATACACACACATAAAAGCAGATCAGGAGATCAGTCTAGGAAAGAGAACCATAAAACCTCACAACGATCTTGCAGTAAAGCCAGTAAAACCTGTCTACCACTCACTAAAAACTACAGGCCAACAAACCAGCCTTGGTCAACTCAGAACTCTGGGGCCCTTATCTAGGTTATTACACTGCAGGGCTACCAATGGCCTCCAACATGTTACACTCACTGCCCTCACCCCAACCTCATAGTGGCTGCATTCAGATTTCAGCACTCGCAGTCCCTTCATTCCTACCTTTGCATGATCCTGGCAAACAGGCTTCTGCCAAGAAGTCTTCCATTAAATGTCACCCAAACCAACAAGTTAAGGGCTTTGAAACAAGTCAGGATATTAAGGCTACTTTAAACCATAGCTTAGCACCCTGGCTCATCCCAAAGCAGTTTTGGACACAATGGGTTGTAACCAATGAAGTTCTACTTAAAGTAAACCCACTGGGCGCTAGCACAATGAGAGTCCTCCCCCCTGTGTGTGCCTTCCACCATCCCCCGCTCTGCTCCAGAGAGTTGGGGGAAGCCCCAGAACAGATTTACAGAGGACATACAGGGGGAAGAGAGGGGTAGATTGTTCCATTGTGCATGAGAAATCCTTTCACTAATGGAACAATCTGCTTAATGCTACGTTGATAGCAACCCATTGCAATTAATGGACCCAAGTTAGTATTGTGCAAATAACATTGGATATCACCCAGTGGCAAACTATAGTTCATGGATGATGTCTGGGTTTGCCGGATCATGCAATGGAACTGATTGTGCAGCCAAAAGGGTTTTCTATAGTTCAGCTTAATAAAGCAGAATAGGATTGTCTGAATATGACCATTGACTCAAGTCCTGTTCCTCATGCTGCTTTCATTTACTCTGCAACAGCCAGTCTTGAGCTGTTTTAAAAACCAAGGAAGGGGTTTGTTATTTCACGTAAATATATCTTCAAATAGCACAAGTGCCTACAATCTGTTATCAGCTGCGTAAAGTGAGCCTCCCCAGTCGGGGGACTGGCAGGCTGTGCATTATGTGGTGTATGCTCATGCATGTGGACTTGCACATCTCTGCAGGAGAGTAAACCCAGCATCTCACAGTAACATTTGATAAGGGTAGGGAAGGCCCCTATGGGCAAAAATGGGCAAAACATCTCTCCATATTCCTAAAGAAATGGCTCTTCGCTAGTGCCTCCACCACAATCTCTGGACACAATGGGACTAGCACAGTAGAAGAACCACAAAGAAGTGTGCAATTTTAATATTATGACAACATGAATGAGACATTATTGTTTTTCTCAAAAGACAAGGTAATGCCTGGCCCATAATTGTAATCTGCTCTTGGAATTTAAAGCATGCAACTTTTTTTTTTTAATTCTCTTAACCATAAGAGCTAGAAATAATCTAGGTGGAAGTGATAAATTTACAAAAAAATTTTAAACAATGAAACCCTGAGATTCACTGTCGAATCAAGGTTTTTATTGTGAACCTAAACCAACTTTTGTGGCTTGTAAATCTCTCTTGAAGCATTTCCCTGGAGAGCAAATTAAGTCATAATGAGAATTTGAATCTGTCTTATCACCCCAACATCTGCAGTGTATACTTTTTCCTGCTGGTGTAAAATATTGCCACTAAAAGTTGCTTAGTAGAAACGTTACCTTCAAAGGAACTGCGAAGTCAACCTCTTTGGTCTCTTTCAAGCCAAGTGGTATCAGAGGAATGCTAAAAGCCTCCCTGTGTTAAAAAAAAGAAGAAGATTAAGATCAAACTTCCCCTCCCCCAACTTTTCAAAAACCGCAAATTGATGTAGGAAAGTGGTTGTTCTGTGAACCTCTATATAGTACCCATAAGTGTAGACTAGCTTGTTTGACACCTACACCCCAATAGGCTCAATTGCATCATTTAAAAAGCAAGCAAACCAAAAAGTGGTTTGCAAACTCTTCCTTCACCCTCCCAACAAACTGCTTCAGTGGGCAGTGATCCTTTCCATTTCAAAGAAGAGGAAGTGGAGATGAAAGTTGAAGTGACTTGCCCAAGGCCATGCAATGAGTTAAACATAGGCAGACATTCATAGGCAGACCTCTCTTAAGGTTGACCTCCTGGTTCAGGGGTCGCCCCCCTTTTATAAGCCGGAGACCACACTTACAAAATGGGGAAACTGCTGTGGGCACTACCCACTCCATGCCACCAAGCACACATGTCACTCAGCCTATTCTAATGGTAAACAGAACACTTCTTTCAAAGCCTAGTTTCAGCAAGGAAAGGGGACCCGGCAGGCACCAAGTAAGGCCTCTATGGACACCCATGGGTGTATGTGTGTCACCAGTTCTGTTGTTGTCGTCACCAACTCAGCTCCTGAATCCAATTGCAGGGGGTGGGGGGGCAGCGTTTCAAGGGAGGGTGAGCCAGCTAGAGCCAGCACTGACACTGACAAGGGAGGAGGGTGACTCCATCATTCTGTGATGATTCCAATTGCCATCAAGCCAGCTCTGCCTGAGAGAAGGACTGTGAGGCAGGAGCTGCCATATCCTCCCAGTCTGGACATTGTTACCTGCTCCACTTCTGAATCTGATCTGGGAAGAGGGCTTCAGGGAGGCGGGGGCTGCTCTTTATCAAGAGATAAAGCCACTGGCTGGAGATTGCTTCTTCTGCCTCCCTTTCCTCATGGAGGAAAGGACTCTTTGTGGCTACTATCCATGATGGCTATTGCTCTGCCTCCACAGTTGGAGGCAGCAAGGCTTCTGAATGCTGGTTGCTGGAAACCACAGGAGGGGAGATGGCTCTTGTGCTCAGGTGCTGCTTGCTGGTTTTCCACAGGCGACTGTTTGGCCACCATGGGAACAGGATGCTGAACTAGATGGGCCATTGGCCTGATCCAGCAGGCTCTTATGTGTGCCATGGCTTTCTAGATTGTAAACCTGAGGACAGGAACCATCTTGACACTGTTTTTTGTAAGCCACTCAAACAGCCTTTTTGGTTAAAGTATGGAGTATAAATGCTGTAAATACAATACAATACAATACAATAAATGTGTTGTTCAACTAGCATAGGGAAGGGGTCTGTGAAAGAGGGTAGGCCTTCTTTTAAATACAACCCCTCAGCATTTTCACATAAAAAAATGCAAAGTCCGCCAAAGTAGTTTAAGGCTCCCTTCCTCCCAGCCTTCTTTTTCCTCATCACTGATGTACAAATAAACAACCTGATGCAGAACGGGTTACAAAACCAGTCCTTGTTATTCAGAGGCATACCACTCTCAGAGAAAAAAGAAAGGGAGGGGGGAACCACATGAAATCAAAACCAAATCCCTGGCATTAACCACGACATTAAAACGAACCCTTTGCTTGTTGATTTGAGGCATTCCCCTCTGATCCATCTTTATTAAGTTTGCCATGTTTGTGCACAAATTTCCATGGGCACCTGTGTTCCTGCCAGCTCTAAGATGAATGCAGGGTGGAATTCAATCTCTCATTGTGACCCTTTGAAATGCCAACCTCATGGTGGGAGAAATAATAAACTTCTCATTTTTGACTGGCAGCACACACAACCTTTTGCAAAATGTCCCTTAAATCTGTGCTAAAGTGTGGGCTGTTAAGATCAATCAAGCAAAGCAACAGCAGCAACAAAAGCATGGGGGGGTGCACAACAGAGCTTCAGTATATTGTCTTTAAAAAGCAGGCTGGGATATATGTTTGTGACAGTGCCGACAATGGGCTTGAAGTTTAAGAGAATTAAAATGTATACCCCTGAGAGGATTATTTTATTTATTTATTTATTTATTTAGGAGAGAAAGAAATTATTAAATGAGAGGGACAAATAACTATGAAAAGGGTAAGAACAGCTAAGCCTGGCATTAAATGTTTCACTGCAAATCAGCGCCCCACTTTGCCTGCTGGCTTTGTGCAGTTTAATACCAAGAGGAGAAGTTAGTTCTGGCCTTCTATGCCACTCCCCATTCAAGCCACCTCTTCGAAGGCATTTCTGAGGATTAGGGATCAGAATTAATTGCTTTTAATACCTTTCCCAAGGAGGAAGGTAAATACCCGCTGTAATCTCCTCAGTCAACAGCCAGACCAAACTGAATATTTTCGCCTCTCTCCTGTGCACCTTTGTTCTCTGCATTCCCCCCCACCCCATCAGAGAAATATTTGTTTTTGTGTGGGGTTTTTTCATTCACAGGTAGCATACTTGTCTGGGGAACAATACTACAATAGCTCCTCCCCCACTCACTCTGTGTTCTGGTAAACCTCAACAGAGATGTTGAGTCCTTCCAACTCCTCCTTAAGGATCTGCAGGTCTGAGTTGACGAAGCTGAGTTCCAGTAGCACCTGCTCGCGCACCTTGTTGCTGGTTGTCGCCCTGCCATGAAGAAAAAGGCACACACGAACGTCAGAACATCAGAAGAGCCAGCTGGATCAGGCCAGTGGCCCATAGAGTCCAGCATCCAGTTCTCAGAGAGGACAACCAGATGCCCCAAAAGGAAGCAGGACCCAGACACAAGAGCACTTTCCCCTCCTGCGGCTTCCTGCAGCTGGTATTCAAAAGCATTGCTGCATCCTATTGTGGAGGAAGTGTTTAGCCATTGTTGATAGCCTTAACCTCCCTCAATGAATGTGTCCAATCCTCTTTTAAAGCCATCTAGGCTGGTGACCATCATTGCCTCTCGTGGGAGCTAGTTACATAGTTTAACTATGCGCTGCACCTTTGAGAACGCTTTTGAGGACAGCCTCTTTATTGTATAATGGGCCTCACCGGCATTCTCGACATTTCTGAGATTTCCCCCTTAAGAACCGACATGAAAAAACCTCTGGTTTCAGAACTGATATGGCCCACTGCCAAAGGAAAAGAATGTGGAATGGCTTTCAAGACAATATTCGTGGCACAGATACTATTGTTATGACTGTTAAGCCGATGAAGACAAACAAAGCAATAGGCCTGCCTAACAATTCCACTGCAGTTTTGAATGGCAATGGTTTCCATTGACCCACAGCACTGTAGCCAAGGCCCACAAATACAGTTGACAGGTCGCCAAGTGTTGGTGAGTGGCAGAGAGAACTTACAATTTATCCCTCACGTTTTCTCTTTTTTTAAGCTGTCGCTTAGGGTTTGCCCAAGACATTTTGCTACCTGAGGTAAAAAGGTCAAGATAGTAGCCGCCCACACAACTCAACCAGAACAGTGGTTGAACTTTGGTGACAGGACTGCATCCTTCACTGAATGTGAGGGCAGCAGGCTAGAGTTTAGAGAGTACAGGGCAAGCCACACAGCACAAACAGCTTAGCCCTCCATCAGAATGAAATGGTCAAGGGCCCCCAGGGAAGAGCAGCTCTCTGCTGTCCCTGCCCTCCCACCTGGGGCAGCTGCTTCGTTCTCTAAAGGTAGGGCCTTAGTGAAAGGTTTACTTCTTTCAAAATGGTGGCAGGCTGGGCTTTGTGCAGGGACCCAGCATGGATCAGAGGAGTTGCTAGCAACAAAGGTTGCACACACACCATACTTTAAAGCACATTTCACCCCTCAAATAATTCAAGGCATTGCAGTTTGTTAAGGGTTGCTGCAAATTTAACTCTGTGAGGGGTAAGCTACAATGACCAGAATTCGGGGGGGGGGGGATGTGCTTGAAAGGCATAGCATGTATACAGCCAAATCTAGGCTTAATATGCCCAGCTAAAATCTGCAAACTCCTCACCTTCTCCAAGCAGGACTAGCTCATATTTCTGCTATGGTTTCAGCTTCAAAACTCTGAACTAGATCCCTTTTAATAAAAGGGGGTCATTTTAATAGCTACATTTTGTCCAGGCTTTTTACTGGACATTACTATTACAATGTTGCTTCTGCTGCTCGTGCGTAGTCAAAGCTTTCCAAGGTTGTCTGGGGCAAGGACTGTTTTGCATATTTTAAATTAATTGCATAGGTTTTTGTATGAATGTGTCAACATTATAATGTATTTCATGTAAGCTTATGTTATTAAAATGTGCCGCAAGTTCTTTGGAAATTGCTGTGTAACAAGCAACAAACAAGGCTAACAAACACCAATAGCAAACAGCAACATGCAGAGCTTTCAGATGTCTGCTTGGATCCCAAGTTAACTTAAGAAAGTTTGGGGAAGGAGTGTCTCCCCACCCCACTTCTGTGCCACTTTGTTTGGGATGGTCCCTGTGGCTGATCCCACTTTGCTCAGCAAATGAGGGCCCCCAAACCTCCAGTCAGGTTGCATGAAGAAGGAACGGACGAGAAACTTTCCTTCTGCAAACTTTCTTAAGTTACCTTATCTTAGAACCCAAGCCATTATTATTTATGAAATGAATTATTGAAATCATATTGTGTATTGAGCTATCCTAGCTGCTCCCTACTGCTGAAAAATATTTTTATTCAATGAATTATTATGGCATCAATAGATAGTTATGAAATTATCTATTATTGTGTTTGTTAGAAATGCTGACGTTGTATCTGTTTAAGATTGCTTTTTCATTATTTCTGTTATGCAGTTTGGAGTAAACACTGAGTGAGTTGTTTTAAATGGAAAGGCAGTACATAAATAAATGTGATTTCTTTTAAACAAAATAAAACGCGTGTAAAGAAAAGCAAGGGAGAGCTTTCAGAGCAGACAGATTTCCGATAGATGAAAGTCTAAAAATACTACATGGAGTCTACATGCAGGATTATTCCCAGCTACAATTTCTTCAGTGAGATGTTGGGAGTCACTGGGCAGCTGGCTGGGAATCAGAGGCTGCTCCTGTTGGATAGAACAAAGGCTGCATTCTGGGGCTGTGGGCAGAGGGAGGAGGGAAGTCGTGGGAACATACCGGAGGAGGTTTTCAGCGCCAGCTCTCATCCTCACCGCCTTCAGTATCTGCTGGTTGAGGACTGCTCTTTGGTTCTGCAGTTTGCTCCGTCCAGTCTCCGCAAGAGGGTTGCATCCCTGGATTACAGAAGCACACATCATTTATCAAAAGTGGGTGAGCAAAGAACTAAAGAATGAATGGACACCTCCCTAAGCAGATAACGCTGATCTCCACATTTTTTAATTAAAAAAAAACCATATATGTCATCCAACACAGTGTTTCCCAATCCTCTTGCTAAAGAGGAAGCAAAGGGGAGTTGCATCTTTGACCCAAGCCAAGATCTCTCTACAGCCTTTGCCAATAGCTTCTGTCCTTTATAAATATTCTACAAATACTTCTGTGACTCCAAGCATGCCTCACACAGTAACAAGTGGAGCCTGCAACAAAATGCTGCAGCGTGTGGTGCTTGTGATCAGACACTCCATTCTATCATCTCCCCCTCCTGGCTTTCTTTTTCCAAACCCTCCAATAGTCAGCCCTCACTGAGCTGTTTGGGGTTTCTATTTCCGCCCCTTAGAAGTTGTTTTTTCCACAGATTTATTTCATATCTCTGCAAACCTTGGGGTGCCTACAAGTCTGCTGATATTTCTTTTTGGGGTGATGCTAAAGAAGGCTCTGCCCCCAGTCCCTGCCAACCGTGCCTGTCTTGGCAATAGAATACATTGGAAGAGGAAGGCAGTTGGTAGGCAGGTTCAAGCAATAGGAGGTCATTAGTATTAATATTATTAAGATTTATATCCCACCCTTCATCCCAAAAGTGTTCAGAACAATGAGCAACAATCCATTTAAATAAAACAAAATGCTAGCAAATAAAAATTTGAAATCTCTTTCCAGTACTGGCTTTCCAGATGGTTGAAAACATAGCTGTGTATATGAGAGCTTCATAAGGACTTACAGTACGGGGTGTGTTTTCCTTCAACGTTCAATTACAAAATATTGATTAGATTAAAAAGAAAAGTCTTGCTTGCATTCCTGGTGCAATCTCACAAAGAAAACCAGAAGGCATTCCACTTCTGCTATATTGATAAAGTGTTTTCATTTTTGTGGTCAAAATCCTCTTACAGGTGGATAAGAAGTTCAAATATTATTATGACTGCAGAACAAAGTTAAAAGGGTTTGTTTAAGAGCAAACCCAGTCATGGGAACAAGGCCTCGAGACCAAGAAAAGGCTGGTATCTTATGCTTGTTTCCAGTTTTAGGGGCCTTGTTTGGAACAGTTTGAGGGGACCCATAGCAAAAGTCCTCCCGCAAGGCCCCACATATGGGCTTACAACTGTGGGTCTAACCTGGCAGAATCAGACAGTTTAATTTCCCATAAAGCCTCAGAGTGACACATTGCAGATATTGCGAGAAAGATTGGCTGAGGACTGTCCTGTTGGAACTCCAGAAACAGGTAGAGGTTCAGCAAGAATCATTCCTGCCTTCCTTTAGATGTCTCCTAAAAATGTTATTATTCAAAGCGGCCTTTGCAATGTTGATTTCTTCTTACCAACTAGTATTATGTTGTTACTGGTGTTTTATTATCATTTTGTATGCTTGTATTTTTTATGAAAGTGCAGTTTATAAATATTTACATAAAAATAATATTGTCTAGAGTGGATGGGCAACCCTGTCTCATGGTGAGTGTGCTTCCTTTCCACAGAGCTGGAGTTAGCTGAAATTAGTAACACCCATGATATACTATTAGCTATAGTGTTTCAGAAAAAAATGGACATTTCTTAGAGCTAGGATAACCTGGCTACCAGAATTGCACAGGATTGTTGCTTAAGTTGCAATTTCTTGGATTAGTACCTAGGATAACTCTCTCACAAGACCGGTGGGTTGCTTAGGCACCTTGTCTCCATAACTTGTTCAGCATTCAAAGTCTTAAGTCTAAATCATGTCTTTGTTTAACCCAATGACAGAATAATTGCCTAATCACCAACACATCCTGCAACAGTTTTTTCTCCAGGAAACACAGTGTTCTAAACCTCTACATGAAGTCCAATTTCAGCAAATGCTGGGGCTCTTGGAAGAAACATATATCGTAGGCGCTGAGACTAAAAGCATCACCTGATGTTCTTCATTCATTAATGGGACTAATTCATTCTGTGGTGTTGATGAAGTCTGAAAAGCACACCCACCCACACTGCAAAGATGAAAAGAGGAGCAAGCCAGTAACACCTCCATCATAATTGCAAGTGATTACTGCCTAATTCCAAATTACGCATTTGCTACATTTGGATGTCATGCAAAAACATAGCATGCATCTATGGGCAACAAAACAAGTTGTGGTTAATTTAAACCTAAAGCAGGAGCAAAAGTTTTCAAAGTCCTCTTCACTGCTGGGCTGGAGGTGGGAGAGAAGAGAAATACATGAGCCAGGGGCTCATCGTGGCTCATTCTCATCACATGAAACTATGGCTCTTCCATTGCTAAATCTCAAGTCTGTATTTATTTACTCTAAGTAGAACAGCATGCCCTGCACTATTATCAAAACCAGTAAGATGTTTGGTCATTTAGTTGCCTGCCAGTTTAAACTGAGCTTCACCAGCACAGGAACCTTAAAGTTCACATGTGTGTGTATGCACACATTAGACACACAGATACATCCATGCCCTTAATTCAAAGAGGTGGATCCAGACTTAGTCAATTGGATACAACACAGAGATGTTAACTTCCACAGACCTGAAGCATGCCAAATGTCACAACTCACACTAACCGAATCTCAATAAGATGTGTCCCTAAAGGGGGGAAAACAGGAGCAGAGTTTTCCCAGGGACATGTTCGTGAAAACAGGGGCTGTCCCTGACCAATAGGGACGGTTGGAGTATGTATGCAAATTGGCCCAAAAACTTGCATAATCATCTCTAGGAAGCTTCATGTTTGCCAAACTGCCTGAACAACATGTCACCGTGAATTAATCTCTTGTTACTGATGAGCTTTGCTCACTGAAACCAAGTACAAGGGAGAGTGGAAATGCAAAATCTGTGGGCCTGCTTAAGGCGCTCCTTCCAGGGGGGAAATCTCAACCCAATAAAAATCTCAAGTTTACATGCTCAGGCCTTGCCCTGTAGGGAGAAAAGCAATATTGAATCCAAGCTCTGCTGTACGTATTTCAACATAGGTAATGGAGCGCAGCTCACTGGCAGAGCAAACACTTTCCCAAGTGAATCCCCAACATCTCTAGCCAAAGAAGGATCAGGGTGAGCAGGGCCAGCCCTACCATGAACAATGTGATGCTACATGGCTCAGGCAGCAGGCTGGGAGGCACAGCGGCTTGTGTTCCCCGATCCCTCCATTCAGCGACAAATCATTGTATGCCACTGCTGCCTACCCAGCGCAACTGTCTGCTAGCTGCAAAGCAAAGTAGTGATGTGGGCACTCCACGTCTTGCTTAGCACCTGTGCCAGTTTTCTGTAATAGCAGCAAACTACTATTTGTGGCGCTGTGGGTTAAACCACAGAGCCTAGGACTTGCCGATAAGAAGGTCGGCTGTTTGAATCCCTGCAATGGGGTGAGCTCCTGTTGCTCGGTCCCTGCTCCTGCCAACCTAGCAGTTAGAAAGCACATCAAAGTGAAAGTAGACAAATAGGTACCACTCTGGCGGGAAGGTAAACAGCGTTTCCGTGTGCTGCTCTGGTTCGCCAGAAGCGGTTTAGTCATGCTGGCCACATGACCTGTCTGCGGACAAACGCCGGCTCCCTCGGCCTATAGAGCGAGATGAGCACCACAACCCCAGAGTCGGTCACGACTGGACCTAATGGTCAGGGGTCACTTTACCTTTACTTTTACCTTTACTATTTAACATTATCTGAAAAAGGGGGTGCGGGAAGCAGTTTGCCACCATCACGGTGATGGCACCAGAACTTTCCTGGTGACCTTGCCCACAATGCCTCAGAGGAAAGGGTAATCAGAGTTTAATCACTAGGTGGCACTGGGCTTAGATGCATATGGGCGGAGTAAGGATCTCCCTGTGTCTGTAGCCCTCTAGATGTTGCTGAACAACAACAACAACCATATATGACCATTTGCCAGGCTGCCTGGCACCGAGAGGCACTGGCCTTCCAACAATACCTGGAGAGCCACAGATTCCTCAACCCTGATGTAAATCCCACATTTATTGTAAGAATGGATATATACTGGAATTCTAGCAGCCCAAAATACTTAAAAGCTGTCCTTAAGATTCTTATTCTGCAAACAGGGGCAGGCGGGAAGAGTCTGGCTGTTGTGCAACTGATTTCACCTGGAGAGAGAGAGAGACATAAACTGCCAGTATTCACGTATTTATTTCTCAAGTGTACAGATTGCTTCATAGCCGGGGCTCTCAGAAGTTAGCAATAAGCTGACCCTGCTTAGGCAATATCCTACTCTTAACTGCCTAATGTGATAATTGATAGTGCTGCTAGCAAATCTGGAAAAGCAAAAGATGTAACACCTTGTACTTACACAAAACAGAAGCCAGATATACCCATCCACTTCCACACAGACTCTCCATTAAACACTGACAGTGTTGGATTTCAAAACTGGAAGCTGCAGTTGTGACATCATTAACAAAGCTCTGATTGCCAGATTATTCAGCGGAAGAGGTACAGTACTGAATGTATTCAGTGCTGCCGGTAGATGAGATATTTCAAATGATGTCATTATAAGCTGACAACTGATAAGCTGAGATGCATGTTAATGGCACAGAGAAGTTGAAACAGAGTTGAATCTGGGTGTGCCTCAATGGTTAAAGCGAGGCATTCTGCTCCACCCTGTGTTACTGTCCTACCTCCAGAGCAAACAAACACTGACACAGCAAATAGTCCCAAATACAAAAAGGTTTCCTCAGACAAGGAGCTCCATTAACCCCTTTGCTTGTATCCTCTGCATTCCCATGTCTGTTGAAAAATTCAGTCACTCAAGGAAACCGATGAAAGGAATTGATTCTTCATGCGAAATATCACCAGAGTGATACTACTCCACTACCCCAAAATGTGGCAATTGCCACAAGCTTGGATGCCTTTTAAAAAACAGAAGGATCCAACAATTTTATGGGAGGCAGGAGACTGTTCATTCAACCATAGGAATGGCTACACAGCAAGGCAGTGGACTC